ACAAGCTGAAGAACACGGTGCCTGCCCCCCTCAGAAAGCCAAACTTTTCAAGCCTCATGACCCCCAACTCCCTGGCAAAGGAGAACCAAGCCGAGTGGAGGTGAAGAGGGCGGCAGGCCCATCCCCACCCTAACGACTCAGCAGTGCGGAGGGAGGTATGTGGCCCAATGGAGTGACTTCACCTCCCTTCCTTAGGAATGATCCCAACTAATAAAACAGCTCTGAGTCACATATACCTCTATGACTCTCATAGACACGTCTCAATCCACCACACGTCACTCCCCACATCCCCACAGCAAGAGATCAGACTCTAAAATCTGTTATCCCCAGCTTCTGTCCAGCTTGCCCCAGGAAGCAGACCTCATGACTTTCCAATATGTACCATAGCTGCAGTGAAGACCTCCCATTCCTTCTTCTGATCCAACAGAGGTGGGCTGAGCCTTTGGGTAGCAGGCACAAGAGGTATCCCAAGGTATCCCAGTGCTGGAGACATCCTCTCTTCTAGTTCTCAGGGACGTTCCCGAGATGGTTGCAGGCAGGATGCTACCAACACCAAAGGGAAGGGGCAACTCTGCATTTTAGAACCAGGCTAGTTTCCCTTTCCAGTTCCAGATGGAGCTTGGGAAGAAGGGCCAAGGATTGTCCTCTAGGTCCCAAACCTTTCCAACACTACCAATATTTAGGAGCCAGAGGACCTGAGCTAGCAAAATCACAGAGGGCTGAAATTCATTCTTCTGATGATTCTTGCTCTTGGCTCAATCCAGTCAGGGCCCAAGGATCATTAGAGAGCAACCAGGCTACTTGCTCCAGCATATGTCTCTCTTGCCAACAGATCACAACTTGCACCTCAACATAGTGAACAACAATTGCAATTATTTTGGCTCCTTTCAAAAAATTTTTAGATATTTGGCCTAAGGAAAAATCTCCATTTTGAATTTTACTTGACAAGAGTATTTCGATAGCCCTTTGATTGTGAGCCTTTAGCATCACATCAATCATTGAAATATTCCTGGATGTGGCACTATGCCTTTTCTTGCCTTGTGCTTGTAAGAGTTAATGCTGGCAACCTTGGTAATTGCATATGGAAATTACTATTTAAATTGTCCTATTTTATGCCTGAGCTCAATCCATAATGGAGTTTTGCAGTTTTTCTGTATCTTACGAGTGTCAGATGAATTAGTACATTGAGAATTTCCAAATGAGTTCTTTCTCTAGCATTTAAACACGTTGGCCAGGACACAAAACCTTCAGAAACTCAAAAGATGCATCATTGCAAGCAGAACAAAAGAGGTTTAAAGGTTGGGGCCTAAAACAGCAATCAGGTTATAAAGATGGACCAGTGATGCCCCCTCCCATATTTGAGTCACATGACTTTGGTGTGCAGAAGGTAACTCTCCAACTTTTATGGTTATGGAAATTTATTTTTATTTATTTAATTTGATTTATATGCCACCTTTCTCCAGAGACTCAGGGCGACCCACAATGCGCCAAGCAATAGCCTTCATACTTTTGTATATTTATACAAAGTCAGTTTATTGCCCCCATAATCTGGGTCCTCATTTTACCTACCTTAGAAAGGATGGAAGGCTGAGTCAACCTTGAGCCTGGTGAGATTTGAATTTGCAGTAATTGCAGGCAGCAGATGTAAGTGGATGTTAATTAGTCTGCTGAGCCACGAGAGCTCCTGGTATATGTTGCACATTTGTTGTGTGAGTAGTTGTGAGGGTTCTTGGGTTATGCTGCCACTATTACATACTGGGCAGTCCCTATGGTCAGTCCCCCTAGGTAAACCAGACCAGGGAAACAACTCCACAAGAAGGCTAAAACTACATTTTGAGATTGGCCATAATAACAGAATATCAAAAATCTAGTTGTGCTGTTTCTCCTCCTTGTAGTTTAGCCAATTCACGAAATGTCTGCTAGAGCTGCTTCCAAGTGTTATCATGTTGTTCTGGACTTGAAAAAGTTTCAGCCCCTTTTGCCTCGGTTCTACCATATTTCCACCCAGGTCATCCCTAATCTCTACTCCTGTTGAGCCATTTCACATAGGCCTAGGGAAGGGGTTCCCGACTGGGCGTGCGAGACGATATTCCAGGGAGTGCGAAAACTTGGGTTTAGAAGTTTCAAAATTATAGTGTATATCAGGGGTGGGTTCTAAATTTTTTTACTACCGGTTCTGTGGGCGTGGCTTATTTTATGGGCATAGCTTGATGGTCATGTGACAATTCTTTAGGATTTAGCAGAGGTATTGGTCTACCAGGCTTTTAACTGCTTGCAGAGCTGTACCGATCTACTCATGTATTTTTGCAGGCACTGGTCTACCCATTTATTTTTGCAGGCACTGATCTACTCATATATTTTTGCAGGTACTGGTCTACTCATTTGTTTTCTTTTAACACTGATCAGCTGTAGGGCGGCCCTTTGAAGCCCCACAGCAAGAGTTTAAACAGTTTTTTTCCCTCTAGCCATCAGCTGGGACTCAGGAGGCAGCAGTAGATTAGGGGTGGGGCCAAATAAAAGGTAAGAATAATGTGGGTCACGGGGAAGGCATGGGGGGGCAGAACCGGTTCGGTGACATCATATCATCACCGCTACCGGCTTGGGAGAACCGGGCCGAACCGGGAGGAACCCACCACTGGTGTATATGTATAATTATATGCATATAATTATTTTTTTAAGGGGTTCAAGAATATATCAGAAGCGTTCTACGGGTGTGGGGTATAGAAAAGGTTGGGAACCCCTGGCCTGTGGTTTATTAGGTAGCAACAAAACTCTTCTCTGAAAGCGACAATGTGCCAACTCTCAGATGCCTAGCATTTAGTCCTTGCATGCTGTCTCATGTGCATATGAGAACTAGTAAAAAGAACATCATGGATTATTGATATGGACATGCATGATTCCGAGTCACATTTACTGTATGCAGGACATTCGATCATCTTCTATAAAAACCAAGCCACCTCTGCATAGAGCATGTCCCCACAGAATATCCTCTCAAAGGAGCAGCCAAGGAGTTCCAAAACACATGAGGCACTCCTTCCCCACATACCAGGGATGCTGCTTCAGCATGGGGCTTTCTGGGGCAAAAGAAGACGCTGAGCACAGGGCAAAAATTGGAATGTAACAATCACTCAAGGAGCAATGAATTTCTGTGCTAGGATGAACGTATAGTTTCCCAAAACCTTTTAAAGAGGCAAACATAAATTAAATCTACAGCCAATAATTTTACAAATTTGTCTGCTAAGTAGTGCAAATACAGGAATGCTATTATCTCTGTACTGTCAGTTTAAGATACTAAGACTGGAAGCCCTAAATGGCTTAGGATCTCATGTTGCAGACCTAGCTAATTGTTAAGATTGGCAGGAAGGGCTCTTCAGAAGCCCACCTCTCTAGCATGGCCTTCTCCTGAGCTTCCCCAAGGCTTTGAGATGTGTTTGCTTTTCCTCCCTTGCCTCCTCCAAGCCTCTCACATTTGGCTGGGAAATTATTTTAGTTTTAATATAATGCTTCTACTTTTTACTTGCATCCTGCTTTCTATGTTCTGTTAAGTCTTTTGCGTACTTGTTGAAAAGCAAATGCAGACTATGTTCCTGAGATTAGATTAGATTAGATTAGATTAGATTAGATTAGATTAGATTAGATTAGATTAGATTAGATGGAAGGGAAGGGAAGGGAAGGGAAGGGAAGGGAAGGGAAGGGAGAAAAATCTTAAGTAAACCATACACTTTGAATCCAAAAATGCTTCTAACGCTCAGGTTTCCAAGAATAAAGCAAAACAGTGTGGATTTGCTGTTCTTAATAGCTAAAGCCAGGGACCCAGTTGAGTGTAGTAGTTAAAGGCCAGGAGAGCGAGAGGCACATGCCAGCAGGATCTCCTTGGGCCAGACCCTCCCTCTGGACCATAGGAGGGAGAAGGCAAATGACTTCCCAAAATGTTGCTCTGAAAACTGCAGGGGTTTGCTCAGATGTTGCCAAGGGTCAAAGGCAAACAAAATAGCTGGAATTAAGACAGAGTCTAAAGCTCCAAGGATGTATGGAGTGATAGGATTTAGATGTAGTATATAGTAAAGGATCTTGAAGTATCTGGGGCCATGAAAGGCTGATTTAAGAAATGAACAACATTGGAAATGTGGTAATTCTCTTCACCGAACTTTCTTCTTGGAATATCCATATATTTTTGTTACTGTAATACTGCGTTTAGCACTTATTTAAAAAAATAAAATAAAAAAGGAGAAATGTAATCAGCTCCAATTGAAACCGTTTATGTTCTCTGTCTTCTGCAGCTACATAAGTCTCTAAATGACAATAGGCCAGAAATCTTCTGTTTGGAAAGAAACATCTTTTGGTTCCTTCTTCAGATGCTTCCACCTGCTCTGCACTCATCCGCTTCCTCCATTAACTGGAAATCCCCTCATTTGTTATTCAAGTATTATTTTAATATGTCCAAATAATAAACGGTAATGGAAGAACAAAATCTGAAGAGCAGGCTAGCACCTGAAAATGCACATCAATTTACTTTATACCTGTACAGGAAGTCCTCGACTTATGACTGTTTATTTAATTGTGCTTCAAAGGTACTATGGCCTTGGAAAAAGGGACTTAAAACCTGCCCTTGAAGTTATAATTGTTGCTACACACACACACACACACACACACACACACACACACCAGAGTCCCGTGATGGCAATTCAGGCACTTGGCAACTGGCTCACATTTACAACGGTTCTGTCTTGCAGTCACGTGATCACGATTTGTGACCTTTTCAGCTGGCTCTTCCAACAAGCAAAGTCAATTGGGGAAGCCAGATTCACTTAATGATCATGTGATTCACTTAACAACTGCAGTAAAAATGATTGCAAGAGAAAGAAGCATCTGTCCCCAAAAGTTGGAATCCAGTATTTCTGAGGTAAATGTCAGGCAAGTGCTAATACAAAAGACTATAACATTTAATTAATTAATTAGTTTTAATTAGTTTTCTTATATATTAGGACATGGAAAAATACCTTATATTAGTAGCCTCATCTGCGGTGCCTTTTGATTTCACTGAACAAAATCTGAGGGGAAAAAATAGTTAACTTTATTCCTCTGAAAGGCGAGAGCTTTAGACAATTTATTCTGAAAGCTTCTGTGGATTTGTGATGGACATACACTGATAGGATTGAAGCCACTTTGGGGATGCTATTTCTAAATAGAGCGCACAAATATACAGCCCCCTCCCCTACCCACATATGCCAAAGTAAACAAGGTGGGGAAAGCCTGCAGGAGGCGTCCTTGGGGATCGACCCCACCCCCTCCTTCATCAGCCGCATCCAGGAGCTGTCTACCTCTTATGCTGCTTAGGTGGCACCTGGGTGCATCTGTGGGGCTGCTTACCTGGGAGACCCTCCAAGGTTGCCTAGGTCCCATTTTGGGTCATGTGACCAGGAGGGACCCGGGGAGGGGAGGGGTTTTGAATGGAGCAACGGCCAACCTCCTCGTCCTTCTGAAGGGGCCCCCTCTTGCCTGGCCTGGCCAGGGATGCATTGGTGGGTGGGGAGTATTTACCCCCGGGATTTATTTTTTTTACAGCGCAATCTGGCCCTTTTTAAAACTGAATTTGGTCCCATTATATTTAGTCTACAGAAAGTGCATCTGTTGATAAACAGGCCTCAACCTTCTTAAATAATCTCTTTCCAGAAATCCATTGGGTTAGAAACAATTAAGAAACGATAATATAATTGGTCTTTTCTTCAAGAGTTATTTATTTCTTAGGTCCACTTGATTTTTCATATCTCACGGTTGTTTTAGTGTTTTTCGTGGCTCTAACAAGGTCAGAAAAAACAATTCATCAAACCTGCCAGATTTTGCCTGGCAAAGGCACGAAGCCGAGTTGCTAGGCTCATTCCTACTCGACTAAGGCCAGAATGGGTTTGGGCTTAGCGATTGTCTGTTTTAATATTCTGCAGATATAAGAGAAACACAGGTCTACAAATCTACCTGTTATATTAATATAGCTAGACCAAGTAGATGAATCGGTGTGCCTTTGTAGAATGTTTAATAATGATGCAAAAATGAGCAAAGGCTGGTGATGGGGCAACCGAACTCTTGAAGAAAACACCTTGGGACCAGACAGGAAGCAAAGCTTCTTCATAGCTTCTGCAAAAGGTACCTTGTCAAGAACCTTTTCCTGTCGTTGTTGTGGAATACAAGGAAAATGGAATAGCCATTGTTTAAGAAGATCTCCAGTGCTGTCTCCTGTGAAGACAAACCAAATGGGCCCTGGGCAGCTTGCAACAGGAAGGAGAAAATGCTTCTTTCTCTAAGTGACTTCAATGGCAATCACCTAGCCAAGCGGACTAGATCCAGGGAACTCGGGATCCCCGTGCTGCTGTCCCTAGGATTCATTGTCAGGGGTGCAGATCAGACAGCTACATAAAGCTTGTCCTCCAGGCATCTTCAAAAATTGGCCCTGAACTTTACATTTAAGGATACGACTAGCGAGTATGTCTATGAAGGGCGTTTGTTTTGAATGACTGAAAGGATTGTTTCCTGGGCTTACCTACTGTTTTTTGGAGCATGGCCTCTGGCAGGCATCACCCAAAGGCCAAAGGGTTCCTGGCTCAGAACCACTGGCACATTCCTGCTGCGGGTTAACAGCACCACCCCTCCCCACTCAGGCAGTCAATCGATTATCCTGAAGTTGAAAACCTTATAAGGTTTCTGCTCAAAGAACAATAGTATCTGTTGAGCTTACTCATCTGTGCGATTCCAGTTCTGCTATTGCTTAAAACATCTCACTGACAGGAAGACTCAAGCTTGCAGGAACTGTCAAAATCAGAAACCACTTCCTTTAGCCTGGCAAAACCCAGACAGAATACAAATTTGGGTTTTTTAAAAAAATGTTTAAACTTCAATGTTTTATTGGTGCTAATATTCTTGGTCTGTCCCTGATCAAGTTGAAGATTTAGAGCACATCGACTCAAACGCAGCTATGGAATTCATTTAGATATTTCAAAATTTTGCCATCCAAGGAAGCATTTAACAGCTTGTGCATTTATATAATAGTTGACAATTTTTTTCATTCTAACCTGTGAGCATCCATACAAAACCTCGTGTATCTTCATTAGACGTCCCCTACTCAAAGGAAAGGCCAAAGAGAGACAGCCGGTTCCTACCTGCAGAAGGAAACGCATCGGCCGGATCTCCCTAATGTCACTGTAGGAATGGCAGGAACACGTGGGCTCCACAGCTGTGGCCTCCGTTGTGTAGCACAAGTTGTAAATGAATGGCTCTTTGATGCTAGAAACAACCATGGGAAATGTGCATTAAACAACCACGGCATCATTAATTGGACTCCACTAGTGGCAAACAAGGAGGGCCGTTGTCCTCTTCTGCCTTGCCCCAAAACCTAACAGAGGACAACTTGTTCCAGGCCACCTCAGTCTGAGTCAGAAAAAAAACACCAGTAATTGCCCTGGAAGCTGGAAGCTATTATTGTCGTCTTTCCTCAGCACTTTTTCTTTGCTCTCCTGAGGAAGAGCCCTTTTCCTGAGGCCTCAGCCAGCCTGTCCCCTTTGGGACTTGGGGAGAGCCAGGAGGGGTGGGGAGGGGGAGGTCAGCATCTCCTTTCCCTCTCTGGATGTAAAGCCACCTCTCTCCGGGAAACATGGTAGCAAGATGAGAGACCTGGTGCTCAGGTCCTGGTGAATTGCAATGAATCAAACAGAAGTAAATGGGACTGGGGGGAGAGAAAATCTCCCTCCCTCCCTCCGTAATTGGGATTGCAAGATCTTGCACCTTTTGGTGGTAGAAATATCCACACAGACTGTGGTGTGAGGACTTAAATTAGGATCATCTTTCGATTATACTTGACACTTGTACCTCTTAGTTTTTTTCCGCCCAGATGTGTTTCGTTTCTGCATGTATGTCAGCCCTTCAGAGTAAACCAGAATAAGAAACCTCCTCACATGTTCTCAGGTTACAGTTCTGCCTGAACTCGGGACTCTTCTCTCTACTTTGGCAGGGGCTCTTTTCTCTGCCCCTTCCCATTACAAATGGGGAGAACTGGGATCTGGCCCCATGTGGACAGGGCCTGTTTCGGCAGTAGCCAGCAATAGGCTGGGCAGCCCCAAGTGCCGCTCAGGTAGGGAACGACTCACCAGGACAAGCAATGGCTCGTGCAATAAACCTCCCCCAGGTGGGAGAGGGTGAAGTGCTTGCAGACGTAGAAGTGGTCGCGGCCAAGGAGAAGCGCCCCTTCCGACGCTACGTGTCCATCCATCACCACCACAGACAGCTGGCAGGTCACCTAAACAGGGAAGATGGCGATGCACCTGAACAGCGAGGCCATCCTAACTTTGTCTCCAGTGCTCAATATTTTACCAATAAAAAATTAAGCCTCATGGACTGAGAAATACTCATTTCTAAACGGCCTTCCTTCTATCATGTAGCCTTATTCATACTAAAATAATGCCCCTGCTTTTCTTCAATAGCAGAGTCAGTTGCAAAGTTAATTAATCCTAACCATAAAAAGCTGCAAAAACGGGCTGCCTTGAGTGGGTGAAGTAAGGCTGCTTTCCTGATGAACACTTTCCCTACCAACTGGAATGGGGTGGGGGACCCTCCCGCCTGCCCCCTCATTTTGCAACAGGAGAACATGGAAGCGGCTGAATTTTGGGTCTGGAGAGAGCTCTGACCAGATGCGCCAGACAGACCGGCTGTGCTGCTTCTGCTTGTACCTTTTCATCTTGGACTAATTCCTGGAGGACAATTTTCCTTTCCGCGCAGACTTCCAAGAGTTCCTCTGAATGGAGATGTTCACAAAGGGCAGGAAAAAAAGTCAGCTGATCCCGACCCGCTTCTCCTTGTCTAGTCAGGGCTGGTTGTTCACCTGCATTGAAGTAAAAGGCAGAAAATGTGCACATTGTCATGGAACAAGGAGATCCCTCTGCTAAACTTTCCATTCTTCAACTGAAACTATAATCTCTGTTTTTATCACATAGCTTAGGGACTCTGCCCTATGAAAATAAAAATGTTTTTAAAAACAAGGCGTTTGCTGCCTGCTCCTACAAAACACGTCAGCAGTTGGGAAGGTGAGGGTTGGAAATATTGGGTTTAGTACAGATTGCCAGGCCTGGGTGGTCCTTGTGGTCAGGGCAGCATCTTCTGTTTCATCCCAGCCTCTCATCTGGGAACATTACCTTGATTTTCCACACGAGCTGGAGCAGATGCGCCCTTCTGTGTCTGCTGGGCCTAGAAAAAGAAACGGTTTGAGCTGCAAGGCACAGAAGATGGAGAAGGTGGCATCCTGAGATGGAGCCAGGCCGCTTCTGCACAGGGAACGACTCGGATGCACCTGCAGCCAGCAGCCAATAGCACTGACTGTAGACTTACAGTATATATCACTTCATGGGGCTTTACAGCCCCTCTCTAAGTGGCTTACAGAGTCAGCATCTTGCCCCCAGCAATCTGGATCCTCGTTTTACTGATGTCGGAAGGATGAAAGGCTGAGTCAACCTGGAACCAGTCAGGATTGAGCTCCTGGCTATGGGCAGAGTTAGCCTGCAATGCTGCACTCTAACCACTGCGCCATCCCATCAGCTTATTTCCTTCATGCAGGTGTCTAAGTCACCTGCAACATCATCATGGATGGAATTCTGTTTCCTGCCCTCTTCTTGTTTGTAATTGCTCTGCATCACAGGATCAGTTTACTGGTCTGTTTTGTGCCTTTCTTGGCCTAAAATTCTACATGGTTATCCTGGGCCTTTGTGTTGCAAACCAAGAATTGCAGTAATCACTTCTCCTTCCAAATATCAGCATCATCAACAGGTAGCAAAGCTCCCGGCCTGCCAGCTCAGAAGACTAAACAACAGACGTTGAGCTCTTTTATGACACAAAGCAGCCTCTTTTTCTCTTTCCTGGCAAGAGGAAATGGGATCCTATTTTCTTGTGTCCTGCCCCGAAAGCAGGTTACCTTGTTTTGCAATGGTTCCGCAGTATAGTGGGCGATTTTGAACCGGATCCTCTTCCTCATGCGAGCAGGGCCTTCGTAGGCATCCAGGGCCCACCTTGTGACAGGAGAAGCTACCGCAGGCCCCCACGGGCCTCCCTTCCTAAAAAGCCGGTCTTCCAGCTCAGTCCAGGCTTTGGCAGACTTCGAGTGTATGCACAGCAACCTCTGTGGGAAAGAGAGAGAAGCCCTGACAGCAAAGTCTCCTCCTCTGTTCCTACTCCTACCCAGAGGTTGCCTCTCTGCCTTGGAAAGGAAAGGAGCGCCTTACTTATTAGATGTGTGCAAATACTCAGTTACCTGCAGAAGCTCCAGGTGGTGCTCCAAGTGCCCCTCCTCCCCCTCCTCCACTTTTTCTCCTCAAGAGGCAGGTTGGGCTGAGAGGAAAACTCAAAATCACCCTGTAGCTAAGGATGGACTCGGACATCGCTTTTCCTGCCTCTAGCCCAGCAGCCTTAACCACACGGCCCCTAGGGTGGAATTCTTTCCATGAGAAGGCAGGAACTGACCCTTCCTTTGGGACCGAGGGAGGCCTATTGCTTTTGAAGGATTATCAGGACCCATAAACTGCCCTTGATTTTATTTAAATTCAACTAAAACTAAATAAATTGAAAGTAGTAGAGATGACTGCATTTAGTACTTTGCTCTACAAAACTTCACCCAGGCAGAATGGGACATCGAGCGTGTCAAATCCTCTTAGCTCATTCAGTGAGGAAGTACTTTTTCCTGTAGTTACTTTGAGAGCAATAACTCCATCACTTCACTCTATTTTAAGCAGATAAATATTAAATCCCCTACTAGAAGCAAATTCAGGTAGTGACTGCTGCTATCTCACTGTTATAAAAGTGTCACAGAGAAGCAAATGCAGATATTAATGCATTTGGGGACCCAAAGGTTTGCAGAAACAAAATTAAAATAGTATTTTGTAAAAGAGAGGAATACAATGGGAAGAAAGTCACAGAAGGACAAATGAGCATGGAATAGATCACCGACTCAGTGATTGGCTGAAACCTTGATCAGAAGACCAGCTGTTGGCAGGGTAATTGCACTGCAAAAAGTTCTGCTTCACCCCTTAAATCTCTGTCTGCAAGTGAAACAAAGTCACTCAAAATGAAGAGGAATCTTCCTGCTTAGATAATGTTTGCTTTACAAAAGACCAGGAAGAGAATAAGGATTCAGGGGAATTTGTTGCATGACAACTCCATTGAATGAGCGTAATAATGATTTTAGAACTATGAGTTCTTTTCTCAATCTTACTGTTTTCTTTACTTCTCCATTTTTACTAACGTAAATTTCTCAGAGTCTCGCGATGGTTGCAGGTATAAATGCAATCAATGTAATCAATCAACCAATAAAACAATCTCCTCTCCTTTCTTTGATGCGTCCAACCATGTTTTGTGACTTTTTCGTTTCTTACCTCAACGTGATCCTTGCATAAAACCGCATAGAGTTCTTGTCCAGTTCTCCTGCATTTTTCTAAATATAATGTAAAATCCTGATTTAAAACAAAAAATATTAATAAATTGATGTCTGTAACAAAACACTTGTGCTTTACATTTGATGAGTAAAATTTAAACTAGTTTTAATAGAATAAAATAGAATTCTTTATTGGCCAAGTGTGATTGGACACACATGGAAGATACGTTCATCAAGAATCATAAAGTACAACACTTAATGATAGTCATAGGGTACAAATAAGCAATCAGGAAATAATCTCAATAGAAATCGTAAGGATACAAATAACAAAGTTACAGTTATACAGTCATAAGTGGAAGGAGAAGGGTGGTGGGAACGATGAGATTAATAGTAGTGCAGACAGTAAATAGTTCGACAGTGTTGAGGGAATTATGTGTTTAGCAGAGTGATGGCATTCAGGAAAAAACTGTTCTTGTGTCTAGTTGTTCTGGTGTTCAGTGTTCTACAGTGTCATTTTGAGGGTACAAGTTGAAACAGTTTATGTCCAGAATGTGAGGGGTCTGTAAATATTTTCACAGTTCCCTTTTTGACTCGTGCAGTATACAGGTCCTCAATGGAAGGCAGGTTGGTTTTTCTGCAGTTCTAATGATCCTCTGAAGTCTGTGTCTGTTGTGTTGGGTTGCAGAACCAAACCAGACAGTTATAGAGGTGCAGATGACAGACTCAATAATTCCTCTGTAGAACTGGATCAGCAGCTCCTTGGGCAGTTTGAGCTTTCTGAGTTGGCGCAGAAAGAACATTCTTTGTTGTGCTTTTTCGATGACGTTTTTGATATTAGCTCCCCATTTTAGATCTTGCGATATGGTAGAACCTAGAAATTTGAAAGTCTCTACTGTTGATACTGTGTTGTCTAGTATTGTGAGAGGTGGAAGTATGGAAGGGTTTCTCCTAAAGTCTACCACCATTTCTACAGTTTTGAGTGTGTTCAGTTCCAGATTGTTCCGGTCGCATGAGGCTAGTTGTTCAACCTCCCGTCTGTATGCAGATTCATTATTGTCTTGAATGAGACCGATCACTGTTGTGTCATCTGCGAACTTCAGTAGTTTAACAGATGGATCGTTAGAGATGCAGTCATTGGTATACAGAGAGAAGAGAAGTGGGGAGAGCACACAGCCTTGGGGGGCCCTTTGCTAATTGTACAGGTATCTGATGTGATTCTGCTTAGCTTCACCTGCTGCTTCCTGTTTGTTAGGAAGCTTATGATCCACTTACAAGTGTGTTCAGGTACTTGTAGCTGGTTTACCTTAGTTAGAAGAGTGTCTGGAATGATGGTATTGAATGCTGAACTAAAGTCTACAAAGAGGACCCATGAGTAGGTCTTTGGAGATTCAAGATGTTGTAGGATGTAGTGCAGAGCCATATTAACAGCATCATCTGTTCATCTATTTGCTCAGTATGCAAACTGCAAGGGGTCTAACAGCAGATCCATGATGGTTTTCAAGTGGGACAGCACTAGTCTTTCAAAGGTTTTCATGACTACAGATGTTAGAGCAACTGGTCTGTAGTCATTCAGTTCCTTGATGGTGGGCTTCTTCAGCACTGGGATGATAGTAGAGCGTTTGAAGCAAGAAGGAACATAACACATCTCTAGCTATTTATTGAAGATACGGGTGAAGATGGAGGCCAATTGGTCAGCACAGACTTTTAAGCAAGAAGGAGTTATCTTGTCTGGGCCTGGAGCTTTTCCTGGCTTTTGTCTGTGAAATAGGTCTTGCACTTCCTTTTCTGTGATCACTAGGGGTTGTAAACTCAATGGGATGGGGTCAGTTGTAAGAGGCTTGGCTGTTGTTGGTGTGTCTGAGATGGGGGTTGTGGAGATAGGTGGCTATAGTTTCCTTTCAAACCTGCAGTAAAACATGTTCAGGTCATCTGCCAGTTGTTGATTTCCTTCAGCCTGAGAAGGAGGTTTGCTGTAGCTGGTGATATTTTTCAGTTTTCCACTTGTTTGCTGGTTCATTTGTTGAGAACTGATTCTTACCTTTTCAGAGTAGCTTCTTTTTGCTGCTCTGATCTCTCATTAATACATTTCTAGCCTGATTGTACAGCATTTTTATCACTTTTTCTGTAGGCTTCCTCTTTGGAATGACGTAGCTGCTTATGTTTAGCTGTGAACCAAGATTTGTTGTTACTGTATATTTGCAAGTTCCTGGTCGGTACACATAGGTCTTCACAGAAGCTGACATATGATATTACAGTATCTGTGAGTTCATCCAGGTCTGCAGAGATATCTTCAAAAATATTCCAATCAGTGCAGTCAAAGCAAGCCTGTAGCTTTAACTTTGCCTCCTCAGTCCAAGTCTTCACTGATTTAATTGTTGGTTTTGTGGTTTCAAGTCTTTGCCTGTAAGCAGGTACAAGGTGAATCATGCAATAATCAGAGTGTCCTACAGCTGCTCGTGGTAAAGACCGATAAGCATCTTTTAGTGTTGTGTAGCAATGGTCTAAAGTATTCTTGCCTCTAGTGGGACAATTGACATGCTGAAAGTATTTTGGTAGCTCTTTCCTTAAGTTTGCCTTGTTTAGATCTCCCAAAATAATGGCCAGTGAATTGGGGTATTTGGCTTCAGCCTCCATAATTTGGTCAGCTAGAGTTCGTAATGCCTTGTTTACACAGGCTTGTGGTGGGACATAAACAGCAATTAGAAGAAATGAGGAAAATTCACGAGGCGAATAATATGGTTTGCAGTTGATAATTAATGTCTCTAGGTTTTCGTCATAGAATTTATACATTATAGTTATATCCTGAGACCAGCTGTTGTTGATGTATAAGCATAAGCCGCCTCCCTTCTTTTTTACAGAAGTTTCCATGAAATTGTGCTAAGGAGTCTTGAGGTGAGAATCTTGCAATCTTTTCTGTCAAAGACCAACCTTTTGAAGGCCCCCAACCTTGACAGTCTGGGAGAACCGGTCATTTAACAAGGGGGGGGGGGAGCTGTGCTTCCAAGACAGTGATGGCACAGATAGAAAAGAAAAAGAAAAGAAAAGAAAAGAAAAAAGATCAAAGAAGGGGAGGGGAAATAAAGAAGACCAGAAGGTAGAAAATGAAAAAAAGGAAGAAAGAAAAAGGATAACAGATAACAGAGTTGGAGGACTTGTAGCCCTGCTCAGGAATGAGACCCTATAGCATTTCATAGAAATGGCTGTCCAATCTCTTTTTTCAAACCTCCAGTGACGGAGCACCCACAACTTCTGCAGGCAGGCCCTTCCACCAGTTGATGGTTAAGTAGAATCGGGAAAGAGGCAGAACCAAAGAAAGAGGAACTAAGACTGCCAGAAGATGGGGCTGAAAGGTGGCAGCAGGAACCCAAATTCAAGATGGCAGCATTAGCATATTAGCATATTTCAGCAAGAATAGAATGTAAAAAAAGTAGAAAGAATTTGTTCCACAGCAGTGTCAAATTTTGAGATCCATGCCAGGATATAATAAAGCAACTGGCATAGTTCTTTGGCTTCCAAGATTTGCAGCAGAAGGAACAAATGTTCTCTTTTTGTTGAAGAAATGAAAATGCAATGATATCCTTAGTGTTATTGGTGGCACTCTGTGGTCTGATCTAAGCTCTGGTAATGCAAATAGAAAAGCTCTTCCTGCATTGACAAAAATCACCCAGATTTACCAGCAAATCAGCAGTTTTAAAGAAATGTCATTTCTACTCTGGCTGAGAACTACGGTAGATATCAAAAAAGACATTCATGTTGCAGTGGGAAAAAAGTTAATATACATCATTACAAGCAAATTGTCTGGTTGCACTGAAAGAAAAAATGGGTTGCCATGAGCAGTTCTGAAATGAATATCAGAATCAAAAGTCCCCCTGTGTATTTAATAGCATGCTAATTTACATTTTAATTACTTCCCAAGAAATCAAAGCATTTGTTGACAGTGGAACATAATGTCAGCTTCATAGAGCACTGTCGGTAGATGCTTAATGAATTTAATTAGATAATCAGTGGTGTTAATTATCTTTCTATTATGAAGATAAAGATGTTACACAAATGATTAGCAGAAATATAATTAATTATAAATTTGCTTGTTTGGTCTCTTGAAATCGAAATAATACACATGGCATTATGATAAGAGATTTGAAAAGGATATTGACATTGTGCACTCCACATACTGGTGAAGCACCGGCTGTGAAAAGGATGACAGGCAAAACTCACATCTGGACGGATAACTTCCTAAAGCAGCCACTGGAAATTCTTGTGAGCTCAGAACAATCGACTTTTACCAAATACGTCTAGGAAGGCACTACACATATGTCACAGAAGCATTATGTGCTTCCTTCAAAACGCAGTACACAACAGTCACAGACACCATATTTTGGCCAAGCCAAACCAAGCCAAATAAATGAGTTGCAGGTAGATGTGACTGTGAATTGTGTTGCCTCAACTTCCTTTGATCTATCTGGGTCAAATAGACCCAGGGGAGACTTGCCCAACTATGACATTCAGGCAGCCTTTCACTAGGTGTTGTGTTAAAAAGCAAAGGGATGGACATAAATATTAAGGCAGACACCTAAAAACATGTATGCAGAAGAAATGGTTAAAAGTTATGACGTCTTTGCAACTCAGCAGAAAATTATTAGCTATATGTACAAGAACATCTGCTTAGATTGTAAAAACAACTATTTCCCCTTTTCAGTTTGGGGAAATCAATACGGTTTGTTTTTAAAGGTAAATTTGGACATTTTGCTCTTTGAAGTCCATGTTTCTGTTTGCCAGAGGGGAGAATAGCTGAATGTTTGAGCTGTAAGAAAATACTCCATGTTGAGGGTTGTACTAGTGAACGAAGAAACTTTATGAAAATTTCTCCTGGGGGCAAATTATTTCCACATTGGGAGGGAGAAGGTGTGATTCAGACATGTCAGTGGAAAGGCCTTTCTTTCTTCTGAGAGGAAACCCTTCGGGGAAGCTTTTGGTCCAAAGTGAGGGAAGGTCATGGCAAAGTCATGTCTTTTGGCCAGAAAGAGGCAAAGCCAAAAGGAAAACCTCCAGTTGAAAGCAGAAACATGGTTTTAGGGCAAGACCACTTCCAACCCCTCCAGTTGAAAAGTCAGATGTGAGGCCACATCTGCTCAGCCTTGGATACAAACCGATTCGTTCTTCAGGGTCAGATATTTTCAAATATCTTCTAATTAAAAGATCCATATATTGATTTTAATAAAGGGTTATCTCTTTTTAAAAAACACGATTTTATGGCTACTATGGCTGACTTCCCTCTATGTTGGTCCCCTGAGATCTATTCCAGGGGATGCCTAACAAAGGCACGGGTGGCCAAAAGGCACCAAACCTCTAATTGGGAATGTTTCTGGAATAGGATCAACGATACTTGCTTGGATTAAGAAAAATATGAAAAGGCAATAAACTTGGCCATGGATTTTGTAGGAGTGGCCCTGTCTTACCGCTCAGTTGCTGTACAGTTCCTAGCCCTGGAAGTCAGCCTCTGACCTCTGTCTGCCTGGATCTCTATCATCTGCTTCCTCTCCCCACTGTCTCCATACGGACCGAGTTTGGGGAAGCAAAGTAGCAGGTGACAAGGCCCTCCAAAGACCCTTGGCAGCACGCCAGGTTAATTTCCTAAAAGAAGCTTTGGCCAGGGCTGATCTGCTAAGGCTCCAAAAAGGCTCAGATCTTCCTCCTGTCTTCCTCTCTGTACCTGGCTTGCTTATTATTGCCAATGTCCTTTAGTGAGAAGGCCGAGTGGGAAAACAAAACAATCTAGGAGGGAGCGGAAATATAAATCATCCGCACTGTGGATTTCTTTTCTTTCCAAGGTGCACAGAAAAAAAAACCTCTCGGGTGCCCCAGAGCTATAAAGAATATATCCTTCTGTCTGTCTCTGGATCCGGAAGTCCCAGAGATCTCCTATCAGTCATTTAGCCAGCTGTACACTAATTTCCTTGAAAAGCACGGGGAAAAAATATAATTGCCTGGAGCAGAAAGTGAGCCAAGAGTTGGAGGCTCAGTTGCATGTCACACTATAGGGAAGCGTCTATCAGATCTTGAAGCGTCAGTTGCTGACATTACCGAAAACAACACAAAATGAGTAATGTTCCCCTGTAATCCGGCTTCTCCTTTAATTACAAGCCTCTTCTTTTTAGAAAAGAAAGACAGAAGATGCAGAAACCTCAATTTCATGCACTTGTGCCTGAATAATGCGTCTACTCAGCCTTTTCCAGATGGCATCTTTTCCTACTACGAGAACTAATGATGTGGGCACATTTAGGGAAAAACCAATAATAGTCTTTAACCTTCAACAGCAAATACAAGTTGTACAAAATGTTCCTTGGGATACATTAACAAATATCAATTACTTTGCTCACTGATGTGTAATCAGCTGTAATAATCAAAATTAATTTTAAGAAATAATTAAACAGACCCCAAGGCAAATAGATGGGGCCAGCATTGAACAGTAACGTGCATTCCCATCACACCTGGAAAGAAGTTACTTAGGCTGAATCTCTTTCTCAGCCAACAAAAGCAGCTATGAAACCAGCCTTGAGTTTGTTCATCAACCCTTTGCTGTACTTTGCACTCCCGGGAAGGAAAAAAGGTTATTTGGGCCACATTGCATGTCAGCAAGTAGAGCAGGACTAGGACTTCAAGTCGGGAAGCTCAAGATATTATCGTGCACTCTTTTGTGTGTGTGTGTGTGTGTGTGTGTGTGTGTGTGTGTGTGTGTGTGTGCTTTTTTTGGCATCTGAGGTTCCCACAGGGATTTGGAAAGGCAGTTTACGCCAGTTTTGTGTATCACCTGTTTCAGGTTCCTGCCGGGAGTCAGGCTCTCATTCAAAGGACTCGTCTTGCTGGATGCATCGATGAGAATTTTGCTCTGGGAGTTTTTCTTTTCTGATGCTGGAAGCACAGAGAGGAAAGGAGCAACAAACGCAGTTAATGTTTTGTTGTGCCGCTTTAGGTGCCACACAACCTCTATTCCTGACCATCTATGCCACCTCAATGTTATCCCTCAAAGGGCCCAGCCTTAGCAAGGCCCAGGGCAAAGCTGGCATCACAGCCGGTGGCTGCCAGTTGCGTTTTCCTCTGCCCTGGATATTTGTTTTTCCAAATAGCAATCTATAAGACTCATTCTGCTGTCTAGCAAGATTGTGTCCATTGTGTCCAGCTATATGGTGTTTCGGACATCTCTGAACCCCATCTGTCTTCCCCAGTTATAGTCCACCAAATGAATTAAGAAGCTTAGATCATGATGGGACCTGTCAACCTCTCACTCGGTAGCATGAATCATGGTTAATAATAGTTCCTGAGCAGACCCATCTCCCCAAAGGCCAAGGGCCGTGCGGTGAAACCACTTCCGTTAAAGACTTCATATACTTTGAGAGCAGAGACCTAGAAAGGCCTGCCAGGTCTTCCTCATGACCTCTTCCCAAAGAGGAGCTACATCAGCCATCTTCATTGTCTCTTCTCCATCGCCTTTCTCTTTAAATAAAGAGGTTTTATATGCATCCTCTAAATCCTTTCTTCTCCTAGAAAGAAGCCGGAGCCAGATTTCCTCAGCTGCCCTCTGGATCTCTTGCTGAACTGGAAATAATAAAATGCAAGCATGTTTTGGTGTGGAAGTATTATATCAACAAAAGGGCCATCATGCATCACTTCCAGATTCAAGGGTCTGCAAAGGTAAGTCAGATCAGTAGCTTTGCGGATATTTACTGAAACCAGGGCCCTTCTATCCTTAAAGCAAAATCACTCACAGCACTCCAGATTTTGATACTGCCTGTGCAGAATGTATGTAGAAATCAGAGCAGATGGCCCATATCTCTCCATGTATCTCATGTAACATTGTCTGTTTTTGTTCCCAGGCAATAAATTGTAAACAATTTGGGTGACAAGGTTTCTATATCGACATTACAAAATGCACCCGTGTTTTAAAGAGTCTACAGTAGGTGAGTGTTGAGCTTAATTCCTTAGTACAAAAGTCATAATCTGTGTGGGCTGCATTGGCCTGGATGTAATTTCTGTTGCTTGAAAGCCATTAATTCAGCACTGCGTATTTCTTTTAGTGTAGAAGATCCAGATGAAACACTGTCCTTTCCTTGCGAGCTGTTGAGACTAGTTCTATAGACTCTTGGAAGTGGGTAGATTTTGAGAGCAAAGCAGGACATCTACAATAGCCTTCTCCTTTTCTTCTCTTGATCAGCCCCTATTCCATCCCTTTTTTCCACACCCATCATGTCATGTTTACCATCCTTCAGGGCAGAAAGATCACCGATCCTCTCCTCCTCTTTTCTCAGGCCAAGAAAAATAAGGCAACCCGAAGCTGGCATCCATTTTGCCTCACCACTTTCATGATAGCTGTAACACAGAAAATAAACAAACCTCTGGCTAAAATATAAGCAGCTTCATTAAGACCACCATCTGAGCAAAAAAGGTGGGCTGTGGATTATTTCATGCAACTTAATCCTAATATATTTATTTTTAAAGAACTTTTAAAAATACATGCTTATTTTTAAGAACTCTAATAACCAAGAACAACAACTAAAAGACAAATTGCTTCAATATCTGCTATTTGGGGATTTACTTTGGCCAAACACAGCATTTCAAGGTAAAAGAAGTGTCTGTCTCTATGTCCCTAAGATGGATTCCATTTAGGGGTCCATTTTTTCCTTTATCTTTATTCTTTTCTTTACACTAGATGTGGTGCTATTGTTCCACCAATGGGGGATTGATTCCTCCAAGCTGAAGAAGCTTTCCAAATCTAAATGGAAACAGCCTCTGGGTTCTTCTTGAAGGCAAAACGGCCTTTTACCTAGCTAGCAAAATTCTTCGTTGCCAGGTGTATTATTTCATCTTTTGGACTTTCCTTCTGATGCCACAGGAGAATGCAAACTTCCGATAAAACTCTCCTGCCCAAGACCAAATAGAGTTCTTAAGACTTTGCAAAGAAATGGCAAACTGGTCCAGTAAACTATCCAAGAATCAAAACCAGAATAAAGCAAGAGACAATTGGGGTCAAGAAATGTGCCACACTTGTGGTCTGACAGTAAGTAGGTGATGCTATTTATTCACCAAGAATAATCACAGATTTACCGAAAGTTTGCTCTCTTGTGATGTGGACTTCATAGTTCCATACACATGATGTTGGAATACCCCCTCCCAATTCAGGAACATCAAAAACGTCTTCCCCAGATTTGAAATAAGCTTTAAAGGTGAGCGGCATCTCTCTGAAACATGACTAGAAACAAACTGTTCCTTATGGAAGTCACTGTAACTCAGGGACATATCCAGCATATTTGTTCCTATGTTCTAGATTAAACTCCTGGAGTTTCTTCAAGATCAAATCTACACTGGAATAAAATTAAGATATGGTTGGAAGAAATGATACAACAACGTATTGATTAAAACCAGAGCTGTTCCTACTGGGTATCCTTCCAGAGAAAATTAGCAAAGAAAATATTTATTTGATTATACATGTAATAATAGCTGCAAGGATTGTTTTTGCACAAAATTGGAAAGCAGAGAAAATATCTTTAGAAGGAGAAGTAATAAAAAATTTTTTAGACTGTGCAGAAATGAATATATTAACTTTGATGATCAAAGAAAGAGAGGATTTAGAATATTTTAAGATATGGGATCAATTTTACCATTGATTAGAAAAGAGGTATAGATAAGCAAACTAATAGTTATGTAAGAAATACTGTATTTTTGGAGAAATGCTGTAATGGATTTGGTGAAAATGAAGACAGAAAAAACAACAAAAAGATGAAGCCAGGGAGAAAACATATCGCATGGAAGGAATGACTGATGTATTAAATGTTTGTTTGTGTATAAAATTAAAAAAAAAAGATCAAATCTACACTGATCATACTGACATAATTCAACAAGTACCATTGAAATGCATGCCCCTGAGGAAACGTATTGTCTCTGAAAAAAGTTTCTGTAAATTTCTGTTCCCTTGCCTAACAGTTCTGCCAGAATAAGAAAACACTGCCGTACCTGATAGATTTCAGTTGTGATAGGCAATACAAAAAGCTTGTGATGAAATCCAGGCTAGAATTGTGTACTGCAAAGATGACATCCCATTGCATCTGAAGAGTCTGTAGAACTTCTAGAAGACTTTGGGACCCAGAAGAAGAATTTGATAAATAGTACAAGATGCTGTGGTTCAAACAGTTGTACAAGTTGCTCATAATTGACTCTTTGTGGAGAAAAAGCTTTCTTGTTACCTGTTAAAAAACAGTCAAGAGGCTCAGAATGCATGTATTTAGGGATAAGACTCAAAATGTCCATGAAAATATGAAAAGTAGAACTAAGGTTCTCCAACTAAGGTTCTCCAGCACCTTAGGACATGCCTTCCACCGAACTTTGACAAATATCAGTTTGCATACAGGGGGAATAGGTTGACAGATGATGCCACAGTTACTGATTTACATTCTGTAGCGAACCATCTGGAGAAACCCGGGAACTATGTCAGGATCCTTTTCATAGACTATAGCTCGGCCTTCAACACCATTCTGCTGAGCATCCTTATCGAAAAGCTGACTGAGTTGGATTTTCCCTCTTCCATCTGTGACTGGATCAAACCCTTTCTGAGGGATCAGCCACAAACAGTGAGGGTTGGGTCTGTTATATCCACCCCCTGAAGCTTAGCACTGGCTCCCCACAGGGCTGTGTGCTCAGTCCCTACTTGTATTCACTGTACACACATGATTGTGTACCGTCAGACCCATCTATTGTGATCATTAAGTTCGCAGATGACACCACTATCCTGGATCTTATTACAGGTGGAGACGAAACAGCGTACAGGAGGGAGGTTCAAAAACAATCCACATGGTGCTTAAAAAATAACCTGCACCTGAACATCAGCAAGACCAAGGAGATGGTGTTGGACTTCTGGAGGAAGAGAGAGGAACCTTCCCCACTTTACATTGAGGGGGTGAGGGCTGTATAGAGAGAGTCTCCTCCTTTAAATTCCTGGGAGTTCATCTCAGCGAAGATCTCACCTGGAAAAACAACACGATCCAGGTGGCCAGGAAGGTCCAACAGAGACTCCATTTCCTTAGGGTCTTGTGTAAAAACAGGGTGGAACAACAACTGATGATCTCCTTTTACCGGTCCACCATAGAAAGCGTCCTCACTTATTGCATCACAGTATAGCATGCTGGTCTGACAGCCGCGGATAAAAAAACACTACAGAGGGTGGTGAGCAGTGGTGGGTTGCTCCCGGTTCGCACCAGTTCCCACGAGCCGGTAGCGGTGACGATATGATGTCACCGAAGCGGTTCTCCACCCCCCCGCCCCTCCACCCACCCCCCACGTTATTCTTACCCTTTATTTGGCCCCACTCCCAATCTATTGCTGCCTCCTGAGTCCCAGCTGATGGCTAGAAGGAAAAAAACTGTTTAAACTCTTGCCGCGGGGCTTCAAAGGGCAGCCCTACAGCTGATCAGTGTTAAAAGAAAACAAATGAGTTGCTATGCTAGGGAAAAAATAAAACTGAAAGTAAAGCAGGCTCTGCTGCAATGGGACAAAATGAGGCAGGGAGAGATTTCTTTTTCTTCACCAAAAAAGGTAGGTGCAAACAATGGGAAATTTAGGGCAAAAGAGGAGAGTTCAAGATTTTAAAACACAAAAGAAAAAAAGCTCTATTTAACTAGGGAATTGTAATAATTGAGATACTATTAATTGTATATTGTGTTGAAAGCAGAAATGGTTAAGTTGTGGTTTGGAGGAATATATGGGGGAAATTATTTGGTTTATTATTATTGGTAAATATAATTAATTGATTTGTAAGAAATTGGATTGCATGGAAATAATTCGAATATTCATGTTCATATTGATTAATATACAAAAAAGATAGTTATATAACTAATTGATTTATATTAAAATGTTGAATTTATATTAAACAACTGTAATATTACATAATTAACCAATGTGAGGATGGATATAAAAATAGATGACAATGGGAAGGGGTATAATATAGAATAGAAGGGGAAAATTGAATTTGATTAAGATTAGAGATGAGGATGAAGGGTAATATTGGTTTTTTAAAAAAACAGATGAGGAATAAATATGGCAAAAAGGAAATATAAAAATTGTAAATTTAATTGAACTGACTAAACACTGTTTAAATTTGTGAACCGGCCAAATACTCTGTTCAAAGAAAATACATTGTATGTTTGTATGTGTGTTTCTAATTATTGCTATTTATTCATATTTGTTCTCTTTTATTCTTTAAAGTTTAACAATTCATTCTTTATCTTAATATCTTTATATTTGTTTGGGGTTGCCTTTCTTCCCTTTCATCTTTTTTATTGTACAGCAATCTTTCTCCTCAAACCTACCACCTCTATCTTTTCTTTCTTTCTTACTTTCTCTTCCCCCCCTCTTCTTCTCCTCCCTACTTCCTCTTCCTTTCTCCTTCTCCTCCTGTCTTCCTCCCTCTCTTCCCCTCACTCCTACTCTAATTTCCCTTCCCTTCCTTCCTCCCTTCTCTTCCTTCCCTCTCTTCTCCTTCCTTCATCCCTCTCTATTGCTGTATCCTTTTGTGCATATGGATTACTCAGAGGGCTGAAAAAGTTATTTTTGACTGGTCCTTGCACTTTTGACCAGTCCTCGAACTTACGACTGTCCTCACATTTTATGTTTTTCGCCCTATCTTGTCACCATGGTGAAGAGAAGCAGTTGTGAAATGAGTGACATGGTTATTAAGAATGCTGCACGGGCATAAATCTGAGGATGGTCATAAGTGTGAGGACCAGTCAAAAGATTCAAGGTGTTAGTTATCACCTTTAAAGCGCTCCATGGCTTAGGATCTGGGTACCTACGAGACCGTCTTTTGCCACCAATAGCCTCCCACCGACCAGTTCGTTCTCACAGGGAGGGACTACTCAGGGTACCGTCAGTCAAATTATGCCGACTGGCGACTCCCAGGGGGAGGGCCTTCTCTGTGGGGGCTCCAACCCTTTGGAATGAACTGCCCCCGGAGATACGGAATATCCCTGATCTCCGTGCTTTCCGCCGTGCCCTCAAAACCCTGATGTTCCAACAAGCGGGGCTAAACATACAAGCATGCGAATGATTTTTTAAATGTTATCTAATTCTGGGTTTTATTTAATTGACCAAATTAAGTGGCAATTTTAATTAGCAATTTTGTGGTGTTTGTGTGTCTATGTTTTTCTTGACTGTACACCGCCTTGAGTCCTACGGGAGAAAGGCGGTATAGAAAGAAAGAAAGAAAGAAAGAAAGAAATAAATAAATAAATAAATAAATAAATAAATAAATAAATAAATAAATGTGCGAGGACCTGTCAGAAATGACTTTTTTCAGCCCTCTGAGTAGTCCCTACACACATAGCCATGGCCATCCGGCCACATGACCAGCTAGCCACGCCCACCTAGTCACATGACCTCTAAGCCACGCCCACAAAATAAGCCACGCCCACAGAACCGGTAGTAAAAAAACTTAGAACCCACCCTTGGTGGTGAGCACAGCACAAAACATTGTGGGCTGTCTCGATACCACTAGATGAGATTGCTAGGGCTCGCTGCCTTAGAAGAGTGAGGAAAATTCTCAGGGACAACTCTCACCCTGGTCACCACTTCTTTATCCTCCTACCAACGGGAAGGAGATATAGAAGTATAGCCAGCTGCACAAACAGGTTGAAGAACAGTTTTTATCCGTGGGCTGTCAGACTCCTGAATGAGAAATAACATCATAACTACGTAGTATGATGGACTGCAGGGCCGGCACAATGTGTAACATGTTCACACTGGTGCAATAGGACAGGGTGTTTTGTTAATATGATTTATTAGGTTAGGGATTTTCTGTCTTCACTGTGAGTTGCATTGTGTTGGGGGGGTGCACTGAGGGAGCTCAATCAATCTCATTGTACATATGTTGTGCACTGACAATAAAGATTTGAAATTGAAATAAAGATTTTAAAAATTATGCATCCAGATTTGCAACAAAATGTTGCAGAACAAGGAGTCTATTCTGCTTTTTGAGGAATTTGTTTTTGCTTGTTCTTACAGACATTCAGCCACATGCAAATACAAATGAAAATGTTTCTTTTTGCTCTGTTGTTTTTAAATTGTGGCATGTGAGATTGTGCACTGAAACGCGTATCCAATAATTATTCTTAAATGTCCTTTTGCCTTGTGCAAAATTTTCTATAATCCAACTACTTTCCTTCTCCAATAAGCTTGAGCATGTGTGAGCATTCAAGCTGTCAATCCCCTCACAATGAAAATTAAATCCATTTTAAAGAGAATTTAGGGTAATTATTTGTTGTCACAGAAGTAGCATCTCTGGGGTGGAAACCATCCCTAATAAGCTTACAGCGGCATCGCTTGGTGCATCTGCTGTTATCTAGAAATGGCTGAGAATGGCACCTGGGGAGGAGGGGGAGGAGCCCTTACCAGTTGCACTTGCTCTGCGATGAAAAGGATGGTCTTCCTGGGCTCTGTGACCAACACTCCCTCGTGAAGTTTGCTTACCAGCTTCTGAGTAAAATAGCAAACATTTACTAGAAAATAAGGCAGACTGGCAGATTCCAAAACGCTCCTGGTATCACCATTTCCTGCAAGGGGGAAGAGAAGGTTGAACTTCTAAAATGCGATTAAGAACAAGGAAATCTCTGCAGATTTTTTTCTGATAAAATATTATGTGGTGTCTTCTTAATTTTTGTTTTTCTAAAATTATTGAAACAATATTCAATTTTAAAGAAATATAGAAAAGAGACCACCCCAAACAAAATAAAATACAAACTAACAAAGAAAAAAGAGAAAAGCGTTACCTTGTATTTTATATTTATTGTTACTATATTATATATACTAATAAATATACTGTACTGCTAAATCTAGTATATAAAATAAAATATAAACATCAGTCCTTATACTCGGCAATCAAGCAGTCTAAACTATTAGAAAAATGTACACCTTCAGTGAAGAAACTTTCATTTCTAAAAATAATGTTTTGATTAAGAAGCTATTACGTCATTTATGAGTAAGCAAGGTATCAATAGCTTCCTTCTGTCTAAGCTCCACTGTACTTTGTCAAAGACACAAGTGGTCAAGAACGCATAACGCACAAGGTTCAAAGGAGTGGGGGGACACCCTTTGACCTCTGACCCACCCTGCCCACTGCTTAACACAGGGATCCAGATTGGGGCAGGGGGACATTACAGACAGCCTACCCTTAGAACATATGGCTAAATTGCAACTTCCAACACTTAGCATGGCTGTTTGCACAAAAAAAAAAAAAAAAGAAAAAATGCTGGGATCTGTAGTTCAGCAATACCTGCAGGGACCTCACGGTACGTTCTGTGTGTTTCAGGTAGATTCAGGTAGAAAGAGGGCTGAACCGCAAGTGACACTCACCTGTTAAACTGGAGGTTTCCTTGTAATTTTGACCAAGGTTGTAGACAATCTCTATCATGGAAAGCAATAGCTCTGTCTGGAAGCACATCTTTTGCTCAATAGCAGCATTCTCTGGAGAGGCCTGTATTGCGATCATAGATAAGCGATGGACTCTTATTGGTTAGTGTTATTAGCACACAGCAACAACCGCACACCCCCCCCACCAACCCCATGTTCTTAGGAAGCTTACATTAGAGTGAAAACATTTTCAGAGAATGTTTTAAAAGAATGAGAGAATAAGAATAGGACAACAGTTTCCAGAAGCAGGCCTTTTCCTCAGTAAAAAGTGGGTGGTAATACTCTTAATACTCTACAGTTCACTATCGAGGCTGTAGTGTGGCACAGAGAGCCATACTTGTACATCGTAAAATCCCTAAGGAAATGAACCTTGCAAAATCTTGCAAAGACTCTGGAATGCATGGGACCTACAGCAAAAGGTGAGCTAAAGCATCCGCTTCCCCTCTGTTTTATCAAACTTTTCTACTTGCAGAGTTTTCCTAAGTAACAATGCAAATAACAAGGGACAGGATGTGTCCGTGGCAAGTCACGGATAATCCTGAACCCTCCTCCCTCCATCTCATCCCGCAACTGAAGGGGCAGACAAACGCATCAGACCTCAAGCATGAACTCCAGGGGGTGCCAACTTTTGTCCCTCCAGTCCAGCAGCATTATTCCCATCAGGAGAACTTGAACCAAGTCCCAAATTTCTTTCCTGGCTGGAGGCTGAAACCAAGAATCACAAAGGCCGGCATGGTTAGTTCCCTGGGAGGAGGCAACGGGACGGGACCTGCTCCCTCTGCTCTCGTGGAAGAAAAGGAAAACATCAGCAACCCCAGCATGGGACCGGCAGGTTGTGCTGTATTTCCACACTAATATTTTATCCCCCATAAGGAAAAAATAGATCAACAACTGGAATATCAACATAAAACCACAAATAAGACAGATTGCTAAAACGTAATAAAGCAGCAGTCGTGATGTTAGATGAAATTGCATACGGAAAATGAGCAATGGCAGAAATAAAGGATGCCATAAATTAAAAGCCCTTTGAAACCATTTCTGGTGGGAAAGAGACAAAGATGGGTTTTGCCAACAAGAATGCCCCACAGCCCCACTCTGTAAGCGAGCTCATGCTTTGCGGGAAAATCCAGATGCCCCTTCCCCAGCTAGCACTTTGGACTCGCTCAGAATTGTTTTTCCAGGCTCAAAGAGCACATTAGGACCTTCCTTCTCACTCAGTTAATGTTCCCATAGTCGGATGGCTGCGTGGAAAGCAATTGCAAGAGCAAGGGAGTCCTTACTGAGCAGTGGCCAGCATTGATGACGTACGTGTTCCCTTTTTGTCCTCCCCACTTCCTCCCATTATTTAAATAATAACAAAATCATCATCATCACTATCATCATCATCTAGTTTCCTGATTTCTGAAATGGCTTTACACTTTTCGGGTTGTAGCTACAAACTATTATTCCAAGAATCTGCTTCTCTCTTTTAGAAATTCTGAGCACACGTTGTTTGTAGTGTGGCTTCCTGGCATTTCCCACCCGGGGGTTTAAATTAAGGGCTGCTTGTAGAGTGAGAGATGAATGCGTGGGCAACTTTCTTCCCTGAGGCAGGAAGAGAGGCAGGTAAGAAGGACAACATGTAGCTGATCAAAAATGAGCATTTCCCTATATATTAGAAATAGTCTTATAATGTCTAGATCATTTATATGCTGCCTAAAAAGTACAGCCCAGGCTTAGGTGCAGAGTTAGACCAAGCACAGTTGAAAGTAGGAATCATTTATTGATTAATTTTATAGTCTGTCTTTTCTTTCAAACTGATTCTCAAGAAAGCAGTTCTTTCATTTGCCTTTTGACTGACAAAAGACTTCAGTTCAATTGGGATTATTGCAGGGGTGAAATGCTCCCGGTTCGGACCGGCTCGGGCGAGTAGGTAGCGATGGCGGCGGGCAGTTCAGAGAACCAGTAGCAAAAATCCCTCCCCCTCCCCCTCTCAGCTTGCTTACCTTAGCTGTTGGTTGCAACGCCTTGCTGTAATCCCTGCAATCCATTGCATCAGCAAGCAAATGAATCTCCTTGCCTGCAATCAAGCAGGCAGGGAGTTGTGGACTTCAACTCCCAGAATTCCTCAGCCAGCAAAGCAAAGCTGACTGAGGAATTCTGGGAGTTGAAGTCTACAAGTCTTAAAGTTGCCAAGGTTGGAGACCCCTGTTTTATTGGGTAAGTTTTTCCCCCCTTTGGGAGCTTTAAAAAAATAACTATTTAACTAAATAGTTATAACTATTTTTTATTTTAATTGGGGTTTTTTTTTAGTTGTTCTTTTTTTAGACCTAGCCATTTAAAGTTTAGGAAGTTTTAAATTTAGCTGCTTTTATATAAAAATAAAAATAAATTAAAATAAAATAATATTTGTGCAGCTTTCTGAGATTTAGTGTGTTTCTGTAGTGTTTCACTCTAACTACACAAACACACAAAATCTCACAAGCTGTATGTGGAATTTTGTGTGTATAAAGTGTGAAAGTTTGTTTTTTGGGCTTTTTGTGGCTGTGTGAGGTTGCTGCTTGTTGCAGGGGCCATTTTGGGTCTAGCACAGCTGCTTTTACATTGTGGGTAAGCCAGTTGTGTTGTGTTGTATTGTGTTATGTGTGTGTAAAGTGTGAAAGTTGTTTTTTGGGGCTTTTTGTGGCTGTGTGAGGTTCCTGCTTGTTGCAGGGGCCATTTTGGGTCTAGCACAGCTGCTTTTATATTGTGGGTGAGTCAGTTGTGTTGTGCTGTGTTTTGTAGGTTAAAAAAGGGCAAAGAAGTGACATTGACTTGGCCACGCCCACCTGACCAACAAGCCACGCCCTCTCAGTCACCTTACCACCAAGCCCTGCCCACTAATTAAGCCATGCCCACAGAACCGGTAGCAAAAAAATTTAGATTTCACCCCTAGATTATTGTCAGAATATTCATGACTGGGAAGACATGGTAACAAGGTCAGCCAATGAATAGGCATAGCAACTAAGTCAGCCAATTGGCAGCTGAGACAGACTGGAGCCAGGGCGTGTCCTTGTCTGCAGTTTCTGAGTCTGTAAAAAGAAACTGAAAGCAGTGTCTGTAAACTTGTCTGCTTACCTGAGCTGAAATGAAACTGTGAATCTGCTGTTGGTATTGTATATATATATTCTTGTATATAAAGAAGTTAATGAATCCTGCTGAATCAGTTTATCTGTATGTGCTTCTGGATTTGATTTTTGCAACAAACTGACAATTATTCATCCATTTGTTTTCTGTCATCTAATTGTCTGGTACGATTTGAATATCATCCCTGAATGTCAAATTTCAGATTCAGCCATAAGAGGAATATTGTCTGGATCTTAGATTTATCCAATAAAAAAAAATCAGGAATTCAAATTCCTCAATATAGAAATAAAATTAATGAAATAAATAAATAATAAATAAAGATCTTGTCTTCAGGAGGAACCGGAAGTGTCACGGCGAGACTGGCTGGAAAATAACGTGCTCTGACAAGGCTCGTGAAAATCCGGCCAGACAAACCGCTGTCGGGGTCTTCGGACTGGAACCGTCTTGGAGGGACAGCGAAGAAGGAGAGGTGCCTCGGATGACCAAGAGGAACAGGCAAGTTCCTCAAAGGGTCGGAGGCAGCTCTCTGAACCGGCGGTGGGGGCGGCAGCCATTGAAACAACCTCTCTGAAGCTGGGGGAACTGGACTAAGATTTGTGCAGGAGCGATGATTGAATGGAGTATTGTTACCAAGTGAGTGATTGGCCAACTCACAGGTAAAAAGAATTTTTTAAAAAAAGCTTTAAAGAAGGTCCTGGCATGGAAATAAGTGGCTAATTGGCACTTGGGAATTTTAATTGGAAAAAGAAGAACAAAGAGGAAGTTAAAGGACTAAAGCCCAAAAAAAGAAAAAGGAAAAGGAAAAAAAAACCCTTCTACCTGGGGTTAAAATTGGATTTGGAGAAATTAAATGGAATTTGGACAAAATAAAAACAATAAAAGGAAAAGAAGGAGCCTGAGTGGCGTAGGAGGCTAATGCCTCCTACTAAGGCAGCATTTAACATCCAGCTGCCTGCAATTACTGCGAGTTCAATTCTCACCAGGCTCAAGGTCGACTCAGCCTTCCATCCTTTCTAAGGTGGGTAAAATGAGGACCCGGTTTGTGGGGGCAATAAGCTGACTTTGTATAAAAATATACAAAAGTATGAAGGCTATTGCTTAACACATTGTAAGCCGCCCTGAGTCTCCGGAGAAGGGCAGCATATAAAAATAAATAAAAATAAAAATAAAAAGAAATAAAAGAAATTGAAGAGAAAGTATTTTCTATGTGGATTTAAACATGCTACTTTGTTGTCTTGGGATTTGTGGATTGGAGAGAGACACCTGCTGGTGGAAAGAAAGCATTACAACAATTGCTTTGAAAATAAAAGGACTAAAGGATTTCGACTACTGTGATAAATTTTAAGGAGTATTTGTTTACTTTTAAACAGCTGGGTCTTGACTTTGAAAGGAGGTGAAAAAGAACAAAGTCTTAAAGTGGAATGGACTAGATAAATATTTGAACTGGATAATACTTGGAAATTTTAAAAAAAGAGAGACTACATGGACTTGAATCTTAATTAAACATAAAGCAAAAATTTTTTGAATTGACATATGGAATATGGAGCACTGGGAAGATTAGGAACTAATGGAGATGTTTAAAAATGTGTTTGAAGCATTTAGGGGTAATAAAGAAGCAAAAGCCTGATTAGAATATGCAAAAAAGGAAGAAGAGAATAAAAATGAGAAGCAAGAATAAAATGTTGAAGGGAAAATAAATGAAGGTAAAAAGATAATTACACTGGGATTGACAGTGGCGCAAAAAAATGGATGGGGGAATATCCCCCCCAAAAGAAGGGAAGAGATGGAAATGGGAAAAGACTGGGTAAAAACAGGGGGAGAATTATGAGGGTAATAGTCTTAATAGTTAGAGAAAGGATCCAGGGGAAAAGATACAATAAATATAAAAAGACAAAGAAAAAGAAGAAGATAAGAGAATGGGATAAAGGGGAAAAAATATTAAGAAGTGGAATCTTGGAGAGACCAAAAGAAAATGGTTAAAAGGGGAAGAATAATGGAGTGAAAAAAGGGAAATAAAGCATTTATTAGTTGAATTAAGGGAATTGTGTTAATAGTAGAAATTGTATGTAAGAAGTAAACAAGATGAATGATATTGTTAATTGTAAAATGGATCAGAATATGTAATATGAAATGTAATTTGGTTTAACTATGGAAATAATTGAAATTAAGATATAAAATTGAAATGTTAGTAAATGATGAAATAAAATAATTAATTGATGTTAGGATAAGAAATTAGGAAGTAAGAAGTGGAAGGTTAACTAAGTTAAAAGGTTTCAATGTAAAAATGGAATAAGATGAAATATATTGTTAACAATAAAAAAAGGTGATGGGGCTTCTGGTGGCTCCACGTTCCCCGAATGGACGCCCCTTTAGGAGCTCCAGCCCCGTGATTCTGTTTGCCGCTAGAACAGCGAAAATCAGCTCGAAACTCTCCCCCAGGGAAAAAGGGGGAGAAAAGAGCAGAAGGGTCTGGGTAGAGCTCCCCTAGACCCCCAGGCTTTTTTTTTTAAACCTGGGGTTTGCAGGGTGAGAGCTCCCTGAAAGCCCTTCAGTGCTCCGGATCCGGGACGATTCTGTTTTATACAGAACAAGGAGTCGCGACCACACCAGCAGTGCAATTTTAAGGACTATGAGAAAATTCGAATTTGGATGCTGGCAGAGCAAATCAGGAGAACAGAAAATGCAAGTATTAAACTTTAACTCCGTTTAAAAGAAAGAAAAAAGATGGCGCTTAAGGGCATTAAAATGAAACTTACAAGTGAAAGTGATCGTTAAAGCTGCAACATTGTAAAAGCTACCGGATTACGCGGCAAGAAAAAGATTTAAAGTGCTAGTGAAATGAAAAAGACTATGGTATTGACCTCAATTACTTTATACTTCTAAATTGTGTGGAAAATTATTGGATTTATTGACCTGATAGCTGAATAAACTTAAACTGGGAATTGAAATATGGCTGACATCAAGGATGGAGGATCATTACTATATGAGCCAGCAAATTCACAAGTTGTGACTGTAGAGGTTTTACAAGAACTTTTAAATTTCTATACCTCTGCTCTACTGGAATCAATTGAAAGGACTATTCAAAATTATAATCTGGAGAACAACAATGATTTGCTGGCTGGAAAAGAAGAAGAAAATCAAACTAATTTGTCTTTGGAGCAGGGAAAAGAGACTGTCAGGAACACAATGGAAGTTAGCACATTGAAAACAGAGGTTTTGGCAGAGGCTTCTATGCAGTTAACTGAAAAGCAGCAAATAGACTCTTTCCTGCAGACTGATAAATTTTATCGTGACAATTCTTGGTTTTATAGACAGAATCAATCTTTAAGAAAGGAAGTGACTGATTATATAAGCAGGAAGAGTCGAAATGGAGGTTTCAAAATGAAGGAGATAACTTTTAGGAGAGAGCGATTTTCAAAGATGCATCAGTCTCAAATCTACATTCAAAAATTTTCGAAAATAAAAGCAGGGGGAGGAGCAATGCTGAAGGAGAAAGTATTATTGAAGAAGAAGGATTGGAAAAAATATAGAAAGAAAGGAAGAATTGAAGATTAATTTCTTTTGGGGAGGATCTTAATAATAAATTTGAAAACTCTATTGAAATTAGCATTTTTTTTTAAGTTTAAGTAAAAATGTTTAACTAAAAATGGATAGCTTTTTAAAAAATGATTGTGGTATTAAAATGGTTAACTTTAAAGTTAATGGATAGTTTTCTGAAAGTTTTGAAATTGATATTTTGAAGAATGAATTTAAGAGTTAGAAATAACTAAACTCAATGGATTAATAGTATCTTTAAGGTTATATTCTGAAGAATATTTTATTGAAGTATTTTTTCTGAGAGGAAAAAAAAAGAATTTAATGAAGTATTAAAATGGTTAATTTAAAATTGAATGGATGCAAAATAATTTTTTCTTTTTTTTTCTTTTTCTTAAAAAGCCCTAGCCAGGCTGGCTTTATCCCACAGTTTTTGGTTAAATTTAATTGATTTTAATTGGGTTGTTTTAAATTGTGGCCAAAAATATTTAATTATTTTTAAACTGTTTTTAAATTTTGTATGTTCTGTTTTATTCTGGCTGTTCACCACCCTGAATCCTGCTGGAGAAGGGCGGTATACTAATTAAAACAAATAAATAAATAAAAAGATATGCTTTAAAGAAAGTTTTAAATTGTTTAAATTAGAATTTTAAAAGGGGAGGCTGATGAACAATTTTTAAAAGAGGAGTTAAAGAGGGTGAGGGAGCTTTGAATCTTGTAGCAAGTTAGTATATTTTAGCTTATGTTTAGTTTAATGCTATACCCTATTTTTGCTCTGGGAAGTCGTGGGGAGGGGTGGGGAGGGGGGGTTGAAGGTTGTGTGGGGATAAAATGGTTGTCTAATTTTTAATATAATTAAAAGATAGATTAAGGTATTAATAGAGAAGTAAGAAAAATGGGGGAAATGTTATAATAAAGGGAATGACAATATTAAGATATGATAAATATTGGAGGAGCAAAAAGAAGACTTAAAAGATGCATTCAGAAGATATATTGAATGATTGATTATGTATTGTTTGTTTGTTTGTTTATAAAATAAAAAAACTTTTTTATGAAAAAAAAATAAAATAAAAAAAGGTGATTGGGATTGTGAGAAACATATTTAATAAATAGAGAAAAAATCGGGGTTGCCCGGATATCATTTTGGCAAATATTGAATTGAAAATGAATACAACAATGGAGAGAGAATGGAAAGAGGAGTAGAGGGATAGAATGAGGGGAGAAGAAAAGAGCCTGCAGTACAGTGGACTAAAGCACTGTTATTAACATCAGCTGCCTGCAATTACTGCAAGTTCAAATCTCACCAGGCTCAAGATTGACTCAGCCTTCCATCCTTTCAAAGGTAGGTGAAATGAGGACCCAGATTGTGGGGGCAATAAACTGACTTTGTATAAATATACAAAAGTATGAAGGCTATTGCTTAACGCATTGTAAGCCGCCCTGAGTCTCCGGAGAAGGGTGGCATATAAATTAAAGCAAAGAAGAAGAAGAAGGAGGAGGAGGAGAAGGAGAAGGAGAAGGAGAAGGAGAAGGAGGAGAAGGAGAAGAAGGAGGAGGAGAAGGAGAAGGAGAAGGAGAAGAAAGAAAGGAGAGAGAGGAACAGAAGAAAGGGAAAAGGAGAGGAAGAAAGAGAGAGGAAATAAGAGTAGGAGAGAAGGTTAGGAAGGGAGGAAGGGAAAGGAGAGGAGAGGAGGAAAGAAAGTAGAAAAGGATAGAAGAAGGAAGGGAAGGGAAAGAGAGGAGAAGGAGAAGAAGGATTGTTGTAAAATAAGAGAGATGGAATGGTAGAAGGGCAACCCCGAGTATACTCAAACTTATTAGGATGAAGAACGAACTAATATGAAAGTTAAAAGAGAATATACATAATTAACAATGGATAAGATAAGATAACCAACTGAAATAATGTTAAGAAATTAGGATTTGAGGGTGGATGGTGATACTGTTTATATAATAAGTATAGAAGTATTAAGACAAGATAAAAAAAATAGGGAAAAAGAATTCTTTGGCAGAAGATATGATTCAGTCAATACTCTGTTCATAAAATATGTGTGTGAAAGAAAAAGCCAATAAAACTTGTTTGGGAAAAAAAAAAAATCCCGTCCGTCTCCATACCAACTCATGGTCTGTCCCGTCACTACAATTACCTTGACGCTGGCTGCTGGCTGAACCAGCCTATTGAACAGGACAGAAGGCAATCGGCCATCTGGACCGAAGAGCAACCCTTCCTACCTGGGGTGGCCCAGAGGGGAAGGCAGCCAAGGCCAGGGCTTGGAGGAAGGGAGAGCTGGACCAGAGGGGGTCCTGGGGGTATCTCTGGTACACCAGGTGGACGAAGTGAAGGACATCCTTTATGAAGCTGGTTTGCCAGGAATCCTCTCCCTCTGCGGGAATCTAAAGGGGAACATAAAGCTTAGTCATGAAGTTTCACCAAAAGCCATTCAATTATTTAGGTTTTACTTCGATTGAGAGAACAGAAAATAAATGAGGGGAACGTAAAAATAATAACAGAGAAAGAAAAGCTTGGACACTTTTGAAAAACTTCAGAAAGGCTTCCTGTCACTGAATTGAAAACTAGTTTGGCTGTTCTTTCTTTTTCCCTTTTTGAGGCAATTTGTCTTTCTTTTCTCATTCCTTATTTCCATCCTGTTTTTGGGATGTTTTTCCTCCTCCTTGTGCATACTTTGCTCCCTCCCTCTCCACCCTGTTTAGTTTTATTTCAACTGAATTTTTAAATTTGGAATCGTTATTATTTCAGTGCTTTATACTGCATTTTATTCAATATCAAGGATCACAAAGAGGTTTGGTTAAATAAAATAAACAAACTACAGTAGTGGTGAAATCCTCTCCAGGTTGCCACCAGTTTGCTGCCCGCGCATGCGTGGTGTGTGCCAAACACGTGCTGTGTGCACGCGTGCACGGCAGACAAAACTCATGCTGTACACGCATGCGCAGCATGCACCAAACACACGCTGCGCACACGCATGCACAGTGTGCACCAAATGCGTGCTTCACGTGGAAAAAGGAGCCTTCTGAAGGTAAGTAGAAAAGCAAGGGGGGGGCGGGGGAAACAGCTGTGCCACGTGATTTTGATTTGCTAGAAAACAGGATTTTCTGCTTTCTAGCAAATATAAATTGCACGGCACAGTTGATCGTCGGAAATACCGGTTCAGACGAGCCGGTAGCTTTTTTTTACTACCGGTTCACCTGAACCGGTGCGAACTGGTAGCATGTCATCCCTGAAACTACTGCATATAACTGAAACCCAGTTGACAAACAGGGATTGGCATCCTAAACAAATGTGCCCCCATCCAAATGCATTCTACATGGCAGAAGGTCAAGTCTGAGAGTGACCCTGCTGACCAGATTTCCTGTCTACTGGCATATTCTTTAACCCTTTTTCTTTTCTTTTGTTCTAAATTTTCAAAACAGCCTCAGCTCAGGTGTGTAAACAGAGACCAATCAGCCACTGGGGCTGCTTCATCCCTCCATTGTTGCCGAGTGGCTGTGGGGCTTCAGCCTGCAACATCCCCAGGACAGGACTCACCTGCCTGGTGAGGGACGAGACCATCTCCAGCAACAGAATGGCGGCCTCTGCACATAAGCCAGTTTTGACTACCATCTCTGTGTGATGGTGGCACAGCAGCCACTCGAATGTTGCACCCAAACCTGCCTGGAAAATGAACATCTCATGAAACTGCCGAAAGGATTAGCTTTACCACACTGCTAAATGACAATGCAGGATGTCCAGGTGGCTCCTCTTGAAACAATCAGGCCTGCGTTCAGCAATACCTCCAAAATGGTCATCAGGTTAAAACATGATATCTACTTCTAAATTCTATCCAAAATATGGGCAAAGGTGGGAACCTGAATCAAGATACTGTGATGCAAATTCTTGTGACACTAAAATAAGTAAATCAGGAGCAGAACTTGCATCTTCATATCACAACACACATTTGAGAAAAGCTCCTTTGATGTGGATAGCCAAAATAAAAAACACTGCTCAATTTGTTGTTCCTTAAGGTTCTTTATGTTAGTGAAAAGTATTCATTAATACATTTTTGAAAAAGAAAATCAAAGAAATCAAAATGTGATAGTAGGACTATTTATATCAGCATTTTTTCCTGTTATGCTTATTTTGCAAAAATTTATATATGCACATCATCATCTCAAAGAATTAAACAAGATATACCTGAATGTGTACACACACATACACACACACAAAGATTTTGTGCGGTTTAATCAATAACTAGCTGTGAGAGATGGATTGCATGGCATAGAATCATAGATAGTTACTAAAACTTTCATTTGTTAACTCTAAGGACAGATGGCCATCCAGCCATGCTTTGGGGAAGGGGAACTTATTCCCTCATGTGGAAATTAATTCTACGGGTTAACATCTCTCGCCACCAGGAAATTCCTCCTAATATCTTACTTTATGGTGGTGATTAACCAGCACAAGAAAATTAGTATTCAAATATTCAAAATATCCAAAACTAAAACAACAATGTCAGTATAGTTAAGAAATAAATATGCAGACAGAAATATTTCAAATTTGTTTTTAGGTGACTCTGGGACTGTTTCAAAAGATTAATGTAATGGTTTATATGGTTACCCTTTTAAAACTCTAAGCTGTATGAGTTGGTCCTGTTTCAAATAAAGTTTTGATAGCTGATAGGCATGAGATGTAAACAATACACAGAATAATTGTGATAGTATACAATGGGAGTTTTGGAACTTCCCAAAAATGAGCTTCAGGAGAGATTTGATTCCCAGGAAAGGGGCTACACTGGGGATAATCTAGGCCAAGGCTGCTGCACTCTCTGACATGAAGTGGCTCTCAGTAGCTTAAGGAAGATTCCTCTATTGAATATTGACATTTCTTGTTCTGTTGCCTTTTCTGTGAAAATTTCCTTTGTAGGGTTTATTCACAGATAAAGTTTCTGTCCTTTCGCTTTGCTCAATAAACTATTTCAGCTTCTTCAAACCCTTTTCCCATGCTTTACCATGTCAATGCAGTGGCTTACTTGAGTTTCATCAAGTGGCTTAGACACTGGTGTGTCCAGAAGAAGTCCTGAGAGAAGGAGGTAAATCTCTGGAATGTGGGTTGAGCTGCTCAGGAACATCTTTAGCTCCATTAATCCAGAGAGTGGATATGGCTGATATTCAAATAACTGGGGAGAACTCTTCAAATTGTCTAAAACAAAGAACAAGAAACTTTTTATCAGGCTCTCTCTGAGCTGACTGCCAATTTACTGGCTTACAGGATGTAAGGTCCCAAAATATACTTGAGTCACCAGAATGCCAAAGAGAGAGACTCAAGACGAGGCTTGCAAAAAAAACAACAACAACACAGATTTTATTTATGGCCAAAAACAAAATATTGGGTGGGACTATATCCAGAACATACAGATAACATGCATGCGAGGAGATAGCCACACCTTGGGGAAGGTATGGCGTCCTTTTATACCCTCAGAGACATCAGCTTAGTACCTAATTCTGGCCTCCTAGTTTAGGTTTATGTATTCCTTGTTGCCCTGCAAAGGAATAGAAGCCTCCCAATTAGCGTTATCTTTTCCTTGAGCATTCCTTTGTTCTCCCAATTGCTCATTTGGCCCCCTGGTTCTGCAAGGAAGGAGCTTATACAAATCAAAGGTGTAAGTTAGAGCTGAAGTGTAAATTATTCTTTGGATGATGTCTACAGTTCCAACTGAGATACGTACCATGTTCTTAGATGGCACAAGAAAAACAGGAAGAAGATTAATATGGGTTCAGATCAAATGGCAGGAACAAATGTTTGACAAATACCAGATACATTACAGAGGCCTAATAACAGAATATGTTTGTTACAGGAAATATAAAGTCATAATATATGTGATACAAATACAAAGGCTATACATGTATTACAGGAACCTAATGGTTACAGAATAACAAGTTTCTACTAATTCTAGTATACCAGCATATCATATTTTAGTATTATTTATTATATCCTTATTATTGTTTCCCTTCAAGGATAAAAGAAGTCCCCAGGAAGGGACCAGACTGTCTTCTGATCATATTTACTCAAGGAAATGCTGCGTAATACAGCCGTCGGTGGTGGCTGGTCTCAGCAGAGAAGTTTCTAGATGGTGGCAGGAGGGAGACCAGACGCCCCGTGATCTCCTTCATTGCAATTCTCACAGGCTGCTCTGAGTGACAGAAGCTCACCATGGGGGGTGGGGGGTGCAGCCAGGCTAGAGGCCTTTGGGTGAACTATCTCTGGCCGAATAAACCAGGGGTTTGACCTACGGGTTGGATATGCTCCCCAAAACCGAACTGCATTCACTTCCCTTTCCATGTTGGCTGTGCTGATTTAAACTTTCCTACTTTCATTACTGTCTCCATTAATACCTGAAATAAAACAGTGTCTCAACATTGATTGATTGAAGGTTTATCAACCAAATAACCAGAATTAAATTGTATTGGCCAGCAAATAAGAAACCAAAAGCATGGCTCTCTCTTTTTGACTGAGCAATTAAACAGATAAAACCTGAAGCGTGAAAAATCAGGCCCAAAGAGGAGGCAGTGAAAGTGATATTAGTACACAATCCATAATCCTTTGACCATCCGAGCTGGGCTGCTAGCTTTCCTTCAAATTTGGTCAGGGTTATTTTTAACAAAAGGCAAAAACATCTTAAAATAATTAATAAATTCTATAGAAATCAAATAGAGACAAACAGAGGATAGACAGAGTTAGAGATAGATAGAGATAGAGGGAGGGAGGGAGAGAGATGACCGATTTATTGAAATAATTAGTCATGATCCACAGCTAGTCTCAGCATCACATTGCAAGCCAACCGGAAGCACTGAGGACCTACCAGTCAAAATATTCAGCCCCTCTAAGCTGTTTCTCAGCCACAGGCCTGCCATAATCCCCTCTCTGAACTCATGCAGGTGTGTGCGGTTGTGCAGGAAATGGAACAGCAGTTTGGCTGCCAGCACAATTGTGGTTTTGTGCACGTGACTTTGCATAAACATCAGGAACCAGTCAGGGCCCAAGGCCTGGAACATTTCTTCTTGGATCCTGTGAGGGAAACACCGGGTTGAAAGGCACAACACTTAAATGTTATTTGTTGTAACTATATGACATAGTGGACTTACTAGAACAATAGAAATTGAAAACATTTGCTAGCTCCTGAGCAACTGTTGTGCTTTTAAAATCCCTTAGTTATCCCAAACGTAACAAATATTCAGTTACAGCTAATCTTAACCTTGTTCAGATAGAAATAGGTTCCTCTGATTAAGTAAAAGCAACTCAAGGTGGAAATGGATTTTGAGGTTCGTGCATCTCCGAAGCAAAGGAGGGCTCCCCAACTCTGGATCGAGGTTGGAGAGGGATTTGCCAGGAGGAAGCCTCAGCCTTCATCGCTCCTGCCCTGCCTCCTCACCCACGGCTCTCTCTGAGGCGGCAGCAGGAGAAGGAGCCCTGATTTGGCTCCCATTGCCCGGAAGGAAAGCCTTCCTTGCAGCGTCAGGGATCCTGCTGGGAGACGGAATCCAATGTCCTGCTTTTTATGGTTTGGTGTGTGTGTGTTTAAAAAAATTATATCCTGCCAATTCTAACACATCTGGACAATTCATAAGAATCCTGTTTGGATCTGTCATAAGATCCAAACTTTTCCTTCCTTCCTTCATTATTTTATCTTTCTTACAGACTGTAGAGCAGAAAGCATTCGAGATAGAAAACGGAGCAAAACTATTGTTCTCCCATTCCTCCCTTAACTTTCTCTACTTCAATATCTGTGTCATTTTCTGCTGATTAAACAGTTTATTATTTTAAATAAAGTGATTTATAGTTTTGATTACTGGAGAGGATAGATTACAGAAAGAAAAAGTATTATGTTCTGACTTTAGAATAAAAAGTACATTTATCATTGTACTTTACCGCTGTAAAGGAGATTGTATACACACGGACACACAGACGTTCTTACTTACTCAGAGGACAAATGAAATTTGTCTGGTTGTATTACATCTAGCAGCATGCTCAACAACTGATTTCGAAGCCAGACCATTTTTCCAGGTGCCTGAGTTAAGTCTAAAAATAAGACAATCCAAAGAATGTATGTGAAATTCTGCATATGAATAGATTTGACTTCTAATGAATGCATGATACAAAATGAAGTGAGCTTGAGCAGATAATTCACGTGGACTGGTAATAATAAGCTCTTCAAATATGAGATTATCCTTGTTTTATTTTATCTTGTACGGCTAATACGTGGTCTGTTAGGAGGAATGGACACTCTGTAATCAGGTTTTATTCTTAGGTTTATAGTCCACCTTCAAATGAAATGTCCTTTTTATCCAAAGAGAACAGATTTCATCCAGGAGGCAAAGGTTCTTTAGATATTCAGTAAACACTGACTGAAGCCAAAGAAGTGAAGGCTTCACTCAGATCCGCCGCCAGGCGGGAAGAATAGCTTAAAGTGATTGGTTGAGGCGCCTGGCAGCTCCTGTAAAAGAGCAAACTGCCAGGCGGAGATTGTTAGAGTTACACGGTAGCAATAAAGAGCTGAAGTCACACTCCTTGCTCTCTGCCTCTTCAATCAACCCACAACTTAACCAAGACAATACAGCCTGCCTTTCGGCCCACCGTTAGATATGTCTTCCTACCCTATTAGGCTGCTTTGCCACCAGGGTTTCCTGTCAGGTCAAGCATCACTGCCATCTCTCTTTGGGCAGAAATAATGGGGCCGCCCGCCTCCCTCTCTCTCTCAAAGGAAGCGCCCGGCCCCTCCCCCCATGGCAGGCAGCTTAAAGAGCAATTCTCGAGGGCAAAGCAAGCAGCAGAAAGCATCTCGTGGCACCAGAACTTTCTGTCTTCTTTCCATTCCTGCAAAATGGAGTTAAATATTTCTTTTTGTACATAGACACTTTACGCTCTTAGCTACGAGCACAGCAGTGAGTATTAAAAAAGAAACAAGTGGCTTTGGGAAGTTTTCCTATGTATTTCAATTTTGGTTCCAATGAGGTTTGTTTGTTTTTTTTTAACTCCAAGCAAGTAAACAGGAAGAGCAGACGGGAGTTTGGACAGAGAGCATTTTTATGCGCTTCCTTTCTCTCTTTTTCCCCCTTGTTCTTCTTCCTGCAGTTTCCCTTCAGATGGGTAGCAACCGGAAGTTTGGCTAGTGGAGCTGCAGGGGAGGCTCCAAAATGGATGGCGGCGAGGGAAGCATCATCTGACCTACCACGTCTGTGCAATATTTGCTTCCCTGCCTGGCTCAGCAGCTGCTCCGGCTCCTGCTGTTTTCAGGAGGTTTGGTGCTCCCTCATGAGCCGAAACGTGGATATGTGCTGTTCCACTCTTCCTCTCTTTCCCTCAGCCACTCCTCCAGCCTCCCACCTGATGCAAAATTATGTCTGGTAGTTATTAGGCAGGAACACAGACATGCTACAAGCCTTGATGTCACAACCACAGAGTGGCATCAATTCATAATCCACTCCCATTTCTTATGAGACAAGCACCAGCAAGTCCTTCATTCTCTGCTGCATGGATGGTGCCTTAATGCTCTATTCTCTCAGCCCAATTTATATCTTCTTTTCAGGAGTTACAGGATTAGAGTTTGGTTTTGAGAGGCAGAATATTAGCAATAAGCAGCTACACAGGAGCCAAGAAGAATAAGGGTGAGACATCAGGGCTACGGTACTCTTATATTGCATGCTATTTCTTGACATGTAACCTGAACAGTCCACAGCAAAATAAACTAGACAATCCATTAACTAAGCTTTGGATATTGAAACAAGCGACTGCTTGAAAACAAGGCATGATGCAATGAAATTGTGATGTCCCACGCAAATACTTCAGGATTTGAGTCTGTATTGCAATGCATGTTTTATCACTTGTCCACCTCCAGATGTCAAAGATGCAAGCCATTATGTGCCTTATTTTTATATTACAGGTAAATATTCTAGTTTTTTTTTTTTTTTTTAGCAACACACAATTCTATTTCATACCCTCTGGAATATTATTGGAGAAGGTCTCATTTTCATCAATAGATGCAGGACATAAAGTGTAAACCAAGAATAAGCAAATCCTGAATAAGAAAAAGTAAATTGGTTAGATCAAAATGCAAACATGAAGACCTTCAAATCACTCTTAGGGGAAACCCCAAAATAATATTTTACAGGTGGCTCACAGGAGAAATAAATATTGCTGCTACTGATGTTTCCCTGCGTCCTCATAAAGAAAGAAGATGAGGCAACTCATGAGTCTAAAATAAGAAGTTTGTCATAAAGGAAAGCTAAGCCTCCTCTGATGTTGCAAAGTAGGCCTTCCTATCCTCACCAACTTCAGCTCCTAGAAATGCGCAGGCAGGAATTAATGTCCCCATTTTTTAAAGTTGCTAACACTCTGGTAGAAAGAAGAAGGATGCTGAGAAGGGAACCGAGGGGAGAGCAGGGGCACTGCTGCACAGGGGTAGCCTCCCCCCACCCCCACCCCCACCCCCCACTGTCCCTCCTGCCCTGCTTCCTCCGGGGTTAACCTAGCATGGATAAACTGCCCCTCTGCTCTTTCTCCCTGCCACTGATTGAGCTGGTGAAGGGGTGGGGTCTTCATTTTGTGGCTGGAAAAAAGCAATGTGCAATGTGCAATGTGCAATGACGAAAAGTCTTTTGCCTTAAGCTCAAGGGACACAGGGGTTCTATTTGCTGACAGGCTGCAGGAGCTGAGTGGAAATACCAGCACAGGTCTTTGATGCTGAAGTGGCCCTGGAGTGAATGACGGAGGAGGAGAGAGATCCAATGGACGCGAGAGGCCGGGATCCCAGGATCCCCAAGGAGAAGGAAAAGCTTGGGCACCATCTGCACCTGCTGGACGGGGGTCATGGTGGAATTCTTTCCTCTACAAAAAACAAAGAGGTAATTTTTTAAAAAGAGATTTTTCTTTTCCTGAAGATAATATAGCCACAACATTATTTGTATTTCTACTTTTGAACTTTTGGCTTCTGATGTTGTCTTGGCAGCTCTCAAAATACCAGCCACCAGATCAGATTCTCAGCCAGGTCACCTTCTGCTCTGCATCGACTCAACTCTTCTCTTGTGGGTTGCCCAGCAAAGAGAGTTCAAATCAAACCAATTATTGATGCCTGGAGCTCCACAGCACAGGAAGTAAGTGCTGCTTTGACAAAAATCACTACATTATCAGAATCCTGGAGAGTTTTTCAATCAAAAAGAAACGGGATTCACAAATCTTTAGGGTTTTACATTTACAAAGCAGGAAGGCCGTTTTGGAATCTCCGGACACTGTGCGATGCTTCCATAAGCACATGCAGAAGGATATGGATAAATATGAAAATATGCAGTAAACTCTGGTGGGTTTTGCTTTTTTTAAAGGGAAAGGTATTCCTATGGATTTATAGACCCCATAATTAAACCTTTAGTCCATGGCATGGCTGCCATGTGAGCCCAGGATACATGTAATTGCTGACCCACTTAGCTTAACAGGCCTCTCTATACCTGGAGGACTGGACAACTTCCGTGAGATGTTTAAACAGAGGGAGGTCCAGGTTTTCCAAGGCAGGGGACCACAGCTGAAAGCCAAAGGGAAGCAAAGCAACAGAGAGAGGCCATTTGGTCTGCATGCTGAAGAGATGTGGGAGTCCCCTAGATTGTAGGGAACAGGCAACAGGTATCTCTTTCTGCCTTCTAGTTGTCCAGATTGTTGCAGCTCAATCATGGTCTACCTAAATACGACTCCGCATGAAGGATTCTTTTTACATGGAAAACTGGCAGTAGAACACCTGACAATATTTTGTGTCAGGGGCTTTTTTTACATAGAGGATCATTCCATTAGAGTCGCCTCGATGACATGGGTGACCCAGAAGTCTAATAAATAATATGATATTTGATATGATATGACCTGAATTACTGCCTCAGGTTCTACTGACTCATATATACCGAATGGGCTTCCCAGGAAGGAGACATCTCTGTATGCCAGAAGTAGTGGGTTTTTTCCTCCAATATGTATTTTGAGAGGCTGATTGCCACAGCATAGAGTAATTTTAATTAATGATGCCTCAAAAGTGAGCAGGTTCACAATACTTTTTTTTTTTCCTGCTAGAAAAGATTGAGGAATTTTCTCTACGTTTATTAAGATTGTGTCATCAAAATTTGGAAGTAAAATTTTAGGAAGATTGTGTTCTCCAGGGGCTAAAAACAACACATAAACCACAGGTTACTCATAGCTTGCTGCCAATAAACAAGCAAGCAAGCAAGCAAGCAAACAAATAAATATTAGCATCATCACCTCAAAATTGCAGACAATATGTTGGAAGATCTCCAAGTTTTTGATTGTCAGCTGTTCTAAGGCAGCTTCCGTGGTACCACCAATGGAAAGAATGAGATGCAGAATTCTGCTGTTGAGTAGGTGGGCCTTTTTTTTCAACAGATATGCCAGAATCTGTAAAAGAATATGACCCAACACCACAACAAAGAGAGGCTTATTCCACAGTATTTTATTTCCATCATGGATAAACCATCAATAGCCAACTATTAAAATCCATAGTATTGCAGAATATATGGACATTATGAAGATTCATGGTAGTCACAATACATGAAAAGTAATGAAACTTGTCAACTTTAACCTCGTTCAGAATTCTCTAAGCATTCCCATTTTTCAAAGATCAAAAGGACAACAACTCTGTCTGTCTACTTTCTTCTTAAGCAGAGCTTCAGCCACCAAACAAAGACTTGGTAAAATCCATCCATTCTGGGAAATGAGACTAACTGGCCTTTTGACTTCCCGGTCTGACTCGCTCCTCCACTGGAGGAACTAAAAGAAAATGATTTGGGCTTTCTGATTACAATAAAGCAAACAAAGGGAATTCTTGCCACCAGGATTGCTATTGGAAGGAGAAGGTTTTTTTCATTAGAAGGACTCAAAATTCCAAGCTCCAAAACTTTTGGAAGTGACTCGGGAAAATGCCTTATCTCCTCCTCCAACAATAGAACGAAACGATCGTGAAAATTCATGTTAATTTTGAATATGAAAATATTGAAAGTATGTGACAATCAACTTTTTTGTAATGAATTTCAGTGCAAGCCACAAATCAGATTGCCACATATACTTGCTGTTCAAGTACTGCATTTCTGAATCAATGCACAAACACTGCCAGCCTAAGAATCAGAATTTTGGAAAAAACTCTAAATTCTCCAATTATAAAAGCTGCAGAGAAAGAGCGACCCTCCTGTCTCACCTGATACCCATTGCCTTCATCCCCCATCAGACGTTCACTCACTGCGCTGCAGCTCAGGACGGTCTGCAAGACCTTGACGGCCGCATAAACCGCGTGGTCATCCTGAGCCCTGGCCAGCAGAGCCAGCAGAAGAGAAGGGCCACCAAGGTAGCTCAGGCTGACCACTGCCGGACAGGCCTGGAAGACCCGGGTCCCTGGACAGAGAGAGAGAGAGAGAGAGAAGGCTGACAGGAATTGAATGATCACTGAAAGCCTGCCTAGAATAAAATGAGCAGCCAAAAACTTTGTAGAGATGTGTAGAAACAACAGAAAATAATAAAAATAGTAATAATTTAGAAAATCAAATATTTTCTCATGCCACATTCAGATTTACATAAGTCTAGTAAACCTTTAACACCAGTAATGCAAATCAAATACTTACTACTAGAAAGATCAGTTGTTAAAGGAAGATGTTATTTTTGCCCTGCATTTAACAAGAAACCCACACTTTGTGCTTTTTAAGGCAATTGTTTCTACTTCATGGGCTTTCCCCCCCCCACGTGTAAAATCCTAATATGAGTCTGACTATTTAAGCACCAGCAAACAGCTAGCCTGTTAAAATGCTGTCCCAAAGACAACGATCCACTCACAGCTCTTTCCGGAGCAGAGGCAACCCTTCCGCACAAGATCCGGTGCAGACAAAAAAACAACCTGGTAGATCACAGAATTGTCCAGGTTGGTTATATTAAGGGAATGACATTCTGCTTTTGCATATGTTGCTCTCACCATGCAGCAGCTTCTTCTTCTTCTTTTCTGAATGCCTCCCTCAAGATCAGGTCAATCTTAAGTTTCCTGACCAGCCCAGCAATCTAGAGGTTTCGGACCACAGAAGTGGCATCCTTCCCTGATGGCGAAGACTTCTTCTCTGTCATTTTGGAGGCCGGGTGGTGGAATGAGGGTTATGGTCAGGTGTGGGACTGAATACATGTTAAGAAGCTGCAATTTCTGTATAGGATGCAGCTCTGCGTTTCTTTTATATTTCTGTTCTTTCATTTTACAGATTTTATTTATCTATCCCTTCATCACATTTCTACCCTGCCCATCTCACCTAAGTGCCTCTGGATGGTTCACACTTTATAAATGTGGGTTCCGGATGCATTTCGGCTTACCGTGCTGGCCCACCACAACGGCACCAATTGTTCTTAAGCACCCAGGGAGTTTTGCAGCAGTATTTTGGGCCATGAAAACAGGTGTTGTATTATCACGAGAGGACAGCTTCAGCTAAATAAATAAATAAATAAATAAATAAATAAATAAATAAATAAATAAACAAACAAACAAACAAACAAACAAACAAACAGAAAACATGTCATGGTTTGTTTTTTAAACATTTCAAATATTATGCTTTTTATGTGATTTATATGCTTACCATCTATTCCGGTTTCCAGCAGAGTTGCCCCACAAAGTGTCCAGCTCTGAGCTGAAAGGAGGTAGGGAGGCTGCTCTGTTTCGGCTGCGTTCATCAAGCACCCTGAGCCTTAGAGATGAATGCGCCACTTAAGCTGGGGTGGGTGGGACACGGCTGATTTTTGTAAAGGTCACATGTCAGTGGTTGTGATATCGGGGAAGAAGTGTAGATTTCTCACAGAAAATGTCAATTTTATGACATTGAGCACCAATATCTCCAACTGGAAAAAAATCTCCACTGGGATAGCCCCGAAAAGGCCTCAGTGAGTCTCCGTTCCTCCGATCAAGGATTAGATTAGCCTTGTGCTGTACTAATAAAGCACCATTTAATCTAAATATGTCATCTCTAGGGAAACACTTTTTCCCGAATGTTTTTAACAAACCCCCCTCCCCCCCTCTTCTTATCTATCTTATTTCAGCAAGTGACAAGATTTGGCTGGCTTTGTGTGAATTGAAATCAAAATAAGTTGAGGCCAAACCAGTGGGAACGTAAGCTAAACCTGAAAGTTAAAAACCAGGGTAAGAGAAGCGAATGGCAAATAACTTCTGTATTAGAATAGAATAGAATAACAGAGTTAGAATAGAATAACAGATAATAGAATAGAAGACTTGGAGGTCTTCTAGTCCAACCCCCTGCTTAGGCAGGAAACCCTACACCACTTCAGACAAATGGCTTTCCAATCTCTTCTTAAAAACTTCCAGTCTTGGAGCATTTACAATTTCTGCAGTCAAGTTGTTCCACTGATTAATTGTTCTAACTGTCAGGAAATTTCTCCTTAGTTCTAAGTTGCTTCACTCCTTGATTAGTTTCCACCCATTGCTTCTTGTCCTACCCTCAGGTGCTTTGGAGAATAGCTTGACTCCAGTGGTGGGATTCAACATTTTTTACTATCGGTTTTGTGGGCGTGGCTTTATGGGTGTGGCTTCGGCATAGCAGGGGAAGGATACTGTAAAATCTCCATTCCCACCCCATTCCAGGGGAAGGTTACTGCAAAATCCCCATTCCCTCCCAATCAGCTGGGACTCGGGAGGCAGAGACTAGATGGGGGCGGGGCCAGTCAGAGGTGGTATTTACCCGTTCTTCAAACTACTCAAAATTTCCACTACCAGTTCTCCAGAACTGGTCAGAACCTGCTGAATACCACCTCTGCTTGACTCCCTCTTCTTTGTGGCAGTCCCTGAGATATTGGAAGACTGCTATCATGTCTCCCCTAATCCTTCTTTTCACTAAACTAGCCATGTCCAGTTCCTGCAACCGTTCTTTGTATGTTTTAGCCTCCAGTCCCCTAATCCTCTTTGTTGCTCTTCTCTGAGTCTCAACATCTTTTTTACATCGTGGCGACCAAAATGCAGTATTCCAAGTGTGGCCTTACCAAGGCCTTATATAGTGGTATTAACACTTCATGTGATCTTGATTCTATCCCTCTGTTTATGCAGTCTACAACTGTGTTGTCTTTCGGAGGAAAATAATATCGACACTTCCGTGCTTAGAGTCACAGGATTGAAGTGGCCTAGAAGTACATGCAATAATAAACTGTCAGTCTTTACTTTTTCTCTCCCTGTCATCTGCCTCCTGGAGTAGAAAGCTGGGACTGCAAAACTGTTAAAAAAAGGGGTGTCTTACATTTTAGAATAAGGTAGAGAGAGAACATGGGAACAAGTTTAACTCCACATTCCTGGTTTGTAGTCCCTCAACATTCAGAATCTTCTTAAGGCTGGTGCTTGGATAAAGTGTGTCTCTCATACTCAGTGAAGGCAGCCTGGTCAAACATCCATGTCTAATTAGTATCCTTCTCTCTGAGGAACGGGACATCTCCAATTTTTCTGTGCAATAAATAAATAAAGGACCTACCTCTTTAGCGACCAGACGCCCATCCACTTCACCATAGCTGTCTTTTATGTCTTTAACTGTTGTATAAGATGAGCATCTGGTGTTGATTCCAAAGGAAATCTTCTCTGGTGCCACCAAAGGAGCCATCTGCACGTGCCCATAGGAGCCTTCTCCTGAAGGAAGAAGCACACAAAGAGACAATGCAAGGGATCAAAGGAAGCCAGAAATTCTCCGCTAATCAATCTCCAGTTCCAAAAATCAACAAACCCCTTGATTTACTTGACCTCCCCCCACATTTAACGTCAGGAGATGCTCTGAGCCAAAATTATATTTCCTAAAAAATGGGTGTCCACATTTATTTGGACTGATTTCAATCATCCCATATTAATGGTTGCACGTCCTTTCGGGGGACGGGGCGGGGGGGGAGGAATTGTAGTTGGCAGATCGATGGCTGGCCTATTGCCCAGACTTAATTAAACCTAATTTTTTCTTCCACTATAGTCTATTTTTATTTCATTGAACATTTCTATCTCACAGTCTTGTTTTCTGGATGCTTTGAGAATTTCATGGTACTAAGGTCTGCACTGTTGGTTGTGAGAGTTACTGTCCTTCTGTACATCATGTCCAGTGGTGGGTTTCTACCAGTTCGCCCTGGTTCGGGCGAACTAGTAGTGGCAGCGGTGGGAGGCTCTGCCCACCCACCTGGACGTCATCACGGACTCTCTGCGCATGCGCAGAAGTGCAAGCGAAGTAAACACATGCATGCACACACTCCTGATTCTGAACCGGTAGCGAAGGTAAGTGGAACCCACTACTGATCATGTCAAAATAATTCCACAGCTAGATCTGCTTTCTCTCTCTTTCCATGACCGAATCCAACACAGGTTGAAAGACAAATTGACTATAGGAACAGTCACATAACCAGATCTAGTGAGTTCTCAATCACACAACAGCTTCTTTGCAAAGTCCCTGTAGTTACAAGTTTTACCTCTAAGCTCCACAGCCTGGAAATTGCTGTAGTATCTCGGACCAAGTTTTTCCATAAACTGCAGAATTTTCACGGAGAGAACTTCTTCAAATAAGAACATAGGGCCTTGGCGCCAAGACAAGGAAGACCTCTTTTTCCACATCAGCGGTGTAGCCACAAAGCCAAAGACATCAATAAAAGAAACAGGGTCCATAGAAGTGAAGGTCCCTGGCAGTGGCCGGATGTACTGCATCTGTAGTAGAAGAAAAAAGAACAGCTGAAGTCCTTGTGGTGCTTTCTCTCTGGAAAATGAGCCTGGACACAGAAGGCAGGACAAGAAGCGAAGGATGGAAGCTAATCAAAGAGAGACCCAACCTAGAACTGAGGAGAAACTTCCTGACAATGAGAACAATCAACCAGTGGAACAGAAATTGCCTTCAGAAGTAGTATCGGCTTAAACATACAAATTAATTCTGTTCAGATTCTTTACATTTGTCCAATCTATATGATTCCACTATTAATACACCTGTTTATATTAAAATATGTTCTTTCATCATTTTATTAATCATTATTTCACTGTATTAATCCACTACAAATCATAATATTATTTAAACATACTCAATATTACCATTATTCAATCTCTAATTTTCCCCCTTTTAATACTTAGTTCTTATTCATATTTCCCATATTTCCCTCTGAGAATCTATTTATATTAAAATACTATGCTTCATTGTTTCATTATTCAATGTTTCAATATACTATTCTAATGCCAATCACGATATTATTTATTATTTATGTGATTGGTATTAGAATTATATATTTAAATATTGAATAATGAAATAATGAAGGATAGTATTGTAATACAAAGGGAACGTCTTTTAATATAATGGTGACACAAATAAAAGTTAGAATAGACAGAAATAAGAGAAATGGGGAATATTAGCATACATATTTTTATAAAATAAGTGCAATGATAAGAGGGAGGTTTAGAAACTGAATGGCGGTAGTATTATGTATGTTTAAAAAATATGAAATAATGAAAGATTATAATTTGATATAAATATGTATTCCACTAGAAATATATAAACTGGATGAATGTGATAACTATGATTAATAATATTATTTTATCTGTACTGAAATGTATGGCACCCAGGTGTCACACTGTTCACGAATTGATATGAACATGTAATATAAAATAAAAAACTTGACCAGTACGCTCCCATAGAGAGGGGCTCCTCCGGGTGCCGTCGGCCAAACAATGTCGACTGGCGGCCCCCAGGGGAAGAGCCTTCTCTGTGGGGGCACCTACGATCTGGAACGAGCTCCCCCCGGAGATACGGAGGATTCCGGACCTGCGCACCTTCCGTCGCGCGCTTAAGACGTTCTTATTCCATCAAGCTGGCCTGACCTAAACTTTTCCTCTTTTTAAATGGAATTTTAAATTTGGTTTTAATTTATTGGGGTTTTAAAATGGTTCAGCCAAATTTATTTAATTAGTTTTATCTCTATTTTAAATTTTGTATCTATATGTTTTATTTTATGGCTGTTCACCGCCCTGAGTCCTTCGGGAGTAGGGCGGTATACAAATTTAATAAAATGAAATGAAATGAAATGAAATGAGGGAAAAAAGTAGTAGTACTATGGGCTTCATCACTGGAGGTTGTTAAGAAGAGACTGGACAGCCACTTGTCTGAAATGGTATAGGATTTCCTGCTTGAGCAGGGGGTTGGACTAGAAGACCTCTAAGGTCCCTTCCAGCTCTGTTCTGATTGAACTAGTTGTTTTATATATTTTAGAGGGGTTTTTTTTACTGAAATATTGCAGCCTATCATAGTTTTCTTGAATTGCCCTTTCCTCCATACAAGACAATCCAAAAACAAATGTCGTGGTCCTTCTTTTTTCAGCCCTGGGCTTTGTCATGAAGCAGAGCTTCAGACAAAAGAATCCTCTATGTCCAAAGGAAGAAAGACCCGCTTTCTGCAGATGTCCCACCTTCGCAGAGCCCACCAGACTGCCATTCAGATAGGCCGAAACTGTGCAGATCTGCTTCGTTTCTTTTGCCACCGTCACAGCAAGGTGATGCCACTGTCCGGTCACGAGCAGTGGAGCACATCTGAACTGAACTTGGCACAGGAGAGAGGTCTCATCTTCAGGTACCATTGTGTCTGTGTTGTCACCAAAAAAGGAATAATTTGCCACATTATAGTGAAACCGAAAGGAAACATTTTACTACAAGATCAAGGGAAAATGTTTGGGGCAAGATGGTGACAGAGTCTCCAGAAAAAAAATGTCCTTTTGAACACTGGAGGGCTACTTTTTGGACATCAGCCAAGGACAGCCCCAAAACACGTGCATGCACACACCCACACCCACACCCACACCCACATCACAGGCAATGTCTTGCCAAGTAAGAGCAGCCACTGAAAAGACTTCTTCTTTATAGATACAAGTTTGGATTTAGAGGAAATTGGGACACGATGAGGGCAGAGGATCTTTTCGGTTTTTCAATTCCAAGATAATTAGGGATTTGAATAAATATGTTTTATACTAGGACTCTACAGCGCGTTGGAAGTCCTAAAAGGACTTTCACGGAGAGGCATGAAAGCAGCACCTATGTGGAACTCTTTACTCAGATGCTGCTGCTTTAAAAGGATTGGAGGCAGGTGTCAGGCTTGCAACTGGACTCACTCCAAAGGACCTGGGAGACTTGAAGCAAGCCTATTGTATGCTCTGACAGTTTAGAGACAGTTGTAAGTGCCGCTTCCACAACTGGACCTTGCAAAAGGGCTCAATGCAGCCCTGAGAGAGAGAGAGGGAGAGAGAGAGGGAGGGAGGGAGGGAGGGAGGGAGAGAGGGAGGGAGAGAGAAAGAGGAAGAACATTACTGCAATCTGAGCAATGACCAGGAATGGTTCATTCAGTCCCTTCATGAAATGAAGGACGGGCATCACACGCTCCAGAAATGCACTCAGAAAGAAGCTCTCTAACCACAGTGGTCACTGAAGCTTCAAGTATTTGCTTGGCCATATCTTGATTAAAGAACCACAAGGAGATCTAACACAGAGTTTGAAAAACATGTGCCTGGCGGATTTATGTCCATGTTGAAGAATTGTTTTCTGGGCACAAATTCAGAGGTTGGTTTTAATCTTCCAGGAAACTTGGGGCTTGAGGATTTTAAATTTTCTACATGTCAGGCCTTGGTCAACCTGCTTTCCCTGAGGCCATTCGTAGGCCCTCTGGCCCTGAGACCCTTACCTAAAGCTTCGAATGCCACTTCCTCAGTTGAGATGGTTAGACAACCTTCTGCAGGAGAAAACCTCACTGCAAAGCAAGCAAAGACTTCTTCGGTTCTCGCCATGTGACGCATCAAGGTAAGGAAACGTAGCGGGTGGTAATCACAAGCCGAACTCATCTTATTGATCAGAAACCAGGAGGAAAAAGTGAGGCCATCTGGTGGGGGGAACCGCCTGATGCCTAAGAAGGCAGAGAAAGGGATAAACCAGAGCAACGGAGAGATGCTGTCCAAGCCAGGTGGAACAAGATGCAGTGACACAAAGCCCCTTAGAAACAGTGGGTTCACAAAACGTAAAACTTCCACTTTGGCACAGGAGGAACAGAGTGTATGATGGAGACATCCAGTTTACTCAACAAAAATTAAGCATTTCAAAGTCTTGAATCAAAAATACACTGTCCGATGAATTAGGGAAGCTTTTGGGAACAGCCTTTCTTGAACAAGAGGGAAATATCTTCAAAGGTTATTGCTGATCCCATCCTTTCTTCTCCGGGATGATCTCAAGAGGAATCACTGAACAACTTACATACTGTATATACCCATACCCAGAGAGACATAGACTTTATAAACACTCATATATGCGTATATATACATACATACCCTGTTTCCCCCAAAATAAGACATCCCCTGATAATAAGCCCAATCGGGCTTTTGAGTGCATGGCAATAAGGCCAAGCACTTATTTTAGGGTTCAAAAAAATATAAGGCAGGGTCTTATTTTCGGGAAAACATGGTAGATACACATATGCATACATATTCATCTATACATTCACAATCTGATTATAACATAAGCCTCAAGCCTTCCAATGTCAAAGCCAGGTACGCACTGCTCTCCATTGCATTATAGCCAACATTTTGAAGACAGTATTTTAAAAATCTACCTTTTCCGGTTCCTCCCAAGACAGAGCGTTCAGTGCTTTGGCCTAGAATGGTGGCCATACTTGGTAAAAACAAACACCTGCAAACGCAAGAAAATAAAAACAGTAATAGGTGCATTTCTTTGTAAAGGAATAGAAATAGAGATAAATGATTACAACCTTTCAAGCAAATCTCTCTCCGCCAATTACTCCTGAATCATCCCCTTCTGTTTTGTAATCCCTATGATTACTCAATAGAAATGTAAAATACAACTTTTGAAGAGTGGCAGTTCCTCACTTTACAGTTTCACAGATAATGGTGCTGTGTGAAACTTTAAATGAAATACCCCAATTTACTTTTCAAAGCAGACAATCTCCCCCAGGGGTGAAATGCTCCCAGTTCGGACCAGATCGCCCGATCCGGTAGCGATGGCGGCGGGTGGTTCAGAGAACCGGCAGCAAAAATCCCTGCACCCCCTCCCCCCATGCACAACTTAGCCGTGCAATCATCAGAGGCTGTTTTTTTTTTACTTTTAAAAGCATTTTTTCCTACTACCTCTTCAGCCAAAAAAATGCTTTTAAAAGTTAAAAAAAAAGCCTCTGATGATCGCGCGGCTCAGCTGGGATCGTCAGAGGCTTCTAAAAGCATTTTTTTCTCTTCAGCCAAAGAGGTTGTAGGAAAAAAATGCCTTTAAAAGCCTCTGGCGATCCCAGCTGAGTTGCCTGATCGTCAGAGGCTTCTAAAACATTTTTTTCTGCAACCTCTTCGGCCGAAGAGGTTGTAGAAAAAATGCTTTTAAAAGTAAAAAAAAAAAGTTGGCCATGCCCACTCAGTCACATTACCGCCCCCCACCAAGCCACGCCCACAGAACCGGTAGTAACACATTTTAGATTTCACCCCTGATCCCCGCCCCAGTTTTTGCCCAAAGACCCTGTGTTGCTTTGCAGCTTTGAAGCCCTCTCAGCCTTTTCCCACAAAGATATCCCTAAGAAAGAAGAGCCCCCATGATCCGGGGGGGGGTCCCTTCCATGAGTGTGGGCAACCCTTGAAGTGTTGGCCAAAGCTACCAAGCTTGGAGATGGCTCTGGACCAGATTTGGCAAGAACGGCAGTCAGGAGAAGACAAGCACACATCCATAGCACTTGCCAAAAATGCTGTGCGTAAGGTAAACAGCACACCCCAGGAACCTGCACCGGGGAGAGGATCCCGAAGGCCTAGGGGGTGGGTGGGGTTGGACCATTCTGCCTGGGGGTGGGAAGCCTTGGTGCATGCTAAAGCTCACCCAGGATTTGGTGTAGGTTATGACAGTCCCACAATCAGTGGTGGGATTCAACCGGTTCGCACCTATTCCGGAGAACCGTTTGTTAACTTTCTGAGCAGTTCAGAGAACCGGTTGTTGGAAGAAATCTCTTGTTTTTTTCCACTTTACAGGGCTCTAATCCTGTAAGGAAGGCAGGAAGGAAACATTCTGGTGTTGTTTCTAGCCTAATCTTTATTGCCCTGCTTACAGAAACTGCCTCTCCAGTTAACCCTTATTACATTGTAGCAGCTAAAAGTTCTTGGCAGCACATCCAGACTTAGTGTCGCCTGAGCTTCTTCAGAGTATTTTTTTTCTTTGCTGGTACTTTGCTTTGCTTTATTAGGGGCCTGACTTTCTTAAAGGGGAAGGGTTGTTTTAAGCTTTTTACACTGCTGTTGGGAGGAAATACTCCCCTGTTGGAGTTTTTCCAGGTGGGATGCAATGATCAGCGCTTTGAAGAAATAATTGAATAATGAAGCAGAGCTGCCGGAAAGAAGCTTTTAATGACAAGGAACCAAGATGAGTGACATTCAGCAAGGCTTCTTGGCTAGTTAGAAAGATTGACATTCAAACATGAGTTTATATACCCTGTCTGAGTTTTGGTCTAAAACTGGTTTTTGGTGAAGATTAATTCTGTGCTTGGTGATGTTTAATCCTGTATTTATTGACGGGATAATTTTCCCTATTCAGCTTTGTTTGGAAGGAAAAAAGGTTAATCTCTGTTCCTGAAAAGAAGCAGGGTGAGAAATCTGGCTACTTCCTGTGTTTATTTCTTCTGGTAATTGGTTTAACAAGCAACAGCTACTGTATTTGCTCTTTTGCTACATTCTAGTGCTAATTGCATTCTTTGTAGTTAAGCTTATCTCAAGTGTTTACACTTGCCTGGGATGTGAGCTCTGGCAATGAACCAGACAAGGCTTATGTTTTAATTTTAAAAGGATTTAAACTGTTGTGATTTAATTATTTGTATTGTGTTTGAATTTTTTCCTGCCTCATGGTTTCTTTTTCTATCTGGGGAGGGGGTCTTCCTTCACTGCTTTAGTGGTTCCTGGCACTGTCCTTTTGGGGTGTACTTCCAAGAGGCAGGATGCAAGCTTGGCACTGGTTTTTTTACTGCCTTTCTGAGGGCAGTACAGTAATGTGATCTTTCCTTAAATCTGGATGATTTCCTTAGGATATCTTGTGATGTGAGTGAGACCTGGTATCTTTAAGTGGTGCAAATGGATCTAAGGATTGCTTCTCCTGGGTGTGAAAGGGTGCTTTGTCAGTTCACTGAGCACAGTCTCTTGTCTATGGGGATTCTTCAGTCATCCAGGTCATGGCTGTCCCAAAAGTGCTTTTTTTCAAGAGGCAACTGGACTTTCTTGGTTTGGTGCTTTTGCATCGCTTTGAAGTGGCCAAGGCACATGATTGCTCACTGATGGTAAGATTTTTTTAAAAAAAGGAAATAGGGGTGTGGATCCTCCAATTCATTTTAGTTTTTTTTCATGATAATAAGGCTTAGTAACATGGCACCAGGCTTGAAGTTTATTTAGATATATGTGGCATGTACTAATTTGATTGTGATCCTGACAAGCTTGGGAGGCTTGAACCTGGGTCCCCTATATAATTTGTTAATTTGTCTCTTTAGCTCAACATTTTGTAGCCCAAATATGCCCACCCACTTTCTGGAGAGGTTAAATGACCTCTCTGCTAAAGGGTTTCACTTTATGAGCAAGAGTTGGCTGCTGATAGTTATCATTGCATTTTAACAATTTTAATTCCTCAAGGTGCTCCAGCACCCTGCCTAATTTCTAACTCCAGCTTGCAGGTATTTCTAATCTAATGATTGGTATTTAGGGCAGCTTTTTGTATTTTTGTACAGGTAATCCTTGACTTACAACAGTTCATTTAGTGACCATTCAAAGTTACAATGGCTCTGAAAAAAGTGACTTATGACCATTTTTCACACTTATGACCATTGCAGCATCCCCAGTCACGAGAGGCGGGTGAGGTGAAGCGCCCCTCGACGTGAGTGATGTCGAGTTGGCCACACCTACCCAGTCACATGACCACCCATTCACATGATCACCCAGCCACACCTAGCCAACTGGTCATTAGGGCAGAGAACAGGTTGTTAAATTATTTGAATCCCACCACTGCCCACAGGGTATTTTGGACATAGCCAGGCTGGACACACACACACACACACACACACACACACACACACACACACACACACTTTTGCCTGAGAAAAGGTCTTCTAGGTTGGGTAACTCCACCAACTCCACGGAGACATTTCTCCTCCACTCATGCAGAAGACAAAGCTTCTGGAGCGCACCCATTCTTCAACCACCGAGGAATAGCTGAATTCACCCCAAATAAAAAGCAACTGCACTAACCAATATGTTGCCTAACATATTAGGTAAGAAACCTAAAATATTTTCTTTAGCTAGTCTGACCATTCAAAGATTGACACAAGATTTATTTTGTACTTCTCTGAATTCTGCAATTCCATGCTCCCTGTTCCCCTTTATAACAAAGTGTGCATTAAAAGTTGCATAATCGCATCAGAACACACGAGGAAGTGATACAAACAGACTGACTTCCTTGCTGTTTAGTAATACCGTGTTTCCCTGAAAATAAGACATGTCCTGAAAATAAAGCCAATCGGACTTTTCAGGACATGTGATAATATAAGCCACCCCCGCAAAATAAGCCCCCACACCAACTACACGCCACACTCCCACTGCCGGGCATGACAGGGCTCCTGCCCGCGCTTAGCCACCTGCCCCTAGCTGCCCTCTTTAGGGTACAATTTGGGGGTGGCAGGTGGGGCAGGTGAGAAGCATCTCACTTCTTGCCTGCCCCACCTGCCACCCCTCTCAATAAAAAGACAGTGGGGAAGGGAAGCAGCCAGGCTGCTGTTGCCATTGGGGTGGGACGTGTTGGGCCGCAAGATGCGCATCTTACCTTTCCAGCACCATCACGTTCCTCGCCTTTCTGTCCAGGGAGACACGTTGTAGAAAACTTTCTCGCGAGTTCAAGGAGTTTGGCTGAACTCGCGAGAAAGTTTTTTCTACAACATGTCTCCCTGGACAGAAAGGCAAGGAACGCGATGGGACTGGAAAAGTAAGATGCGCGGCCTGCTCCTCGCCCACCCCACCTGCCACCCCTCTCAATAAAGAGATGGTGGGGAAGGGAAGCAGCCAGGGCTGGTGGGATGGGACGTGTTGGGCCGCGAGACGCGCGTCTTTCCTTTCCAGCACCATCACATTCCTTGCCTTTCTGTCCAGGGAGACACGTTGTAGAAAAAACTTTCTTGTGAGTTCAGCCAACTCCTTGAACTCGCGAGAAAGTTTTCTACAACATGTCTCCCTGGACAAAAAGGCAAGGAACGTGATGGTGCTGGAAAGGTAAGATGCATGTCTCGTGGCCCAACACCTCCCTCCCCAATGGCAACAGCAGCCTGGCTGCTTCCCTTCCCCACTGTCTTTTTATTGAGAGGGGTAGCAGGTGGGGCAGACGAGAAGTGAGACACTTCTCGCCCGCCCCACCTGCCACCCCCAAATTGCACCCTAAAGGGGGGGCTGGTGGCTAAGTGTGGGGCAGGAGCTCTGTCATGCCCAGCAGGGGGTGGGAGAAGAGGCAGCAAGGGGAGCCACATCTCACTCCATGCGTCTCACTTCTCCCCCGCCCCACCTGCCAGAAACAAGTCTTTGTGAGACTCGTCGCACCGCTGCCACCGCCTCGTGGAGCAGGACTCTGCAAGGCTTGTGCCGTTGCATGCAGGAACTGCAGCACAGCCGCAAGGTTCGACATACTGGCACAGCTGCGAGCGGCAGGACACCAGCTGTGCCAGTATGATGAAGCTCGTGGCGGTGGTGCAGTTCGTGCATGCAACGGCACAAGCCTTGCAGAGTCCTGCTCCACGAGGAAGCAGCGGCGGCGGGAGATGTCAGGGCAGCGGCCAACGCGAAGAATGGGGAGGGGAGGCGATGGCAGCAACAGGACATCCAGCCCCACGCTTACCGCCTCCTGCACCCCCAAAATAATAAGACCCCTCCCCGATAATAAGGCCAAGTCCTTATTTGGGGGTCAAAAGAAAATAAGACCCTGTCTTATTTTCGGGGAAACACGGTAGTTATTCAATACTGTAACCCTAAGAACTACAAAAAATATTGTTTCCATCCTTTAAATAAAATTCAAAGGGCTACATAATTTGACATCCATTTGGTATCATTTCATCCCTGAGGTTAAATATACCTCGCCACCCACCTTAATGGGCCCCACACGTGCGCCAAATGTTGCCAGCAAAATATGTAGTTCTCCCCTTAAGTATGTGGGGGGGGGGGAAATAATATTAACTGTATTTAAATTTAAGTGTTCAAAAATTTAAATAAGGTCAAATAACATTTTATCCTATCCCTACTCAATCCTTCATCTTAATTGTGCCCTTTCGGGAAGGGGGCCTTCCCAGACCACACTCAAAAATACAATTGTGCATTTCTGGCCTGACTAAACGGTGTTGGCTCAAAACACATTAAGAAGGACATGAATGAATGTTCATGTATGTAAGCAGCACTAAGTATGTAAGGATCCTCTTAATGACTTAACAACAGGGCTATTTCTTGGCATATTTCTCATTACATGTTACAGAACTATGAGCAATAATGAAAAGGGGAAATGAGAAACTTCTGTCCATAAAGTTGCTCTGAACTACATCTATCATCTAATTTGCCCCATAAATGGGTGATATTCCTTCAGATGACAAAGCATCAGGCATCTAAATAACATGACTGATTGATCGATCGATCGATCAACCCATTTTTGAACTATCCACAAACTGAACTTGACTCTATGGAATCAAAGGCAAAGGACCTGTAGGCTGAGATGAGGAACGTTACCAGGGGAAGCAGAAGACAATCATATATTACCCATATCCTTCGAGGGACATGTCAAACTCCACAAAGGAAGGGGCCAGGCAGGCGCTGTGCAGATGCAGGCTGCGTGGGGTTGTCAAGGAAATGAGACTCATGGCCGTTTGCAGAGCCATTGCAGAACCCGCAGAGGGGTCAGAGCCCGGCAGAGTTTCCTTTGGGCTGTCCTTCCATGCAGCTGTTCCAGAACCTAATACAAGAAACATACCTAATACAAGGAACCTAATACAAGGAACATAACGTAACAGTGGCACTACGGCAGGTTCTGAACTGGGGACTTTGAGAGACACGGTATAAAGAAGAGAAGTAACAAGAAAAAGGCCAGCAAGGCATTCCATAGTTGTGAGTTGAATGCTTCCTTCAGCATCCTCATCATTTCAAATTGGTGCTGAACGGATGGATGTTAAGCGAGGTCTGCCTGTATTGACTTTTTCCTCTCAGGCAATAGAGAATAAGTCCATCCCCTCTTCCCTCTGAGAATTCTTCATATATTTGAAAATTACTCCCACATGCCTCCTCGGTCATCTTTTTGTAGACTAAACAGACCTTTTAGCTGTTTCTCACAGGGTTTGGGTTGCAGATCCACCATTTTCTGGGCTGCCTTCCTCTGGACTCGGTCCAATTCCTCTCTGTCACTGAGGGATGCCTCAGGGGGGAGGCTTACGTGGGGTGGGGGAGCGATGGGAAGGGGCATCATCCGTAGGCACAGGAATTGTCTGAAAGAGATCAAGCAAAGGACAAATGTCCCACGGCAAAAGAAAAGGAACACCTGGATGAGGCATCTATGCAGGAGGTGCATGGCGGGGGGGGGGGGAGATGGGGGATGAAGGTCCTAGAATTGCGTCAAAATCTTCACCACGTGTTCCCCAAACCCGAGGCTGCCAGAGGCATTGGCCAGTGGTTCTTGAGGACAGGAGTCTTGAAAGATGCTGCCACGAATTTTAGCGGAGTTTCAGAGTCTTATCGGCTGCATCTCTGCGGCATGTTACTAATACTGTTTCTTCACAGTGAAGAAAAAGAAAATAAGAAACCGCAACTACTGTATGAGATGTGTTGGATATGTTTGCTACCTTGAGTTACTTGTAAAAATAATAAAGACAGGATACAAATATATAAATGGTCAGTTCTGATAATGCCAGTCACAGTTGCTGGGGAGACATTTGGAAACCTAAGTCACTAAGTCCTGAAGCCCCAGACTGCCCAACAGGTACGGGCTGTGATACACTGAGACGTCACCTTAAGACCTCGGGCTGAATGGACTGGGAGCCGAGCTTCTCGAAGAGCCGGATCAGAGGCGGGTGGAGGGGGCTGCTTGCATTGTGCAGAACTTCTGGGCAGGACCTGATGAGGCTGCCCAGCAGGCCAGCTGCACAAGCCACTTGGCGGTTCTTCTCCAAGCCCATCAAGGATTGAATATGGTCAGCCACGGCGAATTGGATTTCCAGGGATAGCTGAAACAAGCCAAGGCAGGGCAAGAAGGACAGGCATCAGTGGACTGCTGGCAACACGAGGGCAACCAGTAACCAGCAGCCATAATGGACACAGAGTAGTCCTGGATCATTGCAGAAATCAGAGTCCAGCTTTCTAAACAAAAATTTAAGAAATGATGTAGGAACCCAGGGTTGGCCTGCTACAACACCTAGTTAATAAATAAGTTTACAAATGATATAAAATTGCCAAATGCTCATTCATTGCTCCATATTAGGTATCATTGCAATTAGTTGCCTCTTCATGTGTTATCTCCATTGCACACTAATTTTACTGGAGAATTTTAGAGTTGCAAGCTGGGCTGCTGAATATTTAATTTTTGGTTGATATTAGCACACGTGTTCACAATCAGAAATTAGAAATAGGGCATCAGAATTCACTTTTGTATATGATATAAATGTTTGTAAAGTACAAGAGACAGGAAATAAATTCAAATTTTAAATGAAATGGCTATTGGAAAAAGGCTAAGGTAACAAATGTCATCAGATAAGTCAAACACAAGAGCAGATTATGTTCAGAGATGTTTATGTTCATTGTAGTATGCTGTCTCCAAAATGATGCTAGATAGGTTGAAAATTAAGATTGATTAATTAATTAACAATTAAGTTGCTGGCTGGAAGACTGTGAGTTCTTCTCCACTTTAGGCATGAAAAATCAGTCGGGCAAATGGGCTGCTCACTTTTTGTCAGCCTACCTCACAGAGTTGTTGTAGGGAAAACAGGAGGAGGAAGGAGTATTGGGTATCTTCACCCCCAAGTTGTGTATGAAAAAAGGCAGGATAAAAACTGAAAGTAAATAAATAAGCCAAATTTTATTAAGGTTCCTAAATATGATAAATCTGGATCCTATTGCTACATTTCTTGGAGGGGGTGGTATAAGGTGATTGATTATGTCTCTATTCTTCTGATATCCTTGACTCAATCTGGGTTGTTTAGATGAACTAAAACTGATCCAGCTTCATAACAGGATCTAGATCAGGGGTGAGGAACAATCATGGCCCCTTTTTGACTTGTGGACTTCAACTCTCAGCATGGCTGGCTCAGGAATTCTCTGGAGTTAAAGTTCACAAGTCATAAAGGAGCCATGATCGTTCCTCACCCCTGACCCAGGGCATGCTTTCCACGGTAGAAAGGCAGGGATTCTGATGGCTAAGCGGAACACTGGTCACTTAGGCCGATTAGAAAGAATTGCTAGTTTAAAACTTGGGAAAGTAGAGAATATGCAGAAACTAACTGAATACATGTTTTAAAGAAAAAGAGGTGATCGTTATGGCCATCTTCTTCATACTAATTTAACGGGGGGGGGGGGGGAGGATCAACTTGAATTTATTTAGTACATAAATAAAAATTGTGTCAAGTGTAGACCTATAATAAATGGGGTAGTTTTGATAAATCTATTTGTTAAAGTTATAAATCTGAAAAATAAACCAGTGACATTACGGCATGTCCTGCACACATACTATAAAGCTCTCCTATAACCCAAGCCGAGATGATGGTCGGACACATTTTTATATATGCTCAGCCAAAGATCATCAGCGCAAGTCCGTTCATGTTTTAGTCACGATGCTGCTTGAGAACCAAAGAAATGGGAAAGATATCTAAATGTCCGCCATGCTGGTTTCTCGGTCAGTCATCTGTTACGGGCCACAACCAAGCCAGCTCAGATCTGACTGAGTGAATGAGCGAAAGTTACCAAAAGACAAACCCATTCAGAGCAGTGGTGGGTTTCACATTTTTTTACTACCAATTCTGTGGGTGTGGCTTGCTTGGTGGGCGTGGCTTGGTGGCCATGTGACTGGGTGGGCGTACTGGGTAATCATATGACTCAGTGGGTGTGGCTGGTTGGTCATGTGACTGCGTAAACGTGGCCAACTTGACATCACTCACGTCAAGGGTTAGGGTTAGGGTGCCTGGCTTCTCCTAGCCTCAAAGGCCTCAATGAGATACAATTTCCCTGTCTATTTATTTATTACTACTGAACATCCAAAATATACTATTTAATCCTACGTATATATGCCATATGTGTACATACATATTACATAGTATAGAGTGTGTATAAGCATACAAAAAGATACAATATCTACTATATATACTGTATGTGTATGTACACACACACACACACAGCTCTTCTAAAACTATACACATTCAACCTCACTTACCACATTTGGAAAAACATACCCAGAGTCCACTTTCTGCCACACATTTAACGATAACTTCTGTACATTAGAATTACACACGCCTTCAGATGTTCTTCCCTAGCTTGCACATGACTGTTAGAGCCAGGAGAGGTCATGGATTGAATAAAATGTGGTGAAACTCACTTAACAATGTTTTTGTTGCTCCCAACAATTTTGGGCTCAATTGTGGTCATAAATCAAGGACTATCTCTGTCTTCCTCTGCATGGCAGCCTTGTCCTAGTAAACTCCTTTTCCTTTCTGGCAATTTTCCTCTCTGTTAAAGGCACCAAAATAATCCAGATGATGTAAGGTTTCCTGCTACAGCAGAGGGTTGGACTAGATGACCTCTGAGATCCCTTCCAGCCCTAGATTGCTGTGCTGCTTCAAAGCGTCTTCTAAAGCCACGTCTAGTGCCAGGGTTTGTGGTGCTTCCTTCCTCTTCTCTCTCTCTCTTCCTTCCTTTCTCTTCCTTTCTTTCTTTGTCTCTTTCTCTCTCTCCCTCCCTCCCTCCCTCTTTCTTCCTTTTTCTTCTTTCTCTTTCTCATTCTTTCTTTCTTTTTCTTTCTTTCTTGTCTCTCCCTCTCTCCCTCTTCCTCCTTCCTTCCTTTTTCTTTCTTTCTTTCTCTTTCTCTCGTTTTTGTCTTTTTCTCTTTCTTCTCTCTTTCTTTCTTTCTCTCTTTCTTTGTCTTTCTTTTTTGTCTCTCCCTTCCTCTTTCTTTCTTTCTTTTTTATTTCTTTCTCTCTCCCTTCCTTTCCTTTTTCTTTCTTTCTTTCTCTCTCTCTTTCTTTTCTCTCTCTCCCTTCCTTTCTTTCTTTTTCTTTCTCTTCCTTTCTTTGTCTCTTTCTTTCTTTCTTTCTCTCTTTCTCTTTCTTTTTTGTCTCTCTCTCTCTCCCTTCCTCTTTCTTTCTCTTTCTCTTTCTTTGTCTCTTTCTTTCTTTCTTTCGTCTCTCTCTCTTTCTCTTTCTTCTCTTTCTTTTTTGTCTCTCTCTCTCTCTCCCTTCCTTTCTTTTTTTCTTCTCTCTCTCTCTCTCTCTCTCTCTCTCTCTTTCTTTCTTTCACCCGCTGGCCGGCCCGGCCCGGAAGCAGTGCATCCCCAGTCATGGGCTGGCTGTGGGCAGTGGGACCCGAGGCGGAGGGGAAGGCAAGAGGGCAAAAGCCGAATGCGCCAGGCCCAAAACGCAGCTCTTTGGCCAGGCACAGCGGGTCTCCCTCCCCCGCCACCAGCGTCAGATTTACCTTCTAGATCTTGCTGGCTTGAATACGGGATCCCTTCAGATCCCAGCAGAGCCAGTGCGTGGCTGCCCGTGAAGGTAAGGCTGGTGGCAGGCGGCCTTCGGGGGAGAGCCCTGGGACATCTGCCTGCCCTCCTGGGGCTGCTGTGCTGAGCTCCAGGCGGCGGCAGGTGGGAGGGCGGTGGGGGGCAAAATGCTCCAGGCAGCGGTGGGTGGGGGGAAGCCTTTGGAGCCCTGGGAAATGGCAGCCTTTCCGGATGGAACTTAGGGGAGTCCAATTCCCAAAGGGCAGCGAAACTCTCTCTCCCAGGAAAGAACAGCGGGGGTGGGGGGGGGGGAGAGAAGCAGCAGCCGCTGACCAGGAGAGCACAGGACGGAGCCCTCCACGTGTTCTCTGGTGATCTGTTCTCTCTCCCTCGCTTTCTTGCTGGGAGAGGGAGAGAGTTTTTCACAGCGCTGCGCTTTAGATCCTGGTAAGTCCGGAAAGCGCTGCGCCAGAGAGAAATAGGATTCAACCCATTTCACTCTGCCTGGCTTTCCGGATGGGACTTACGCTTACAGGACCCAAAGTACCGTGCTGAGAAAGACGCTGCCCCAGCAAGAGAGCGGGGGAGATAAAGCCGGTCGCCGGAGAACAACGCTCCACGGGATCGGCAGCTGCTGCTTCTCTCCACCGCGCTCTTGCTGGGGGAGCGTCTTTCGGAGCACAGCGCTTTGGGGACCCATCCGGAAAGCCAGACACAGAGAAACATCCGGGTTGAAGGCCGGTACTTTCAGCACCCACGAGGAACCCAGGCTTGGAGCAGTTTTGGAGGTGGTTAAGGAGGACCTCTCCTCGGCCCCAGCCGTGCGCTTTCAAGCCTGGCTGCTTGGAGTGAAAAGCTATGGCAATAGCTCAGGCTTGAAAACGCACGGCTGGGGCCAAGGAGGGTCCTCCTTAACAACATTCCTTGTGGACACTGGCATGCCTTCCTCTCTGCCACCAGCTGTGGGAGGAAGGTAAGACAGTGGGCCCGCGGCAAACTAGGCTGCAGGCAATGCGGCCTTGGAATGGAGCCGCACCGGGCCGTGGTGGCTTAGCCAGCCACACAAGCTCAGTGGGGACACTGGAGGGGGGGGTGTGCAGCAAGCTCTGGGGAGGAGGGGGCTAGCCCAACTTACCTGTAGGTAGGAGGAGGCAGCTCAGTTAGGGCGCAGGACAGGCAGGCACCACGTGGGAAAGCAGTTTAGGCAGGCAAGCCGCCCAGGAGGCTGGGGCAGGGCAGGAGAGGGGGGTGAGCGACAGGGCAGCAACCGGGCAGGCGGGGAGAATGAGTGGCGACCAGGCAACGGGTTCAGGGGCATGGCCAGTCAGTGGTCGCTACCAGTTCGGTGACCCAGGCCAAATTACTGCTACCGGTTTTCCCGAACCAGTAGAAACCCACCACTGATTCAGAGCCATTTCCAGTTCTCTTCCGTCAGGGTTGCAAATGATTTTCATGAATTGGGGCCTCTAATTCACCAGCAATTGAGAAAGTGTCATCTAGATTTTCTAAGAAGACTGTAATGCTTTTTGTACCTTAAATATTGCTTTTCCTAATAATAATAATTTTGCTTCAGCAAAAAAGCAAGGTTAAGGGGAAGAATGACATCGTGAAGATCTTGGCTCAGTAAATCCGCATTGCCCTCACAAATTCAATAGAGCCATAATGGAGTACAAGGAATTGATTGTTCGCATTATGACAGCAGTCCTGCCAATAATGAGATTGCCTTGTTTTGAATAAAATGTGCTGTTTTCAGAGATGCTCGTTCCAGGAAAAAAGGGTTTTAGTGAAAAAAATTAATGGTGACAGGAAAGTAGTCTCCGTTTCCCCAGCTGTTATGGATTGATTTCCCTACACATCCCTTCCAGAGTCTGACAGGGGCACAGGAGATGCAATTACAAATCAACAAATAAGCCCACAACTTTGCGTCAGAATGAAGTCTGAGGGCAAACATGTCAGTTGGTCCATCCACCCCATGCCTGCTCTTACGTGGCGATTCTCCTCTCACCAGCAGACTCCATACTTGGGAGTGCCTTGTTATACTTGGCATATAACTTAGATTGCAGATGAGGATGCTAATATTTGACTCATTAATTTTTTTGCAGTTGCGTAGGTTTATTTATTTATTTAACTAAATAAGTATCAAGTGAGTATGAATACAGATGAAAGAGGGCACTGTAAATAGGATGGGTGTAGAATAGATTTCCTTTCTTTTTTGCTTTGATTTTCTTTCATTAATTTTCTCTTTTGCATAATACTATTTATTTTGAAAGGAATAATGAGTATGCTAGGCTATGCTACATAATCTCGTCTGTGTAAAGTTGAGTCTCCCTTGGGGGCATCAGTCACCTGTCAACTTACCTCAGGGTAAGCTTCATTGTAGACTTTGCCAATCAGTGTCACCATGACACACAGGGCTCCAGGACACACAATCACTGAGTCCTCACCTCGTGGCCTTCAGAGAAAAGACAAGAGGACACCTATAGCATTTCTGTACACTTGTATACCTCAAGACAAAAGAGTAGGAACCAGGTCATAGTCCTTCTCTTCTATTCTTGCATAAAAACAGGAAAGCAAATGCTTCTGCAAACTGGGAGGGGAGAAGAAATTGCAACCTCCTTGGTGGCCAAGGATACCCCAGAAAAAGATGGCCCTCCCAGCCGCCCCTAGGGAAGCTAAAGCTTCACAATGGGGTTCCCTTAAGCATTTTCCCCCAGGAGAGAAAGGGAAGGGACATGTTTTGTGCTTCAGATCTTCCTTCTTGAAGCAGAAAAAAAAAACCTAATTCTGTAGTATTCTGTAAGAATTGGCTTGCATTTGATTGTGTCTGAGTAGAAGGACTTATTTCCTCCAGGTTACCAAAGAAGGCATTCTGATTTGTGATCACGGTTTTCCCAACATTTGAGAAGTGTCTGCTTATTTAGAACTGCCTTATAACAAAATTAATGAGTGGAAACTTTAATTGCCTCTTTTTTTCATAATTTTGTGAATGAATTATGGTTCCTCCCAAGATGAGAGAAAAACAGCAAAGAGAAAAAGAAACATTCCTGTTTGGTGTCTCTCGTTATGATAAATTATTTTGAATCAAAATTTTGGTCCCTATTTGACTTGTTATAGGCTGCTAAATATTGGCTATCATATTTTGCAATTTAGATCCAACTTTAAATATCTATAATTTTGTTAACAAACAGTCCATCTATGCAATCGAAGACTTCCCATATATCTAGATAACATATGCAGCTGAATCTTAAAAAAAAGGGGGGGGGGTTTCAAGAAAAGACTGCACATTCTGGAGACTTAAGGATGTGCAAGAAAGAAACTCCCATAATAATCCCACTTTAATTTTAATTAGTAGAAACTTGGACAGGCTTCCAGGAATGATTGGGGGGGGGGGTCTCTATTTGACCTCACCTACATCAGGGGGCTGAGAGGAGCCGAGAGTCCAGGGAATCTCCACCTTAGCAAATTTATGATGTGTGGATGTCACACCGGCTGGGGAATTCTGGCAGGTGAAATCCATACATCTTGCCAAAGTGAGGAACACCAATTTAGATTGATATGCATGTATAATTCTACTTAAAATTAAGCATTATTTGAAAGCAGAAAGATCCAGAAGGCTATGAAAAAATGCCACTCAGTTTGATTGGAGTTTCATTTACGTTTATATTTTCCAAATACGCATTAACTGGAATGGACTTCCGTGATGTTCAGAACCCAACTGCAGGCCACCCTTTTGTCCTATCCAGGATGTCCTTCAAACCACTTTTCTCTAAAGGAATGGGAAAATACTTTAGAAGAGGAGCTGCTGATGGCAAGCGATAGCAAAGAAAAATTGTCAATAACCTCCTTTGCACTTGAAATAATTGTGCCCCTTCCTTGTGACTAACACAGGGTATACTTAGATCTGCAATTAACATTAAATCATTTGAGCTTGTCTTCTCACTAAACCTACATTGGAGTGATCTATAAATGTGTACACTCATGAAAAAATAGGCCCCAAGACGTGTAAGAAATAAGATAATTAGAACATCCAAATTAATGCTTCCAACTTTTTATATCATAACTGCCAACGGCCTACCTGTTCTGGGGTTCTGGCAGCTGGACGGCAGCTACTTTGTTGGACTTTCTATGGTGCCAAAGATTCCCTGGAGAATCTTCTTGCTGATTTTCTGTCCCATCCCAAATGCCCAAAGTGGGAGGATCTGTTTCCTCCAAGCAGCTCTTGAGGTTGAAGGGGTTCATCTTGGCCATGGAATCAAGGAAGCTGAATATCCTGATGCAGCTTTTTAGCCGAGTTGGGAAAAGCTCAGGTGAGCAAACAGCTGTATTTGAAAGCTCAACAAAGGATCGTGGTTTGTTGATCTGCATAGGAATTTGTCCCCACCTTTGTGCTGAAAAGCAGCCAAGCATGCCAAGGTCCTCCGCCATCCTCTCAAAGAGACCGTTCTTCTGGAAGAAGCCCTTATTGGCAGGGTCCAAGTAAAGAGCGGCTGCCATTGTCTGGAGAATGCGTAGTATCAGTCCTAATATGTGGCTGTGACCAAAGGAGGCCCAGACACCTGAAGGCGGGTCCTGCAAGGCACCTTCCATGTCAGCCAGAAGGGAAAACAGCCCATTGAAGCCACTGCTGGTTCTGAAGGCAGAGCGACCCTTGGGGTTCACCAGGGTCTTCAACAGAGACTAGCATTGGAGAAAAACGAAAGAAGAACTTATCAGCGTATATACAAAGTTTGCAAAGAACAGCAGCCAACTCCAGAAGAAAACTGGTCTTGACTAAAGTCCTTCAAATCAAGAATTTACTATGCTAAAGATTGATCGTTTCCAGAAGGTCTTCACAGAAGGGTTCAGCCTACCCTTTAGTGGAAAATCATTTTGTTAATAACATGGATAGCATGACAGGGGGGGGAAAAAACATTTTCTGGTCTAGTTCCTGGAGGTTAGGCACCAGAAGCAGCTTCTCCCTGAAGAGTCCCTTAGACAGGTTGACTCTGGTTAACATAGGAGGCCCTGCAACAGCTACGTACGGTAAATATTAATTTGCCTGGGATTCTATACATAATAACAAGCATTTTGAATTGCACCTGAAAACCTATCGGCCACCAATTCATAAGAAGCCTTAGGTCCAATCTTGGGCTTTAAAATAGGCTTTTTTATTATTGTAGTGGCTAGGACCAATCAAGATTTTGAACTAACAATGGCTTGTGGGCAGGCTTCAAAAGCAGCCCCATATTGAATGCATTGTAGTAATCTAATTTCATGAGGGTAATGGTTTGAGTCATTATGGCCAGGACTTTTGGACCATAGAATGTCAGAACACAAGCTACAGCTATCATATCATAAGACAAAATGAATTATCCTTTCATCAGAAAGCATCTGGTAACACCTTTTCAGAGTAACATGTTTTATCAAAAGACATAATCTTTTGTGAAGTACAGCTTACTTCATCAGAAAATTGTCTTCTGTAAACTTAGGAGGATGTGACTATGTGTTTGCCTGTATAAGGGGTTTTAATTTTTTTAAGATATATGATTTCAAAATTTCATCCTATACAAACTTCTCTCTGATACCCATTTTGCCTCCTCTTCCCCCTTACGTCTACCTTCTTCATCCTCTTAAAAGAGGGGAGGGTGTGTGCCAGAGACACAGGGAGGAAACTTAGTTACTGCCATTCAGTTTGCATGCTAATGTATCACACCAGGCAGTAACTCCTGAAGAGGCATAAACCTAATAAACTGGACCTTGATGTATCAGAATGGCTTTGACACAATCTGGAGAGGTCAGTCATAACCACATTTCTTCTGGCTCTAACTCTGTTACAATTTAATTGTCTATTCTTCTGGCTTTAATCTGTAACAGGCCTGCCTGGAGTGGAAATCCCTAACTAAGTTATAGCTAACAGAATTTATTTCTGCATGGCTTTCTTCGTTATTCCTCATAATTGCCCACCGCCTGCCGCTCTGGAACTCTCTAGCACTTGCACTTGGGGTTTAACAGCTAAATATAAATTAGCAAATCAATCTGAATTTGAACATAATGTAATCAGGATCCCAAAGGCTACAGCTAGTAAATTCATTCTCTTATATTATGTATTAATATAGTTATAATTTGTCAGAATTAGGCATCAAAGCTGCATTATTTTTTATATCGGTTCAGGCAAGCAGCAAACTTAGCCATAAGAAGAATTTTAGATTAGCTGTAGCTGTGGCAGGTTTGTTCTCTTCAATGGACAGAGAATATCCGTGTGTGAAGTGGGGCGGTTACTTCCTTCCACTCTCTCTAATACGGAAGCTATAGCTTTATTTTTTTCCTCTGCAGCCTTCTAGGGAAAATGGAAAAGGAATTACAAAGAATCAGGAGCATACAAGAAAAATGTTCATCAGTGGGATTCAAATTATTCTGAACAAAGACTCTGGAGGTTGAGTCCCTCCCAGAACTAATAATTCAGCAATAAGAGATTCTGTATAGAAACTGCCTCTTTTCACATTTCCTCAGGAAAATAGACTTGCCCTAGTATGTCCAAATTATTTTCCCTGTCAGTAGGTATCATGGACTAGAAGTAGCATCAGTCTCTAGGTGGGTGAACTTACTTAAGGTAAGTTACTTTCCCCAACCTGCTGGATGATTGGACTCTTGAAAAATTCCTCTCAACAGATGCTATTGTCTTTATATAATTATATATATAATTAGGTTTATAGCAGTAGCAGTGCATTTAGACTTATATACTGCCTCATATTGCTTTTCAGCACACTCTAGAAGATTTACAATGCCATCATCTTGCCCCCAATAATCTGGGTCCTCATTTTCCTGATTTAGGAAGGATGGAAACCAACCTTGACTCGGTCAGGATCAAATTCCTGGCTGTGGGCAGAATTAGCCTGTAATACTGCATTCTAATCACTGCGCCACTATGGCTCTTATTCCAAACATGGGAAGTTAAATCTAACTTCTAAATTGTTTACTGTGTACTTGGTTAATTAATTCTGTTTTGCATTTTGCCTGACACACTTGCCCTCTTCACAACCTAGTCAAATTGTCATTATGAGCAACCATCTCTACATGTAGCTTTTAGTGCAATATGGCAATATAGAGTATTAAAAATCTGAGATTTTACTAATCAGTTACCAGCTGCCCTCTTTCTACTGCTTCTGCCTCAGATTTAAGAGTCTCCTGCCCAAGAACAGGCATGGCAAGTCATAGATCAAAGGACCCCTTGACTATCATTCTGTTCTTCGCTGTGGCCAAATGGATCCTGTGGAAATTGGACAAGGAGGCCATCTCCCTGAGAGCAGCCTCGTCCTCTTCATCTCTACCACTTCATATCTGGAGGCCTCCGGGTAATGGTAGATGGAAATAAAAATAGCCCCACAAGCTAAACCTGCTCTCTCTATTCCAATAATCATTCCCATCTTATTTTAAGCCTTCTTGGCCTTATAAAAGCACCAGATTGGGGGCCTTGAGGACTGAATCCAAATTTTGGCTGTTCATGAGGCCACTGAAAAGGATAATTGCTCTTAACGGTCTTCTCTCCTGATCCCCTTAATGGACCGTTGACTTTCTTTAAGTAGTTATTGACCATTGCAGCAGCAATGGTTTTTAGAGGCCAAGAAATGTATCTGATATTGGGTCATATCTTCAGGGGCAGCAATTGCCAAATACACACACACACACATCATTCACCAAGTTGGAAGATACAGGAGAAATCTCTTAGTGCAAACCCCTGATCCCTGCAGGATCTACTAAAGATTTTAGAATGGGTGCCCGCCCACCTTCTTTGGTAAGACTTCCAAGGAAGGTGGACATATCACTTCACGAGGCAACCTGTTCCACTCTTGGGCAGGACTTACGACCAGGTAATTCTTCCTAATGGCCAATAGTATTTTCAGTCTTCAGTTAGAGGTCAGTTTTAGGGGCTGGTGACACATTTCAATAAATTATTTCCCTATGAGGCAAAGTAACTATATTTCCATAGTTTAGAACTTCCCTATGATTCATGGTCTAGTAGAGGAACAAAGCCCAACCCTTAATCTTTTTCAAATAAGATAGATCTGGCATTTACTATTCCTTACTTTAAGTAGATCCAGCTTGAAGTGTAGTTCGCCCTGAGTAGAGGAGCAGAGAGCCCCAATAATGGAGCTCATGTACTCCTCAGGGTTGATGATGGACAACTGCTCCAGGATGTTCACGGCATCACTTCGGTACAGCTCGCTATCCACATAAATCTTGATGTAGGGCACCATGCCATAGTCCCTGAGAATCACTGAGAAATCACATGTATAACTTACTATTAAGCCATGTTCCAAGCAGAATCTGAAGGATGGTCACTTAATGATAATAATTTCATAGATTATTTTATAATGTATGACCAGGTTCATAGATCAGTTACTAGAATCATTAAATTTCATAGTACAATGAACGCAACATTGTATGAAAGGAGTAAAGCCCATGGCTTATGTGAAATCTTAAGATATTTATTGCCCCACTCCTGAAAAATTGGTGTTGTTACTATGTGCCAAAATTGGTGCAGTCTCCTTCTCAATCTTTTGCTCTTAAGCATTTCTTCCTTGTGCAGATCGCCTTATGATCCGCTGTGCAGCTCGCCTTATGCTGCTGTGGCCACCCTGCAAATACTTCCACAGGAGTGAAATCCAGCAGGTTCTGGAGAACTGGTAGCGGAAATTTTGAGCAGTTCGGAGAACCGGCAAATACCACCTCTGGCTGGCCCCAGAGTTGTGTGGGAATGGAGATTTTGCAATATTCTTCCCCCAGGAGTGGGGAGGGAATGGGGATTTTGCAGTATCCTTCCCCTGCCACACCTACCAAGCCACGCCCACCAAGCAACACCATGCCCACCAAGCCACGCCCACAGAACTGGTAGTAAAAAAATTTGGATTTCACCACTGCTTCCAAAGTATTTAGCTCTGGGGTCCTAAGGATCATCGTTCTTTGTAGCCCATCTCGGCTTTCCTGTCTCACTGTATGAATTCTTTCCACTGAAAGATGGGAAGGCATCTCTGAAGGTGCCTGCCACAAGCATTCTAATGTCCATGAAAATGTTTTCAATTCTGCCACCCTTTCAAAAAAAAATTCTGATTAAGAAAGATAGGAAAATATTGAAAAATGACACAAAAAAGACACAAATAGAGACAGAAATAGCCTTCTGTTATGTGGACCTTCTTTAAGATTCCATGAAAAGGAAAATTAATTGCATTTCCTCTGTTGAATTAGTCTAACCCAACATTAGCATGCTTTATGTTGCACAAATTAATTTGTAATCGCCTTAAAGCTTCTCTAAAATTGTAAGATTTTTCTGAATCCATAGCCAGGTCCCTAAGTCCCTGCACATGTTAGGAAATTGCCTTTAGAAAACTATGTGGGAAAAAGTTGCCTCTCTTTCTTTCCCATGGTCTGTTCTTATTTTCATGGAGAGTTTCCTGAATCATGAATCTTCCACGGACCAGAACAGTGGCAAGACTAGAAAAGCAAATATCTACCAGGTGACTGGACTATCCACTCGCTTCAGGCTCAGCAGAGGAAGCAACAGATGAAGTTTCCCATGAACTAATATCCGCAACCCTCATGTTGTGGCCAGTGAAACTGGGCGGGTTCTCCTCTTTTTTACCTGTGTTCCTGACAGATCCCACCACCAGAGCGGCTGCCATCTTCAGAATCCATTTGAGGAGATTCTCCTCTTCTGACACCTGAGAACTTGTTTGAGTGCTTCCTGCATGACAAGAAACCAGATCAATTTCCTCATGAGTAGCGCTGGATATGGATGGCTGTCCTTTCCAGAAACAGGAAAATAAATTCTCAGAATGACAGAGCTCAGAATGACAGAGCTCTGTCATTCTGACCTGCTGCCTCAGGAGGTGAGGAGATGCAACAGATTTGGAAGACAAAACAGTGTGAAAAACAAGAAACATCAGGATTTAGTTAAGGAGATTGGGGGGGGGCTGTTTGAAATTAAAATGGAACCTATAAAGGAGGGAGGGGGATTTAAGGAAAATATCAAAAGTATGAAGAAAGGGTGGGAAGGATCCAATGAAGCCATGAGCAGGTAACATCTCAGATTAGCCTTTGACAGAAAACTGCTTATATACCGTGAATGATGGAGGGAAAGGAGAAGGAAGCAAATTTCTCTGAGCAAATGTTTCATTCCCCTAAAAAGCAGGAAGAGTGTCCAACCTCTGCTGGCACTAAAAGAAGGTCCAGCGGGAGGAAGCAGCACATCCTACAGGACAGATTGTCTAGTTGGGAATTTGGGATCAACACAAACGTAAATTTCAGATGGGGCTCTTATAGACCACAGGCAACCAGAGAAAAGGGTAGAGCTGCTGGCAATCCATTCCCAGCATGAAGAGTTTGGAAAAGATTTAGAAAAAATGTGTATTTATTTAATATATATGATACCTTTCTTTATCAGTCTTTTGGCTTCTTTACGCAACTGAACAAGCAGGATTCCTAAAAGTCCGGAATCCCTGAAGATATCTGTCAAGAGGGGGTCTCTCTGTGTGATGCTATGGAGGCAGCCCAAGGCAAGCGAGGCGCACAAGGGCTCGGTGTTCTCATTGATCAAGCACTGGATCTTCTTCAAGATCTCGTGAGGGATATAAGACAGGTCCTCCACCACGGACTCCACCAGCTGGAAGAACTGAGCCTGGACCTGGAAGGGCTTGAGAGGGATGACCCCCACAAACTGGCAGATGGGCTGCAGAGACCACTCGAGCAGGAAGAAATTCATGGGGTCCCACGTCCAGATGGATTTCAGGACAAGCAAAATGTACTGACAGAGATTTGGGTTGTTGGATTTCTGAAAAAGCAGTTCTAGTACTTGGAAAGCTTTCAGGTTCCTTATTCTTTTTCCTGTGGAAACAATAATCCTATCAACAATTTCTGTGACAGTTTTAAAATTATTGTTGCTCCCTTCCTGGTGCTGAATCTAGGAAAATGTATTATATTGCAGCTGTTTGTCTTAGTATAGCTCTTTAGAGCAGAAAGCAAGGATCGTCTGCCTTCCACGAGGCCCTCCTGATGGCCATTCTTAATCTTCCCCAGGTGAAGCCTGCATATCTTTTTCAAGGGGGCCTCATAGTGTGTCTCTTGGTCACCCTCTAGACATTTTCCCATCCACCCATATTCTCTTTAAACACAGCATGAAGGAAAGTACTTTTGCACTTTACTGTGAGCAATAGCAATAAAGACTTACATACTGTCCCATAGTGCTTTACAGCCTTCTCTAAATGGTTTACAGAGTCAATCTGTTGCCTCCAACTATATGGGTCCTCATTTTACCCATCTCGGAAGGATGGAAGTCTGGGTCAACCTTGAGCCAGTTATGATTGAACTGCTGGCAGTGGGCAAAGTTAGCTTGCAATACTGCATTCTCACCACTGCACCACCATAGCTCTTACATGTTCAATAAATACAACCTATTATATAGCTGTTATTTAATTACATGATAATCTTTTTTTTAAAGAAGAGTTTAATTGAACTTGGAAATCTTTAATTAGAAGTATGTTTGTACATGATGGTACTGGTGACACAGATAAAGGATATTTATTCTTTTATCTAATTTATGTCCCATTTTTTTACTTTTATAAACACTCCAGGCAGAGTAATCATTTTTATTTATTACCACTTTTTAATAATAAAATAATCTCTGCTCAAGTCTATCCTAAAGCATTCAGCTTTTAATTTCCATTTTATAAGGAACAATGAAACCAGAATATGTAAATGCAATGTAAAAAATTAATTCTCTTGAAACAAAATTATGTTGCATTTCTTGAAGAGTCATGTTTGTGATCAGTAAGTCTAACAATACATGGCATTTCGCATTATTGGCAGTTTCTTCCCCCCTCCCCTTCCATTTATTAGGCTATATTAAAATCTTCTATATGACATATTTTATTATATTTGTATGCCATTAATTTAAATGTCCTAACTCACTCCTACCTGAGTTACTTACCAGAAGAAAGGGGCTGCTTCTCATTAAACTGTGGCAGTTTCTCATTAAACTGTGGCAGTTGTGGATATACTATATTGCGTGAAACACTCAGTTCAGTTTCTCCACAAAGTGTCAGTTGTGTCACTAAGTCCAGTGTTTCTTTGATGCTGGCATTTTCTTTTTTGTCCAGTGGCCCTTCATATCTGGAAACACAACTGGAAGACTTAATTGGCGGAAGAATCATTTTGCACGCAATCATAGAACATAAAAATCATACAATGACCAAATTGGTAAGGATCCTAGAGATCTTCTAGTCCAACCCACTGTTCAAGGCAGGAGACCCTATACTATCCCAGTCAAATGACTGCCCAGTCTATTTTTGAAAATCACCAATGATGGAACACCCACAATCCTGGGAGGTAAACTATTCCATTGATTCTCACTGTCAGGAAATTTCTCCTTAGTTCTAGGTTGGATCTCTCTTTAGTAAGTTTCCACCCATTACTTCTTGTCCTGTCCTCAAGGGCTCTGGAGAATAAGTCAATCCAGGGGTGAAATCCAGCAGGTTCTGACAGGTTCTGGAGAACCGGCAGCGGAACTTTTGAGCAGTTCGGGGAAACGGCAAATACCACCTCTGGCTGGCCCCAGAGTGGGGTGGGAATGGGGATTTTGCAATATCCTTCCCCCAGGAGTGGGGAGGGAATGGAGATTTTGCGGTATCCTTCCTGTTCCATGCCCACCAAGCCACACCCACCAAGCCACACCACAGCCACCAAGCCATGCCCACAGAACCAGTAGTAAAAAAATTTGGATTTCACCACTGAGTCAATTCCCTCTTCTCTGTGACTGTCCCTCAATACTGGAAGATTGTTATGTGTCCCCCCTAATCCTTCTCTTTGATAGGCTAGACATACCTAGCTTCCTTAACCTCCCTCCATCCCCCTAATCATCTTTGTTGCTGTTCTCCGCACTCCTTCTAGGATTTAACATCTTTGTTGTATCATGGGGACCAGAACTGGGCACTGTATTCAAGTGTGACCTCACTATTGCGGTATAAAGTGATATTATCACTTTTCGCAATCTGTGAAGCTCTAGAAGAATACCTCTTTCTCCTTAAAGCTTGGTTGGTCAGTCGGCTGCTGGGTTTTGGGAAAAGGTTGGTGTCCTCCTGAAGTAGTTTTTAGAAGGGGCGAAGGCAGTGATGGGCTCCAAATTTTTTAACAACCAGTTCTCTGCCTTAATGACTGGCTGGGTGGGCATGGCTGGGTGGGGGGGGGGTCATGTGACTGAGTGGGTGTGGCCAACTCTATGTCATTTGTGTGGGTGGTATCTATATGGGACAGGCAGGGTTGGGGAGGGAATTCAGGGGTCTCCGGTGGCGGGGCGGGAGGAAAGAAAGATCCAACCAGTGTTGGGTTTCAAAAAATGTTACTACCGGTTCTGTGGGTGTGGCTTGGTGGGCGTGGCATGGCTTGGTGGGCGTGGCTTGGTGGGGAAGGATACTCCAAAGCTCCATTCCCACCTCACTCCAGGGGAAGGATACTGCAAAATCCCCATTTCCTCCCCACTCCTGGGGGAAGGATACTGCAAAATCTCCATTACCAACCCACTCCAGGGGAAGGATACTGCAAAATCCCCATTCTCTCCCAATCAGCTGGGACTCCGGAGGCAGAGAATAGATGGGGTGGGGCCAGTCAGAGGTGGTATTTACCGGTTCTCCAAACTACTCAAAATTTCCACTACTGGTTCTCAGAACTGGTCAGAACCTGCTGAAACCCATCTCTGGATCCAACCCATTTGTCTCTGTGTGTGTGTGTGTGTGTGTGTGTGTGTGTGTGAAAGAGAGAGAGAGAGACTGCATCAAGCTAGACTGGGGAAAGCCGGCTGCGAGAGGAAGAGAAGCTGGGTAAACTGGACCCAGACGCCCCCTTCTTCGCATGGAAGTGGAGATGGAGAGGGAGAAGGGGGCAGAGGTGGCCACTAGCATTGAGGGGAGAGTGCCACACAGAAACGCTGCCCCTTTCTCCCTCTCCATCTCCACTGCTGGGCAATCCCATGCAAAGAAGGGGACTAGCAGAGAGGGGAAGAGTGCGAGGTTGCTGCTTCTGGGATGAGGTCCAGCTCACCCAGCTTCTCTTCCTCTCACAGGCAGCTTTTTTGGGCCATTTTCAGGACGTTTTTTGGGCCATTTTCAGGCCGTTTTTTGGGCTGTTTTCAGGCTGTTTTTTGGGCCGATTTTGGCCGGAAAAACGGCCTGAAAATGTCCCGAAAACCGGGCAGGGGCAAGGCCAGCCGGTGGCCCAATTTACTGGTTCTCTGAACCATGCAGAATTGGGACAATCGGTTTGGGCGAACCAGTCAGAACTGGCAGCAGCCCATCTCTGGGCGAAGGGTTAGGTTTCCCTCTCAAAGGGATTCTGCTGGGATTCTCTGATTTTCCGGTGCCACTGATGGGGAAGGAGCTCTAGTGATGCATTAGAACAGTTCACTGGTGGGGGGGGACGGGAAAGCCCCATGGTATGCACTGCTCAGCTTTAGCAAGGATGAGCCCACAGTCGTTGATCTATGGATACTACGAATCATTGTGTTCTTTTGTTCTGTCCTGAACGTGACAAACATGCCTAGAAAAAGGCACAAGCTTTGATTTATGTTTGCAAGAAGTGTGGGATAAAGTTATTAAAGTCTATCCCTGAGGAACATTTGACCAGAGGTTAAAGGGAAAGTCCATACAAGAAAACTGAATAATCTGCATTTTAGATGCAACATGTTATTGTCCAGAATGGTTTAATACCCCAATTCCATCACTGGAAAGAAATGTGCATTTACAAGCATACATGAATGTTAAAAGGTACTTGAATGTATTTTCTCCCCAAATAAAACAGTAAGGTGAAAATCTGCCAGCGTCACATCTTGGCAGCCACTATGCTATCAATTGACTTGCCTTAAAAAAAATTTCAACAGCAGCTGGTGGCCACCATTGCTCTCAAACTCCAAAAGCAAGGCTGGGGAAATCGGGTAGGAATTCCTCACAAAATGCAGGATAATATTGATGGATTCACATACTTCCCAAGTAGGCGAGGAATCATCAAGCTGTGACAAATTGTAAATAGAAGTTTTGATGCAATCTGTAGATAGAAAAGTATTGCATATAATAGGTAAACGCCACATGTAAGATTGTAGTCATCCTCACCAGGGGTGGGTTCTTCTTACCTTTACTACCAGTTCGCATTGTGCCCACGTGCTCTTCTGCACATGCGCAGAAGCTTCTGCACATGTGCAGATCACCTATGATGACGTCCGGGTCAGTGGGCAGAGCCTCCCGCCGGTTTTACCAGCGGTTCCTGCGAACCGGTCCGAACCCGGGGCAACCCACCACTGATCCTCACTCTGTTTTATAGAAATTTCTACTTATTCTTCTGGCACCATAAGATTAATGTACATTAAGCTTCATACATACCAAAATATAACCTACAAACTCTGAATTGGAAAAAATGTTTAAATCAAGAAAGAATAAGTGTAAGAATATAATTAGAGCCTTATTGGATCCAGTCAAAGGGTCAGCAACCTGCTGGATTACTCAAATTGGATTAATCTAATCGGAACTCTATGAAAAGTTGGACAGCAGCCCAAGGCTAAAGGAGAAATAACGCCAACTGTCAACCGTTCCAGCACCTGAGGTAGCAGCCGGCTCAAGAAACTTCTCCCAGTCACACAGCATGAAACACCAGCAAGAGAGGCGGTGAACCTGCAGTTGTGGCTTGCAAACTTGTAACAGTCCTTGAAGAAAATGACCACCAAAAATGGCCACATTTCAGCTGATGAAACAAAATTTTTTTAAAGGGAATTTTATCAATTCAAAGAGCAGAGTACAAGGTAAGCTGATTACTGAAGCAACTTCCAAGGGAATGCAGTCCAGCAAAGGAGCTTCCTCCGTGGATGAAAATAACAGCCACAAAGGCTGTTACAAGAGGCGCAGAAAATGTTTTGCACGGAAAATTTAGAAATAATTATCAGGCTCTTGCAGGTAAAACAGGACCTGCACATTTAAGGAAAGAAAATCAGAAAGAACAGTGGATTGAAAGGAGAGAGGGGATGCAATTGTGCTCCATTAGAAAACAAAGAGTCATTTGTAATTATGGAGAATCAAAAGGGAGACGTCCTGGGAAGCCGCACCCCCCCTCACATTAAGTGAGCAAGGATCAGGGACTGAGGCCCCTGAATGGAGGCAAGGGGAAATCAGGGCCAGTTACCTTGCAGGTATGAAATGGTGGTCTCGGAAAGGGCCTTTGAAATCGTTTGTAGCACTTGGCTTGTAGGCTGTTTCCAAGCAGGGCTGCCTTGATCCCAGAGGGAGGATCTTGCTATGATCAAAGATTTAAGATGACTTGACATGAGAAGCATCTCCACACCTTGTTTTTCTGCATAAATATTGACCATTGTCTAAAAGTATACAAAAACAATAATACCACTATTTGATTCAAATAAATCTTTTTTTAAAAAAAGAACAAAACATCCGGTTCTAGTCTATTTTTAGATGGCCCCTCCAGGCCCAGCTGCAACCACCCACCTGCACCAGCATTTCTTGGGTCTTCCGTGTGGCCTGCTGCTCCTCTTCCCTGTCCCCAGGAGCCGTTTCCAGGGCAGATACAAAGAAGAGGTGTAGGCACTGCAGCAACGTCACAGGCAACCCAGACTTGATTATATTCCACCGGAGTTCCTGTTCCTGCCCCAAAGAAAATAATACAATGTTTGATGCTCATTTCAGAATCTGCCCAGAGAGCATTTTTAGTGGGGAAAAATAAGGCTGGTGAGAAAAGTTCAGTCTTTGTAAACAGCAATGGCTAACACAAATAGATTTCACAGAAGATAACGTTGAAAAGGCACTATGTTAGACTAAAACCATCTCTATCTATTGGACCTGATGGATTATGTGCACACTTCTTAAAAAATGCGCACTTCTGCTATAGCAGAACCCCTAAGCATAATTTCAAAAATCTTTCAGGACCAGCTCCCTACCCAACCTATGGTCACTAGCCACGGTCATCCCTATCTTCAAAAAGGGAGACCCCAGCCTAGTCAAAAATTACAGACCAATCTCTTTATGCTGCGTCACCTGCAAAGTCACGGAATCAATCATCAACCAATCCATTACCCTCCACCTAGAAACAAACAACCTACTCTCTAATAAACAATTTGGTTTCAGAAAAAAATTATCCTGTAATCTACAACTTCTACACTGCAAAAACATATGGACTACAAATCTTGATCAGGGCAAAGCAATAGATGCAATTTACATAGACTTCTGTAAAGCCTTTGATTCAGTGGTACATGATAAACTACTTCTAAAACTAAAACCAAGGGCATCTCCGGACCCCTCCATAATTGGATAACCGTGTTCCTGTCAAAACAGACAACAAGTGGTCAAAATAGGGAGAGCCCTATCAAATCCTGCACCTGTTAATAGCTGTGTCCCCCAAGGCAGTGTTGTAGGACCAACACTCTTCATACTATACATAAATGACCTTTGTGATCATATTATAAGTAACTGCATTTTCTTCGCAGATGATGTAAAACTGTTTAACACCACCAACAATGCTGCTACCCTTCAAAAAGATCTTGACTTTATGTCGGAATGGTCAAAAAATTGGCAACTCCAAATCTCAAACAACAAATGCTCTGTCTTACACATTGGCAAAAGGAATCAGAACACAAAGTACAAGCTGAGTGGACACGACCTTGTAGATCACACTCACTCAGTCAAGGACCTTGAACTACTCATATCAAATGATCTAAGTGCCAAAGCCCACTGTAACAACATCGCCAAAAAGGCATTAAGGGTTGTAAACCTAATCTTGTGTAGCTTCTTCTCTGGTAATATTACACTACTAACCAGAGCATACAAAACATTTGCTAGACCAATTCTCAAATACAGCTCATCTGTCTGGAACTTGTACTGCGTATCGGACATTAATACAATTGAACGTGTCCAGAAATATTTCACAAGAAGAGTCCTCCACTCCTCTGCTCACAACAAAATACCTTATGCCACCAGACTTGAAACTTTGGGCTTAGAAAATTTAGAACTACGCCGCCTTCGGTATGACCTAAGCATAGCTTATTAAATCATCTGCTACAATGTCCTACCTGTCAATGACTACTTCAGCTTCAGCCACAACAATACATGAGCACACAATAGATACAAACTTAAAGTGAACTGCTCCAAACTCAATTGCAAAACATGACTTCAGCAACAGAGTGGTCAATGCCTGGAATGCATTACCTGATTCTGTGGTTTCATCCCCAAACCCCCAAAATTTTAATCTTAGACTGGCTACTGTATGAAAATCCCAAATTGGCTATCGACAATGAAGGCAATGACACACCCAAATACAATAGACCTCAGTAAAATGGTAAGATACTCAGAAATTTTAGACGAGAAAGGAGAATTAAAATCAGTGCAAACATTGAAAACACAAGGAATAAATATAGAATGGTGGCCGTACTACAAATCAAAACAAGACTAAAAAAAATCAAGAACAATTCAGCATATATGAAAAACAATTGGAGTTGGATAAAATTTTATTGGGAACAGAAGGAAAAATTATTACAAAATTATATAAATTTCTACTAAGACATAAAATGGAAGAGGAAGTTGTAAAAGAAACGATGATTAGTTGGGGAAGAAATTTCGGCCACAGCATAGAATTAGAACAGTGGGACAAACTATGGGAAAGGAACTACAAACTCACAACAGCAGTTACCTACAAAGAAAACCTCTATAAAATGTTTTATAGGTGGCATTTGCCACCAGCGAGATTGGCCAAGAAGTATCCCAATTTATCACCTAATTGTTGGAGATATAACTATAAATCCAGAACATTCTACCATATGTGGTGGACATGCCCCATCACAAGGAAGTATTGGTGTCAAATTCAAAAATGGTTGGAAGAAATTACAAAGCAAAAAATAGATATGAAAATTGAATTGTTTTCATTAGGAATACTGGACCTGAAAATGAATAAAACCCTTTAATACATTATATTGCACATACTTACCGCAGCAAGAATCACATTCACAAAAAAATTGGAAACAAAAAAATATACCATCAGACGAAACTGTAATAAGGAAAATTCTAGAATGCGCAGAGATGGATAAAATGACTATGGAGTTGAAAGAGAGAGAGGATTCGAACTATTATGAAATATGGAATAAAATGTACAGTTGGCTCGAAAATAGAAATCAGAACAAGAAATATTTAACTTAATATTGATGAAACTTAAAGTAACTGAACAACATTAAATAAAGAGAGGTAAATATAAATGAATATAAATGTGTAGATAAGAACAAATGAATATTATAATGTGTATATATATATGTTGGAGTAATGTGATTATTCTACTATTGAGTAATAAATAGAAACGACAGAAAAGCGATTTTTCAAGGGAAAAAAAAGAGAAACTAAGGAAACCCAGTTGCTTTTTGGAAAAGCACCTTTGGGACAACCATGACTGAGAGTCTCCATAGATTACAAAACGTCTCCTTCTCCAGCGCTTGGAGCCTCATCTCACCATTACTGCATAACTAGCCAGGGCACACCAGTCTATTGTGCTGTTTTCAGTCTCTGCTACGACATACAATGTTTTCATAATTCTTTTAGACTGTGATGTAGATTCTATGCTTTTTAATTGACCACCCTACCCTTCCTATGCAGGTCTATAACCATAATCAAGGTTTTAGTTTGATTTGAGTCAGATGAGTGAACGGAGCATTCTTGCGGCCTTGATGCCAATGCTTCGAACTGCATGAAGAAGAGGGAAGATCTTTCTCTTACCGAGGTGTAGAGTGAAAGTGAGTAGATTGATTTTAGCAGCAGGTAACCGGCAGAATCCAGCTCTCCCTTCCACTGCAGAAATTGCCACACAAGCAGTCGAGCGTCTTCTGTTCTTGTGGCGGCCAATATTCACACCATGCAAGAAAGGAGCAAGAGGGTCAGCAGATGGCAGAGGTGCCAATGGTGATAGATGCCAGACAAATGTGAAGAATGACACGACTGCAGAACATCATTACTCTGCACGTGTGCTTACAATCAACCATTCAGAAATCCATTCAACACACTAGAAATAACTGCTGTATAAAGCAACCACTAAATTACAGCAGTTCTAGGAAAGCAGCATAATTTCCTGGCTCCTTGCCGACTCTGGGAATTTTCCCTGCAGTCACACCTAGTACAATATTAATCTTTTTGTCTGTGGCCACTTACAATTTTTTATAGAATTCTCCCATTCCGTATCCTCATCATTCATGCTATCGTACCCTAAAGGAATGAACTGGTATCCTGATCTGGCCTGAATAAAACAGAGCTATAAAGACAAGAGTTTTTAATGTCTGCTGGACATGGTTGGCGCAGATCTTTTCAACAACAAGATAAATCAGAAAGCAGAGAGCAGGCTGCAGGTTAAGTACATAAAGAGGCCCACCTGCTGGATTTCCATTCATTTTCTTCTTGATTTCTTTCACCAGAAAACTGGAAGTTTCACTTGCTAAAAGCTGGATATTTGGAAAATAGACACTGCCATCTGACTGCTCCCAGGCCTAAAATGTGTTTTTTTTAAATGTAAAAAAAAAATTATTGACATTCAATGCATTGACTTGGTAATTTTCCCTACAAGAATGATTTTTTTCCCTGACTGATTTTTGTTCTTAGCTGGAAGCTTCTTACATTCAGGATTGTCCTTTGAGGAATGTAGGATAACTACCATGGCTTTCTAACAACTACTGCATTCCCAGCACCTTCCAGAATGGGTTCTCCTGGAGCCAGAGAAGCCAACTAGGTCATCCGAACTGCCATCTTGAATTGGACATCCCTACTCAGGACAGGCTCAGCACCTGGATCGTCCCAGTGGCTGCTTTCCACCTCTCAGGGCCTTCTTCTCAACTTAAAGGCAGAGAAGGCCCAATCCATCTTTATAACCTTTGGGGATCTGTAACTCACAAGGATCAAACAGCTTTGAACTGGTGGACAATAAAGAGAAAAGAGACGTGCAATCCCATTCCTCCATATACACTGGGTGTTAATTCAAATATGCCCCAACACTTATTTAGTTCATTAATTTCTAGGCCACTCACTCCCAGTACAACTGCTATTCTGGTCAGTTGTACTTTTACAGGTTGTTTTTTTGGTTATGAGCCATTGGTGTAAAAATACAACAGACTACAACAGAAAAACACCAAAGCTAAATTGTCACAAACTAGATCAAGCAAAAGGAGAATATTCTGAAATGATAACAGTATGAAAAACTTGTGTGCTGTCATTTAGGCTCAGTGTTCTCTTAGGTCCACCCTGGATTTAAAGAACTTGTACAAAGAAGAACCTGGAAGTTAGTCAGCGAATGCTAGCAAAGGAGAGTTTACGCAGATGGGGTGCCAATTGCTCCTTCATTGCTAATTAAAAGCCACAGCTAAGCAACATTGCTGCATTCTGTAATGAACCCTTAACAACAACCCCTGTTCAGCTCCATCTGATCCGTGGCATCATTTGTAAGAAAAACGTCTCTGTGGTGTTATGAAGCTGAGTTTGCATGATCCTCAACAACTGAGCCACCATAATCATACCGTTACCCCAAAATCAATCTAACAGGAACATTGATTTTAAAAAAGGGTTTCTAATCAACTGCAAATGTAGCTGACTTAAAAATTTGTGGTTTTCGGCTTCACCTCAGTAAAAGGTTGACACTTCCATAGCACAAATCACAGGTGAAGTAAATCTATGTCCCTTTACATAGGCGTATTCTGTTTAAGAAGCCTGAATGTTGCCCTTTGTTAAAGTAATAAAGTAAACATAATGACACGAGAGAGCACAAGTATGGGGTGGAATTAAATAAATTCTGCAACACTATTTCAAGCAGCTTTAATTTCCTCTCTCTGCTAAACATTTCCAAGACTCCCAGTGTTGCCTCTGTGGGTCCTTGTCCCATCAAGCAGTTCTTAAGCAATCCACTGAACAACGCTGCCTCGCAACCTGAAACCAACTGCTGTTTCCAAATGGAAGTAAAATGACACCTTCCCTGCTACCTTTTCAGGTAGGCCATTTCCTTTCTGCTTTTGTTCTTTTCTTTTCTTTTTTCTTTTTTGCTATGGATATCAGCTGGATGTCCTTCTATTGAAAATATCCAATAATATGAAATCCAACTAACCTTCAGAAAAGTGGTCAGAATGGCAAGCCATCGCCTCTGCTGTTCTTCTGGACTCAGGAAAAGAGCCACCTCCATGTACTCCAAGACTTGCCGGTCCAGGGTCTCCTGTCGGAAGGAGAGCTGCTGGTGTGGAGGCTCTTCGCTACACTGTGAAGGCTGCTCTCTGACTGCTGACCCATGGCCTCCTTCGGGAAGGGTGGGATCCTGGCTTCCATGCTCACCTGGTGAGTCCGCTTTCTCTTCCAATGCTTTTGGTAGCTCTAGCACAGGTTCCATGCTTTGGTCAAAATGATCTGGAAGAAAATAGAACAAAAACAGAATTGGAAGGGACCTTCGAGGTCTTCTAGTCCAACCCATTGCCCTATACCATTCTGGATAAATGGCCGTCAGTCTCTTCTTGAAGACCTCCAGTGATGGAGCACACACAACTTCTGGAGGCAAGACATGCCACTGATTAATTGTTCTCACTATCAGGAAATTTCTCCTTAGTTCTATGTTGGGTCTCTCCTTGATAAGTTTCCATCTCCCTTTAAAGATCCTCCAGCTTACTTCCAGCAGGTAGTTTGGAGAATAGGCCAACAACCTCTCTTCTCTGTGACGGCCCCTCGAGTACTGAAAGACAGCTATCACGACACCCCTAATCCTTCTCTTTAATAGGCCAGATGTACCTACTTTCCACAACTGTTCATCGTGCAGTTTAGCCTCCAGAAGCCCAGCCATCTTTTTTGCTCTTTTCTGCATTCTTTTTAGAGTCTCAACAATTTTTTTATCTTCATGACCAAAACTGGACTCAGCATTCCAAGCGTGTCTTCACCAGTTCAGTATAAAGCAGTATACTTGCCTAATTTTGAACTATATTATCAAGCAACAAGTTTAATGTGGATCAAAGAATGGATAACTTTAAGAAATACGAGATTATTGAACTTGGAGGGACATGATTTGTTGACGGGATGGCATGCCTTTTTATGGTATAAAGGAACCAAAATACAGGGGTACTTTAGAAGACGTCAGATACGCAAAGCTTTGTGGTTGAATTGGGAGAAGGTTAAAAAACATCATTATTTGAAGAGTCCAGTCTGGATATCTACAATTGAAGCTTTTTCATATCCAGTAATATTTAAAGGGGAACAAATTGTTAGATATAGTGAGTTATTGGATGAAAAGGGTGAACTTAAGTTAAAGCAAGATCTAGAAGATCAGGGATGTAAGATGGATTGGTTTTCATATATGCAAATATTTTCTAGATATCGAGAAGATCTCAAATAAGAAGGTTTTTATAATGTTTTGACTAATCTAGATAAGATATTAATGGGTTCTGATGACTATGTAATTAAAAAGTTATATGGATATTTGTTAGAGGTAAAATTGGAAGAAAAGCAAGTTAAAGAATCAATTATAGCGTGGGGGAAAAATTTTGGTTATGGTATTGATTTAGAGAAATGGCAAAATTGTGGTCACATAATTATAAAATGACAATGTCTACAGCATATAAAGAGAATTTGTATAAGATGTTTTACAGGTGGCATCTACCCCCGATGAGGATAGCCAGAATGTTCAAGAATAAATCGGAGAAATGTTGGAAGTGTCATCAGACCCCAGGATCATATTACCATATGTGGTGGACATGCGTAGAAGCAAGGAGATATTGGACTAAGATACACATGTGGTTGGAAAAAATGATAAAAAGACACACTGATTTTAAACCAGAGATATTTTTATTAGGGATCTTACCAGAGACATTAATAAAGAATTGCAATATTTAATTGTAAATATTTTAACAGCGGCTAGAATTGTAATTGCTAAAAACTGGAAAGGAGAGAAGATACTTACTGATGAAGAAATTATTAAGAAAATGCTGGACTGTGCTGAAATGAGTAAATTGACATTTGAAATAAGAGAACAGGAAGATAAACAATATTATTTGATACGGGAGTTATTTTATCAATGGATAGACAATAAAACATGGAGATGAAATATGATATATTAAATGAAATTAAGATAAAATGTGTAAACACTTTTTTTTTAGGGGAAAAGAACATTTGTCATATATTGATATTTTGAAGATTTTGGGAGCACGAAAGGATTTTAACTGACCAAAACACTGTCTGTAATTGTTTGAAAGGATGAAGTTTTTATGTTGTTTTTATTTTATTTATTTATTTATTTTATTATTCATATTTCTATGCCGTCCACTCTCCGAGGACTCTGGGTGGCTTACACCAAAGACAGTATACTAAATAGCATATTGCCCCCAACAATCTGGGTCCTCATTTTACCCACCTCGGAAGGATAGAAGGCTGAGTCAACCTTGAGCTGGTGAGATTTGATCCGCTGATCTGCTGAACTAGCAGTCAGCTGAAGTAGCTGCAATATTGCACCCTAACCACAGCGCCACCTCGGCTTCTTTTGTTTGAAAATAAAAATATTCTTTAAAAAAAAAAAGTATAAAGCAGTCTCAACACTTCACGTGATCTTCATATATCTAAGGCACTGTAGTGCTTTCATTCATAATTAAAGGTACACTTTGGTGCTATCTAAATTTGGCAGTGGATTGTTTCTGAACAGGAAAGGGACATATTAGGATAGGGAAGCAGCTGCACCATGGCCATCTTCCAAAGGCCAAAATTTCAGAGATGGCTTCCCACAACATTCTTTTGCCTGGGATATAAAGATAATAACCATATATAATAAGCGAGAGCCTGTTTCGTGCAGGGCATCAGACTAGAAACCAGAAGAACATTTGTTCTGGTCCCATCTGTGGCCCAAAGCCAACTGGGTGACCATGGGCCAGTCACTTTCTCTTGGCCCTAGGAAGGAGGCAGTGGCAAACCACTTCTGAAAAACCTTGAGATATATTGTATAAACTTAATGTCTAACAAATAGCTCTGTTTCCATGAATGCTTGCACCCACCCACTTGATAAGACTAGTTTCATTCTGAGCTAGTCCTGTATGCCCTTCCCCTTTCTCGGAGTTTCATAAACACACAAGACATTGTGTCTTCTTCACCATATATTTTTTTTCCAAGTCAAGACTTGGTCTTTCATATGCCAGACTCATCATCAGATAGGCCATGAATACCATAACGTCTTGATAAATCAAGGTTTCCACCTAACATATTTTAGTACAATTGAGAAGAAGCAGAATAGCATATCAGCACACCTAAAGTCTAATTTTATCCCAGGCATGTTCTAAAGATCTTGCAAACTGACCTCCTGCTGCCTGCAACTTACCATTTGCGGCATCCCTCACTTGTCACCATACACTCTGTGGCCTCACCAAGAAAAGACTGTCAGTATGAATGGCTAAACATGTCTCCAATTTATCTTTGCAACTTGGTCAAAAAAAATGTGAACTACAGACATGTCAGCAATTGCTCAAGTGACTCTGTGCAAAATCAGATTAACATTAATTAAAATGAAAACAAGAAGACACTTAGAAAACAGTAACAACAGTAACAACAATATCCCATAAACATCACTATAGAGGGGAAGGAAATTTCAAGAACCAAGAAATAAAATCCCAGCTTCAGAACCCCATTTTAAGGACAGGCTCTGTGCTCTGTACAAGACTTTCTGCCATGCACACAAGTTCCTGATCTGCCCTGGCAAATTATTCATCTTTGTAACTTGAATGTTTGCCTTTTGTTATCTTCTACAAGTAACACTGAATCAACACAACATTTTAGGAACATGCCTGAGGATGCTAGAATTCCAAAATGAAGAGCCATTTGGAACCTCTAATATTTCTATTTTAATGGAGAGTAAACAAGGTTTGAAAGGAGACAGTGTAATTTGGTCAAGTTCCCTTCTCAATCCAAAGAATTCCAAGATAAACTGAAATTTTAAATATCTGCACCCATAACTTCTGGAGGCAAGTCATTCCCCTGGTTAATTGTTTTCATTGTCAGGAAATTTCTCCTTAGTTCTAGGCTGGTTCTCTCCTTGGTGAGTTTCCATCCATTGCTTCTTGTTTTGCCTTCTGGTGCTTTGGAAAATAGTTGACACCCCCCCTCCCTTCTCTGTGACAGCCCTCAAGTACTGGAAGACTGCTATCATGTCCCCCTAATCCTTCTCTTCATTAGACTAGACGTGCCTCGTTCCCACAAGCATTTATAGTACAGTTTAGCCTCCAGACTCCTTATCATCTTTGTTGCTCGCTCTTCTCCGCACTCTTTCTAGGGCATCTTTTTTGTATTGTGCTGACCAGAACTGGACATAGTCATGGATGCAGGGGAGAGCTGTGGGGCCGGATCTAGAGCTAGGGCTCTTCAGAGTTGCATCTCTACCACTTTCTCACTAATGTCCCCTACCTCACAGCAATGTTAACCACAGCACAACCACACACTTCCCTCCCCCAGAGGCTTTAACCAAGCAGAAGGGACACAGACCTAAACATAGGTGGTTGGACCCACAGCACCAGTGACCTCTCCAATTCCACAGTACTAGCAAGTTCAACTCCTCCCAGATAACAGCACAAAACCATGTGTCTTGTTTTACACAGCAATACAAGCTTCTTTCCAAACGTTTCATTTGGAAGCAATTCTACAAGCGTTACAGAGACAGCAATTTCTGAAGATCCCAAGGAGGGCAAATTTGGACCTACCTGTGCAAGTTTTGTCCTGAGCTGGTTGCATTTCTAAGCAAGCAAGAAAAGGAAAGCAGTTTTTGACAACTTTCCTCTGTTATTCATTTGACTAGGCAGCCGTGCTTATTTCCTGGCAAAAGCAGAAGTTCAGGAGCACAAATAGATCATAGCTTGGCTGGAGGTAGAAAAGGCAATGGGGGGGGTGTTATCTGGCCAGGCTTTGCGGAACTGATCACCCCAAAACGAATGATGGAGCTGTGATCCGTGGCCATCGAATGGGAAGCCCCTGGGTGGGATCATTCCTCAGAGGAAGCTGTCCTATCGTTCTGACTGGGATTTTCTTTCTTTCACTTTGAAATGGTTCCTCCATTTGTTTTCTGTGGCAGGGAGTTTCTCCATTTTTGAAATGCACCGGAGCTTTTGACAATCATGTTTCTTTTCCTGGAAAAGAGGCCCACCCTCTTAGAATTCACAACAGTCAGGGATTCACTGTCTGCCTGAATTTTTTTCTAAATAATTATTTACCTGTCCATTCAACAATCATGTGACTGCCAGCTGAGCCAAGCAAATAATTCTTCTTCCCCATTTAAGGAAATGCAGAAGGAGAAGAAAAGGATAGGGGAGACTGGGTTCTGCACCACAAAATCTGCCCAAATAGCAAATCTGTTAGTTGCTAACTCCAGTATTGGTCACTTCTACCCATAGCACCTTGAAAGGTGAAGAATTTTATCATCATCTTCTCACTAAAATATTACTGAGTGAAGTTTTTAATCAGCTGCTCTAACTTCCTTCACCTGTTCTAATTTGTTCTCTTTCCCCATTTGATCCCTTTTAAAGGTATTTCTGTTAAAATGGTGGGAGAACAAATATATTGAAACCTAAATGATGATGTATGATTACATCATCCCCAATTGCACTTCTTTCTACAGAATGAATTAGGATATTCAGAATATATCAATAGCAATAGCACTTAGTCTTATATGCCGCCCCATAGCGCTCCACAGCACTCTCTGAGAGGTTTACCAAGGTCAGCATGTTGCCTCCAACAATCTGGGTCCTTATTTTAGTGACCTCAGAAGGATGAGTCAACCTTGAGTCCCATTGGGATCGAACTCCTGGCAGTGGGCAGAGTTTGCCTGCAATGTTGCATTCTAACCACTGTGCCACCATGGCTCCTATTCAGTCTTCCAATGCCACCCTCTGGATGTGAATTTTTGGGCACTGAAAGGCTGCGATCCAGTTCACCACCTTCTCAAGGGCAATTCTCTTCCATAGGAAAAGCAGCCTCCTGCAGCACCAGGTGATTCCGAATAATTGGATAATATGAATTCCACCTGGATGGTAGAGCTGGCTGAGCCATGCAGGAGAGACTTGTCTCTGGAATTTTGATGCAAAAGAGCCACTCTTCATGCACTGCTAAGACTTAAAGGGAAATGGGAGAGGATGTTTTCAGTGTGGTCATTACACAATATTTCAGTTGTGCAGTTTTAGGAAGCCAGACCCATAAGCAAAATAAAGAAGTCCACAGTGATGGTCAAGAGCTGAGTACCATGGTGAGATGAGTGTGAATCAATGTAAATAAGAGTGGGAATTCCAAATTTTGAGCAAGACAGAAATTGTGGTGCAACTGGAGGATGAGGCAGTTATATTAAAAGATGCCTCTAAGCTTTGCTCCCATTCTGCTGCTGGCATTCAAGCATTCAAGGGGCCTCAGTTTCATAATTTAAAAATTCTCCTCTGTTGACCTAGGAGAACGTCTTCCCCATTTAATTCTGTCACGGAGGCTCTCAGCTCACAGTGAGTCACTCTGTTCCAGGCATCCATGGTGCTTCCATTCGGCCTGCATGTGGGTGTGTGGCCAGGGCTACTGACTCACCTTGGGTTTCCCAAGTCACGAGCGCCTGCTTGTCCTGAAGCCCTCCTGCCTTCCTTGGTCAGGCGATCCTCACGCTGAGTAGCTCAGATGGGTAAATTCCCAAATGCTTCTAACTATTTCCAAGCAGAGATTCATGGCACCATCAAGTTGAAGGTCAGTGTAATGAAGTGCTTTGAGGGATTATGCCCAGATTTTGCAGATTGGCCATCATGTAGCAGACTCTGCTAGACAAGGAAAGGTCAGGCAAATTCAGCTACAGTAAGATGGCTTTACAAAGCTCTCTTATTAGCAGCTCTGGTTTAATCAGAGGTGGTATTCAGCTGGTTCGGACTGGTTCGGGTGAACCGGTAGTGGAAATTTTAACTGGTTCGCCGAACCTGCAAATACCACCGCTAGCTGGCCCCGGCCCCACCCACCCACTACTCGCCTCTGCCCCACCCTGCCCTATATATGTTGCCTTCATGACGCAGCCCAGCTAATTGCCTCGCCTCCGTGCCTCGCCCGCTCTGCTCACCAAAGGTAAGCATGCCACCTGCTCGCCCTTCGCCTCACGTCTGGGCCCAGGGAGGCGCCATTCCCCAAGGCCCCAGTCGGAGCCTCTGCCCATTCGCCCTTTGCCTTGGCCAGATTGGGGAATGCACCATTCCCTGGCTCTGGCCTTTCCTGGGGCCTCCGCCCACATGCCACCCGCTCGCCCTCTGCCTCGCTCATCTTCGTCTACGCCTTGGTGGGGCCGGGGGCAGGGCTCGGCCAGTGAAACTTCAGCCGCTGGTGAAGGTTTTTGGCTGCCTTCTGAGCAGCTCCGCTGTGACGCCGTCCTTCCGGTGCAGCAGCCCGTTCTCTTGGTCGGGTCTGGCCGCAAATGGCACTGACAGGCAATGGGATACACGTGCGCAGCTGGCGCGAAGAACAGGGCGCCAATGGGACTTCTTCAGGCTTCTGTTTCAGCCTGTAGTTTTCGGTAGTTTAGGATGCAGAAGCCTACAGATGCCGCCTCTTTTGGTGCGAGAAAACTATCCAAAACTACAGGCCGAAAAAGAGGCCTGAAGTCCCGTTGCTGCCCTGTTCTTCTCGCTGGCCGTGCACGTGCACCCCATTGCCTGCTGGTGCTCGTGCATGGTCGCACCCCATTGCCAGACCCAGTCAGGGGAATGGCCTATTGCGCCAGTGGGATGGCGTCGCAGCAGAGCTGCTTGGAAGGCAGCTGGACTGTGGTGTCCCTTTAATGTACTTCGATATGGGGGGAGGGGGAGACCGTAAAGGGACAGGCCGCAGCAGCTGCCTTTTCTGCCAGTTCTGTGGGCGTAGCTTGGTGGGGTCATGTGGTTGAGTGGGCATGGCCAACTTGATTGTAGCAAAATTTGGATCCCACCACTGGGTTTAACTGTATCCTGCCCAAGATCCCCAACTAGGCATTAATAGGCCAGGGAAGAAGGACTGGTTCATCTGCTGGATGATCTTTTAAGTCACTTTCGGCCTGGGCTGCAAGAAATGTAAGATTCCCATGAAGAATGTTACTGTATACATAAAACCTTTTCAAAACTCAATCTAACAAAATAAAGTTGCCCCTATTTATGGTGGTGTCAATCTTTATGGTTTTTAAAAAGTACTTTGAGAGCTAGTTTGGTGTAGTGCAGGGTATCAAACTTGATTTAATTGAGGGCTGCATCAGGGTTGTGTTTTACCTCAGGGGGACGGGGGAGGGGGGGGCGCATGGTCAGGGTGGGCATGGCCAGCTTGACATCACTCGTGTCAGGGGTACCTGTGGTGGCCTGAGCACTCTGCCAATGAAAAAATGCTCCCAAGCTCCGTTTTCGGCTGTGCCGGCCTCTGGAGCTCTGTTTTTGCTGGCAGAGGCACCACGGGCCGGTCCTTCACTGTTTCCAGGGTGGCCCCACAGACCAGAGCTAAGCACCCCATGGGCCAGATCTGGCCTGCAGGCCTTGAGTTTGACACCCCTTGTGTAGTGATTAAGGCATCGGGCTAAAAACCAGAGAATCTCGGTTCTATTCCCGTGTTGGACATTATGACTGCTGGGTGATCTTGAGCCAGTCACTTTCTTTCAGCCCTAGGAAGGAGGCAATGGTAATAATTTCTGAAAAAACCTGCCAAAAATATGTACAGGCAGTCTTCAAAACTTGGACTTGATTGAACAGTACTTTGGTGGACAAAAATAACATTGAATTTTTTGTATGTTAAAGCATACAAAAATGGCTCTGTTTGCAGAAAATACACTAAAAACGTATGTCATCAAATGTAAGCAAAATTGTTACAAGAAGTTAGTCTGATGCTCTCTGCCGTGGCCAGAATGTTCTGCTTTTACAGGGAAAATGTAGGTGTAGAGAGCATTCACGCACTTCTTTCATGGTTCAGTGAACAAACCTTATAATCCCAATCTATTGTCACTTCTACAAAAAACATGCAAAATCTCTCAGATATTTGTGCAACGCAGGTAATATAAATGAGGAAGGGAGTGGAGGATTGTCCCCCATGAAGGTCTGATATTCATTCACTGGGGGTCCCCTTCCTAATTAGGAACGGTTCAAAGCCAGCAGGTGCCCTGTTCAGCCTGGGGTGAAAAAAGCCCACAAGGGCAAGAGGGCCTGAAGCTCTCCTCAGTTGGCTACTAGCAGAACAGGAAGGCGAGTTCTGCCTGCTTTGCTTCACAAATGTGTTTTTCTGCCTCCAACACCCACAACCTGTCTGTAGCGAGTCATCCTCATGCAGGTTGAGGGGTCTCCTCTGCTTCTGTTATCCCCACCATTCTCTGAGCCCCACACCCAGTTGTCCACCCCTTGGTTTTCAGGGCCATTTGCCTTTGCGCAGCGCTCCTCATGTGCCAGAAAGCCACCCCTTCCTCTTTTTGGGGTTCGCTGGAGAAGTGGAGAGGAGGGGGGGAGGAGAGGACAAGGGTCTCTGGGGTGCCAGCAGAGCTGGCTAGCTGATAGAGGCCTTTCTCTAGTAATCTAGTAATTCTCTAGTAATTGAGGGTTTCTTCCCTCCCTCCCTGAAAGAGGCAGTGGTGAGGCCTCTCCTCAAGAAGCCCTCCCTGGACCCGGCTGTATTAGCGAACTATTGTTCAGTCTCCAACTTCGCTTTGTGGCGAAGGTTGTTGAGAGTGTGGTGGCGCGACAACTCCCCCAGTACCTGGATGAAGCTGTCTATCTAGATCCGTACCA